AGAAGTTAGGTTCAAAATCCTTTGTTTTTTGCATAATTCATGACGTAATGTTAATGCATTTAATCTTCCTATAAAAACGAACAATATTGTTTTAATTTAAAATTGTTTGCTTAGAAATTAAAACGTTTTTATAAATACATTGACAACCGAATTATTTAAAAAACTACATGATTTCTATCGCACTCTTTTTATTACAATAGCATCCCTTACACAGTTGATATTTAATCGTACTATATTATTCGAAATATTAATATAATATATGTCTCTCACGTATAATGTGGCTTATATGAATAATTAATACAAATGGAGAAATTTTCAAAATTTGTACAAATTAAAATTATACTTTTCTCTATTTAGTAAATATTATTTGATGTTTTATTTACATAGTAAAGTAATAATTATTCCAAATTTGTAATTTACCTAACGGTTAAATCCAATGGTCCCGTATGAGCGAACGCCAAACAAAGTCTCGGAATCAATCCTGGACTAGCTTCAGTTCCCATCATGGTATAGGTTTTTCCGGTGGCACTCTGGCCATATGCCAAGACACATGCTGATATGCCCCTTGATATATTGTCCAAGACTGGTTGACCAATTGTTTGAAATACCTAAAAAATCACATCTATCGCATCAACAACTTTTAGTATTAATTGTATAATGTAAACACATCGGTATAAAAAACTAAAATGTTTTTATTTAGAAGCTTTATATAGGCTAGCTAGGCTTTGTATGGGAAATTAGTTTTAAATTTCAGAGTCCAGCTTAACGTAAGTTATATAAAGCACCACGGAATTACAAACGAAAAGGCCCAAATTTCAAGGGTAAGAGGGATAGGATAAGATTTAGATTCGAATTATCTTAAAATCTAATAGTCCCCTAAATGTAATCAAAGCTGACTCTGCATCTTTGTTTAATTTTCCACCTAACCACATTATCTAAATAAAAATAAATAAGTATAAAATGCCTTTCTATATAATAAGACTTAAAAATCGACAACAGCGATTCTTGCCGACTTTGTACAGTATTTGATGAATGTAGATAACATTAAAAAAAAATTGTTCAGATTTCATTTGAACATTGACTGACTGCTGACACTGCTGGTGTGTTCCAAAGCTTAACATCTGTAGAGTAATGTGCAGTAAACATGTTGCAGCCGATACCGACTGCTCTAAGTTTCCATACAAAATTTATATTCGCAATACACGGACCGCTCGAGCAGTTCCTGAGCAAACCGCATGTTGCAGTCGGTCTTGACTGCAACATGCGGTCCGTCTATGGCCCGCATTATTTGAACATTGATCAACTGCTGAGACGGCTCACGTGGTAGTTCTAAATATTCATAGCTGAAGGTGCGCAATACACCACCAGCTTACTAGAATAATTTCATGTATGTGTAAATAGGTCTAAGTAGTATTTAAGATATTGCCTTTGAACAATAAATCAGATTTGAATATTGCTCCGTCTTATTCATTTCTCTCAAAGTGGCGAAGACTACTTCAAGACTTTAATTATGGTAGTGAGCCTGCCCGATAGCTTTGAGATAATCCCACCTCGAACCTTTGATCCTACACGTAGGGCTCCGTCTGGTTACCTTAGGTCTCTTGGTGCAGACATTACGTACTTATTTAAATATTCAATATTTATGTGTTAGGGTACGTCTATAGGGCTTAAGGATCCGTAGGGTTGTTAGGTTCTTACATCTCACCCTCTCATATATTTAGTTAGTGCAGCTTGCTCATACATACATTACATATACTATACAGATACTCCTGATATTCAATACATATAAATTTTAAACAAGATTAACGATGAATGTTCCAGTGCCCACTCCCGTGTACTATATTTTAATTTATTGTTCTTACTTTTTCCTGTGAAGCATAACTCGGACTTGAAGAAGACATACTATCGAAAACATAGTCCGCTTGATAACGACGCAAGCGCTCTCTACTATCACCGGCACCTGACAAACTAACCTAAAAAATAATGAAAATGCGTGAGTCTACGTTACGATGTTAAGAAAGTGTAATCTTTGGAATCGTACAAACAATACCATGAGGGCTATTTACAACACACTCAAAACTTAATGGTGACAAAATGTTCATGTGGTTTCTATAATACATTTAATGGTAGGTAACTTAACATTGAATAAAATAAGTCGTACATTATAACATTATAAAACAAATGACAGGTGAGCAAAACAACCATTCACTAACCGCTACTAATTTTAGAATTGTCACCGCGATATGCTTTTGGTGAATATTTGCGTCAACATTTTGGAAGGCGTAATAAATTAACATATAAATATGTAATATTATTCTAATAATATGTAATAGGCGATTTATGAAACTTACCTTTATATTTGTTATTGTAACAGTTTTTTCATCTAGTATGCTTACAACAGGAGAGTGATTTTTCTCTGACTTCAATTCTCTAAAAAAATAAGATCGAGTCAGACAAAAAATTTAGTTTCATAGTTAGAAGTTAAAACCGAAGACCAGCAGGCTTCCTTCACTTTGAAGCCGAATATTATTAATATAAACTTATACAATTCAAACAAAATATTAAATACCAAACATCTCGTCAATGATATTATTATTATAAAACAGTGCCAGGGGACAATATCCTGCGCAGCTTAAAATTTGCTTATATTCGTTTTTGAATTATTTCTTAGCCATTTCCAGTAATCGTAAAAGCTATCTTAAATTTGTGTTAATTTATTATTGGTCTGCTCTGACGGAATTTTGAAACATTAGTCTTAAAATTATAAATAACATACTTCTCTGTAAATGGTCGCACTCTTATAGCCAATTTCACATTGGACATTTTCACAAAATACTTTTAAAATAAAGAAATAAGAATTAAAAATACATGCACTTATTCTCCTTTCCCAAAAGCGACTATTCGTCTCTATGTTTACAGACGCCTAAGGAAATAAGTTAAATTTAGATCGACAGAAATAGAAATGTCGTATTTCAATTAGATTTGGAGCTGTTTGAAAGATTTTAAAAATTTATAATTTACTGAACAACTAGGATTGTAGTAGGGTAGGATTTATAAGGATAAAATAATTCTGACTCGATAAAAGCAGTGGATTTACTTGAGCAGCCCTGCGATTCTGTAACTCACTTTTCGAACTCACACATATTTTTAAGACCCGTGTAAATTAATATTAATGGAAATTTAAAAAAAAATTACCTGAATGCTTTAATGTCTTATGTTTTTTGGCTGTTTCTTGGTTTATAAATTAGGAAATTTCTGGTCATTTTCAAAGATCCAAGTGATATTTAGAGGCGAGGGACAGGCAAAGTTTAATTATATTGAATTATTAATATTATTTTCATTATTTAAGCGTTTATAAGTAATCCAAAGCAACTCAAGACTACAATCATTACGTTCTGTACTATATTTTCGATATTAATAAATCGTGACTTATTAAAGGGTTAATATACAACGGTACTTAATAAATTACTGCAGTAACCATATAACAAACAATATAGATACTAACGTTAACTTAGTTATTAATTAGACTAAGCACGTATTAGCTAATTTAGTTTGGACATTTTTAATTATTCAGAGATTCATATATATTACTTAAATTTATATTTATTTAAGTACTTAATTAACATTTAATAAACATGATTAGAAATTTAAAATAGTACCTATAGCTACAGTTAGTCGAAGCACTAGTGCCCTAGAGACAGTCGCAGTCTAGTCGCAGTGAACGTGCAGTCTTCACTTGGAAAAAGGTAATTTAAAATTAATTCTTATTATAATTTACTCGGGAAACTGACAGCGTTATTAATAACGATAATATTGTGATACGGTTTAGTTTTTCCATTAAACGGTAACAAAGTAACTAAAAATTCGTATATAATTTTATAAACCATTATAATTGGAAAATATATATTTTTCGAATTGATATTATTTTTAAAATTTGTGAAAAGCCGTTTAGCAGTTAACAAAATAAGACCGTATAGTGCTTATTACGTATAATGCATGTACCTGCGATAATGAATATTATGCCGCTTGGTGCTTGAGACAAAGTCACTTTACGACAGGGTGTGAACCACAATCGAATTTGTATGGAATTTGGAAATGGTCATGTGACAAAGCGTGAGCTTGGATCTAGTCAAGATGCCTTAACAGTAGTGTATGTAGAACGTCAAAAACTAAATTTGTATGAAAACTTTTCGACACGAACTGTCATTTCCATACAAATTTAGTTTTCGACTTTCTACATACACTACTGTTAAGCCATCTTGGCTAGACCCCCTTATGTTATTCCTTAATTTCTGTGGCGGTAGTGGGTCACACCTGTCGCAAAGTGATTAGTGAATTTGACTCAAGCCACAGGGAGGCTAGAGAATGTAAATTAACATACACGATTGACATATACAAAAAAAATTGTCTATACTCTGTAGGCTGTCAAATTTATTGCATTGTCGCATCAATCATAGAATTGCATATATTTTAGTTTATCACTTTAACTGTATTTAATTTACCAGTGAAAAGTAGTATTGTTGTTAATATTTAATTTCACTTAATGCTCTATATAAGTGACGGCTGAATTATTTAGGTTTTCTTATTACAATACTAATTAAAAAGTATTAAGTTTGAATACGACATCAAACTTTTACTTTCTACGTAAACAAGTCGTGATCGATGTTCAGAATAAAAAGTATAATTGTTTCGTACGCTTAAACAACGAACAAAATAAAAGGTAAGATCTAAATATACTCTATATAGATTTAGTTTACATACTATTTAAATTTGTTATGTACCTAATATTTATTATTGCAATGCCCAAAGCGTTAAAATCTATATTTTCTACTCATTTTTAAATATATTTATGCCTGAATACCAAAAATTATTCTTACTCCATTTGTAATTTTAATGCCGGTCATCTTTGTTTACTGATAACATTGTTATACAAATTGTTGTCGGTTGAATTAAAATATTGTACTCAATTCACATTTATAACGATCGTGTTTACATTCAAGATGCTTATGAAGCGATTTACTCGAACATTATGGAACAACAGTTTACAAATTGGCAAAAGATATGTGGCCTCTGATCCAAGTAAACCATTACCGGATGAATCAGAAAGAATAGACACAGCACAGGTTTGTACTTCACTTTTATCTTCATATTAAATATAAAAATAATTCACTGAAGAATATTATATGTGTTTTAAGAAGAATCCTAACAAGGGTGAACATTTAAAAACAACAATAAATTTATAATAAAAATGTTATCTAAATCAAATAAATTTTAGGAACTTGCATTGGATCGAGACATCTGCTTGCTAGTGGATGAAAAGGATAATTTCGTTGGGACAGCAACTAAACGAGAGTGCCATAAAGTAGGACCCGAAGGTGAAGTGCCTTTGCATAGAGCCTTTAGTGTATTCTTTTTTAACCAAAGAGGTGATATGCTGTTACAAAGGCGATCAAGTCAGAAGGTAAGATTATTTTACTACTGCATGCAGTTGTTAAATATTAATGACTTTTTAGTGAGGACAATTTTTTTAGTAGTATAAAGTTTTTATAAGTAGCTGAAAAAGTATTCTGTAGTGTATTGCCATCCCATATTTGAATGACTGATTCTGAGTTCACTTTTTCTTCACTAAAAAGACTTATTAGTGTTAGTGTCCATGGGCTTGATGTAGTCCTTAATAATAATAAAAATATCTTGTAATCACTTCCATCACAGGTAACATATCCAGATTATTATACAAATGCATGCTGCAGCCACCCCTTGTATATAGATGGTAAAGCTGAAGATATTATAACAGCTGCAAGACGAAGAATGAACCATGAACTTGGAGTACCATTAGATAAGGTAAATGCATATTATATGTTTGGCACTTCTTTGTTGTACGTGATTTGGGGTGCCTGGAAAAGTAAAGGCCAGTCCACAATGTAATATTTTTTTAAACAGGAGTAATAGTGTATCAATCTACAAAATTCTAATTTATGCAATTCTTATACATATAAGAAACTTATAAATGCAAATTTTATAGATGGACCCAGAAATGTTTACCTACCTAACGCGTGTCCATTACCACGACCCCGGTGATGGTGTATGGGGCGAACATGAGATTGACCATATACTATTCTTTCAAAGTGATGTCAAAGTTAAACCTAATTCTGATGAGATTTCTGAGTATTGCTTCGTTCCCAAGAATGAGTTTAATGCGTGAGTATATTTTTTCTACTAAGTTCTTTCAGAAGACTGCTCTATATGTTTTGTCCCATATAAATCTATAATTAAACAATAGACTATAGCAGATCTGATTTTTATAAATAATCATAATTCTCAATTAAACTAATCACCCCTATCTGTATAAGTTGTTACACCACTATTGCATAAAGTTCCTAAATACTTAAAAAAACTTTGACAGTTTCATCCCCACCCTGGAAGGCCCCTTGACGCCCTGGTTTAACATGATTCGACGCCATCGTCTTAAACTCTGGTGGGATAACCTTCATCGAATCAAGGAACTTGCTGAACCGGAAAAAATCCAAAAATTTATAAAAGAAAAGTAATAATAATATGTAAGGTTTTATTGTTTCTTCCATTAAGTCAATTTTTTGTTTAAACAAATATGTCACTCATCAAATTCCTGACCATTTATTGATGTTAACATTTTTATGTAGTGCAATTTTCCTGATTTATATTTTAAATAAATTCAATTTCACCTATACTTAATTATGTGGTTGCACGGGAATGTCTCCCACAAACCAGAGGTCAATCTAACAAAACGAAATCTGACATTTCTCTTAATTATTATTACACTTATTGTTTCTTTGAGCTTTCATGTGTACAGCTGTGTACAATAAATTGGTCAGTCTTTTAACCTTAATACTTTCTTTTGAGTTGAAATATATATGTTGTGTGTATTCAATATTGTAAACATTGCTATAAGGGGAAGTCATGACTTAAGATCAGGATTCAGGACTAATACATCAAAATTTTGTCGTAAGCTTTCGATAATAAAAAAATACGACATACGGATATGTTGTTTGAAGTCAATCCCTTATAGATTATTTACCTTAATTTGGTTTGTCATTGTCGAAGATTATTGTAAAACGGTTCTTTGAAATAAAATAAATTTAATAATGCATTTATTTCTTTCTTTATAATCCATTACGCAAGTTAATTACATCCTCATTTAATTGTAAAAATAAAATACATAGTTATCATTGAATATTTTGCAATCAATCAATTGATTAGATTATAGCATAAATAGCTGGAGTTTTTATGATAACCTGACATTTTTATGTGTCTCTTAGCTAACGTAGAAGTAACACATTGAACTCGAAAGAAACAAAACAATCGTTATCTCTGGTTTTTATCAAAAATCAAAATAGAAAGGTTACCTGACCACTGCTAAAAAAAGGATAGTTATGTTTTTAGAGGTCATGTATACTATATGCGTGATGTATTTATTTAGGTATTAGTATCGTATGTCAGAAGCAAAGTAGACAATGAAATACAAATCTCTATATACACGTCGTCTCAATTTGAAGTCGAAGGATATTAATTGTGTATTAATATAAACTGGACGTTTAATTAAAATATTTCTTACTTGTTGTCAAATTTTATTTTTTGGAGTTCTTGATATATTTTGTTAACCTGAGATGGGCCGAACTTGTAAGTTGTAAGACATATCTAGTTATTTAGACTCTAGAAGCATTTAAAAATTTACAATTTTAGGAAAATCTACTTTTTTATTATGTAAATTGTCTAATAGTGTTAGTAATATATTATTCTATTTATTTATGTCTGATATTCTCAACAATGTTAGCAGAAAATTACATGCATTTCGTTATTAAAAATTGACATCACGATTTCTTATACATACATACATGTATATTGAGAATATGTGAATACATCTGTATCTCCTATTAATAAAATCATATTCGGTGCTCTAAGATTTGTCAAGAGCCGTGTTGGTCTACTGGCTTCAGTGTGCGACTCTCATCCCTGAGGTCGTACGTTCGAACCACGACTGTGCACCAATAGACTTATTGTCTATGTCCGCATTTAAAAGTCGCTTGAGTCGTGCCTATTAAAAAAATTTATCACGAAACAGATACATAAATCAGCCCACACTAAGATTGTAGCGTCACTAACTTTTTAAAATTGAATTTGATAGAACAAACCTTAGACACTCACACGCATTTATTCATAAATAGGTTTCAATAATTCATCAGAGCTGTTAAAATCTGATTGAGACGATGTTGTATACTGTCTTCTGTACGAAGCAGTTACCCAGTGTAGAGTTCGCGCTTGACGTAATTTCCGTTTTCGGACTACTTTTCTTCTCCCTGCCACTTTGGTATCAGATCGGAGTAAATATGCGTAACATGAATCCTGATTGTCCGCGCTTAGGCCATTTCGGTACGCCGTGTGTAAATAACGTACGGCTATTACTTGCAGAATCTAGCAGATAATTTTTATTAATATATGCTTAATGCATGGTGGAAAAGGGCAAACATTGTACTGTACCAAACACGGAACAATTATTGTTTCTTACATAAACGAACCAAAGACTATGCTCAGATCATGGAAGCAGTCTTTATGTACTTTATGAAAAACAGTAGGCACAGAAACCGTCGTAGGTAATCTATATTCCTATAGGCCTCAAAGATATTAATTTATCACCTACAATCAGCATAATATTATGCTGATCCCGGAACAGTGTAGTCTATTAGTAGTATATTGACTGATAACGTTTTTGCATAACAATGAAAGAATTATTCCCACAAGGAAGTTTTTCTCAGGTTTTCACTGTTATCGCTCTTTGTTATCAAGAAAGTATTACAATAGGTACCCGATAATATAATGGGCCATGAGAGCCAGAGCGGCCTAACTGTAATTTTGAATAAATACTGATTTTATTCGAGCAATACATTGCCCCGACAAATCATAACTTTTTATATTGATACTAGCGGATTCGACAGACGTCCTGCATGATATTTCATGCGAGTAGGATAATAAACAAGTAATAAAATACCGACTGCAGCGCCATCTGCCGGGCTGAATTGTGAATCCAAACCATCCAAACTCCTCCATTTCCTTTGACAAAAACGCTGGACATCTTCGTGACGCTAATATTATTATTATTATTGCGTTTCATCCGTTAAAAAATTTTACCCTCATGCGCCTTAAGAAGTTTCACTTCAAAAATCTTGATAAGTTTGACTGTAAAATTCTATACTAGGTTAACAAGATCATACAATATCTACCATCGCTATTATGATGAGTGACATCACAGCATTGAAACGCCACGAGATTGACATCATTTCGCTTATCAGTTTTTCTTCGCAACCGGCTTCCCATATTGTCAACTGTGACTGAAATAGACATAACCCCATGAACCCTGAAACATGCCGTAGGTAGGTACATAATATCGATGTAAGCTTCTGTCCTTGCTCTTGCATAATCTTCTTTAGTAGATATTGAGAATCAAAGAGACATAGAAAATGGAGGCTTACAAAGCTATAACAGGCCGATAAACATAACAACCCTGAGAACCACTGGGCAGATTTTTATGAAGTTCGTAGATGTAGCTTAGCCTAAATACGTTGTTACATTTCAATTTTCAACAATCTTCGCAATTTCTAAATTTGTATGGTAGTCCGTACCTAGGTATTACAAAATATATAAATCAAAACTCGCTCATAATACGCTAATAATAGAAATCTCTTGTTAAAAAAGAGATGCCACACTTACTGAGGGATCGTACTTATAAATCGTGCCTTTCTTGGTAACGCCATGATGGATACACGGCTGCATGATATCCATTGAACAGCAGCTATACGGAACGTTGTCAGCAACAAACTTTCGTACAGATCTGCATTATTATGGATAAATAAGTTAATATCATTTTATGACACTATTCCCTTTGGACCGCCCTAAGGTCTACAGCTTTAAGATCAATACGTACAACTGCAGATGAACGTACAGATGGGTATACAAAAGATATATACATAATATTGTTTACTGCATCCGTTGCCAATTGCTTGGTTTATTTGGATACTTTATACGCATGTTGGTTCGATTCGCGTCGAAACGATAATAATTGCTTATTAATATATTGCTTAATCAAGACTTGGAAAGCATGGTGACTAATCACACATTTGCCGATTACAAAACGTATATAGTTTGTTGAATTACATTGATAAAATAAATATCAGACACAATTTGGACGACCTTTATTAAGACATAAATGACTATGAAATACACAGTAGGTAATATTTTAATACTAACAATACGTCGGTGCTTTGTCCAGGACTATACCAAGGTATAAAGAACCATTCCTGATAACCGACTCTTCCACAACAATGGAATCTGGTTTGCAACCTATCTATAGCTATTTTAGATGGAAGATGATTTGCATATCGAAGCATCGCTTTTGTTATACCTCCCTTTATTTTTGCTGAAATATAGAAATAAAACTTAAAATACTCTCTCTCTCTCTCTATACCTATGTTTTCCAAAGGACCAGCGCTTATAATTATTATTAATTTTATAATACTAAATAAATATTTAATTAAAGTGCTACTTAATGAATTATTTATTACATAGAATAGCGTGATGCAAAAAAATTACATTATCGATAATGAGTAATAACTACCTCTTATTATAGTCGATTGAAGACCTGAATAAAACATGATTGCGAGAAAAATAATAATTATTATTATTAACGACCATACGTAATAAAATAAACCATTCGTCACATTGTACTCTCTCTTGGGTAGTCCAGCTTTAAATAACTGGTACAGGCCATATAACTGTAAATAATTCACGATTTAAGTAAATTATAACTATGTTATGGAAACAAAAAAACTACTTCTAGCCTAAACGCCTAAAATTATAATTTCAACTTGACCATAACAAAATAGTATTTTTTCAAACAAACTACATTTAAATTAATGAAGTAATTTGGAGGCTACTATGCCATTCCTATAGATACACATCTCTACTATGGTCTACAGATTCATCTAATCATCATCTGATGATCTCGTTAAAATTATTTGTGTAATGAAATGGTCCTTAAAAGAAGTTAAAAAAAATAGTGACCTCTATAACAACTGCAATGATTGACCCGCAAGTAATAATAACAGGTATTGCATTGCCATCAGGCCAGCAAACTAGGTCCAAAAGTGTTCCTTCCTCACTTCGTATACCTTCAGAAGTGTTTATTAACCAAATTAAATAAAATATGATTACTGGCATGCACGCCATCAATAGCATTCTTATATTGTTAAATGAAGACCAAGATAAATACATTTTATAGGTAAACTGAAATCTTTAATTAAATAAGACTAAAATATATATAAAATTTTAGTTTTCCTTCAAATCAATCATTAATCAAATATTTTCGACATATTAGCAGTTTATCGCCTACTTTATAGAGTATTAACTTATAATATAGCTAATTTAATGTTAAAATGTGACATATCATACTTATGACATTAAAATAAGATAGTGAAGAGTATTTGTAGTCTGTGCTTATGAAAATAGAAATAACGTAGATAGAGTATAGAACCATAGTCCGTCTGCGAGAAATAAAAACAATGTTTTGTTTTTAGTTTTTATGTTCGATTATTATCTAATATTGGAATGGAATTACATAATAATTTAAATTAATTTTGTTTTATATAATAAATAATAGTAATATGGAGAAAAAGCAGGCTTCCATGTTGAGAGTGTTAAAATTCAGTATAAAAATATTATATCCAAAGTTCAATTTCTACATATTTTTAGTGTTTCTTGCTATAAAGTTTAGATATTTACAACAGAAGCTTTCAAAGTCCAACGTTATCAATATGTTCTCACTCAATACTCTACCTGAAAAAGTTATAAAAAATATTTTAAAGGAACATATAACAGAGGACTATTTAGAAATACTTGGACATAAATGTATAATTATTCCTAAGGACAGTTTTATAGACTTGTGTGTGGAGAACTTTTTCTATGTAGATAATGGTGTTCTATGGACTACTCTTTCACTGGCAAATGAATTTAAAAAGCAACATGAGGAGGAAAATCAATTTAAGAAACAAAGCAGTTTTCCTCGATTTAACTTTAATTTACCAGCAGATTTACATAAAAAGTTATACTCAACTTCAGCAGTGGCTCTAGATAATTTAAGAATAGTACCACTTGTTGGATCAAAGTTAGTTAAGGATGCTTATACAAGTGAATCTGAACAACATAACATATTAAATTCCTTTGGTCTTAATAAAAATGATAATATCTCTGTATCTTTTCATCCTATAAATTCATTTGAAAATAACCCACAAATTGCAGCAACTGCAGAAGTCTGTTTGATTCTTAGTGACTATGACTTGTCCAATGATTTTCTTAAAGAGGTATTAAGTAATTACTTTGAAAAACCAAAATTAATTTCTGAAATGGATGTTATATGTATTGAACTTACAAAAGAGATAACTACTAAATATCATTATAATCATTTGGATCTTGTGGAATCCAGTGGAAGAGTTTCTTTCAAATGTACAAAACTCACAAACAATTCACACAAGGTACAAAATGTGATAACATCACTTTTTGTTGTGAAAGGAGTAACACAACTGACTTTAGGTGAAAATATGCATTCAGTTCGACCGAAGAATGAATTCTGTATGTTACCAGCAGCAAATGTTATTCATTCCTGCCCATTGGGCTTAAAAGAAAAATTTGAGGAAATACAAGAATCAATTCAACCATTCCTGAATGGAGATATAAGTATGTTTTAAAAATGCTTTCTCTTTCATTATAAATACTTTTTTGCTTATAAAAATCATTCATTTCATCTAATTATTAATGAAAGCTAATGATGTGATGTGTATTAACACACCTTCATGCCACAAGTCTCTTGCAATGCTAGAAACATTACAAGTTTTTTTTTTCAGATACATTATCAGATTCAATGTCTAGTCCAATTATACCAATATTACTCATCACTGGTCCAACTGGCTCTGGACGACATTTATTAGTTAAAACATTAGCTAAATGTAATGGTAAGTAGAAAATAAATTTAATTTGTTATTTTAAAAACTAGAAATTTATTCTTTATTGCTATTTACTTTTAATAATAAGAATATTACCATAATTACTAAAAATGGCAACTAACTAAATTTTATCTGGACTAAATTCTAATGTAAAGCAAATTTATTTTACATAGGTTTACAAATATTACAGGGCTTAGTTATGTGCAGATTGACTGTAACCTTTTACAAAGCTCAACAGCAAAGCAAACAGAAAGTAAAATATATTCATCAATACAAAAAGCTAAGGCAGCAGCACCCGCTATTGTTTTATTGGATAATTTTGAGGTATTATATTTATTTATTATTTTATAAGAAGAAAACATACAGACACATCACAAAAATATAATAAGAAATAAGAGATTTATAATTAAATAAGTGTCCTTGCTTTGCAAATGTATTTTTCAAATTACATATTATTATTAACTACACTACTTAAATAAACAGAATACAAGGATGGACTGATGGTTGGTTATAACTTATAACTCTGTTTAGGCATAGGCATTCTATTTTCATTACCATTAATAATTGTAGCTTTCTACTTATATATTTAATTTTTAATATACTACACCCTAAGGGGCTTTTCAAATTAATATCAACAGTACCGACACTAAATAAAAATCTGTTTAGTAGTAATAGAGTAAAATAAAATCTAAAAAGCAGAAGGCACACCAACCTCGAAATTGGGGCCAACATTTTGGGTGATCTTTCTAACGTATTTAAACGCGAATTTATTGCCATATCTACTTGAATGCTTTATAACAGTCATAGTAAGAAACTTCTGTTATACATTTGAAGCTCCAAGCTGAAATTGATAAAATATATTGTATTTCAGGTTCTAGCTGTTGACCCACAAAACAATGAAGATCACAGAATTGAAGAATACTTCATAAATACCCTAACAGATCTCTACCAAAACTATACAAAACATGCAATAATATTCATAGCTTTGACTGAAAACCGTGACTTGAAACCAAATATAATGAGACTCTTCTTAGAAAAATTTCAAATATCCAAATTAAGTGTTCAGCAAAGATTTGAAATGCTCCAGTGGTTTTCATCAATCATGGAACTTAATATAGACAATCAAATTGATCAAGAAAATGAAAAAAGAGAAATCTTTAAGGAAAATCTAAGTTTGCATTCAAAAGAGGTTTTACGAAGATTAGCATCAAAGACGGAGACATTTGTCTATGGCCATTTGGATACATTAATGCATTTTGCATTAAAGGAGTCCTATTTAAAGCAAGTTGACAATTATCCGCAATTACCACAGGATCCTAACTTATATGTAATTCACGAAGAAGATTTCAATCGAGGATTAGGTATTTAAAACTTTTTTGTGGCTACTATTGTTTTGCATTTTGTTAATTTTAATTTCATAAGAAACCATAATTATTTAGGTTTAATTGAAAGTAGTTGTGTCTTATAAATAATGTATATAGAATCCGTGGAGCATATCACACACGCACAACCTAAAGCATGACTGCCATTAGGAAGTTTATGATTTTGAATTGGTTTTAATTGCAATGAAGCCTTTATTGCTTTATCATAGTGTTTTTACAATGCACTAAATTTTAAAATAGTTTAAGTCATGGCAACCCCTAACCTATAGTCTTACCATGTGGATAACATTTTATAACATACATTAATGTCTAAATTGAAAGCTTATAAAAGTAAATATTTCAGAGTCAATAAGGAGTTTGCAAAGTCAGCATTTGGATGCACCAAAAATACCTAAAGTGTATTGGGAAGATATTGGTGGCTTGGAAAAACTAAAGAAGGAATTGTTGAAAACTATAGAATTCCCTATTAAATTCCCACACTTGTTCAAGAATTCAAGTCTTAAAAGATCAGGTATTTTATACTCATCATAAAAAAAATGAAATTGTACTAAATGTCGTTAGATGTGTTATGTAAAATTACTGAACCAATGTTAATTTTTTTTGGTATACAATACATAAAACTTTTTAATTGGATATAAACCCAAATGTTGCTTATACCAATATATGCCTTTTTTGTAATAGATGGTTTTAATATGGCAACAATATCGGTCACAAAGCCAAAAAGCACTCTAAACGCCGAGTATATAAGGAATGAATTAGTGTTTATTGAAGAAATTTTATAGACTCCTTTATTTTAAATTTGTTACCTTGGCTGCAATTAAATGTAGTTAAAACAACGATAAATGGACAGTTTAGAGGCTCCATTTACAGTAAAATTTATATCATGAAAGACGTTTTGATTGGAATTGTCTAAATAATATTTTTTTCAGGAATATTATTGTATGGACCTCCAGGTTGTGGAAAGACCCTGGTGGCGAAAGCAGTTAGTACTGAACTTAACGTTAGTTTTATGAGTGTGAAAGGGCCGGAGCTATTAAATATGTATATAGGACAATCAGAAGAAAATGTAAGGAAAGGTACATAAACAAACTCAGTACATAAACTGTCATATATTTTAGTAGAACCTGGCATTTTAGAATACCCCCTTTCTGTTAGAATGTCTAACTATAGTAATATATTTTTAGTTCAGTAACTAAACAATAGACCGAAACATGATGTTTTAAGAGAAGTTACTATTTATACTAGTGTGTCTTTTCATAGCAACATAACAGAATTTGACAGAAAGAGACGACAGTGCTTAAAAGATGGTAATTAAATTGATTTCTTTTATGAATAAGGAGGGTAGTCTCTCGCGGACCACAACTGTTAAAGCACATGAAAGGTTAATGTAAATGACTTATAAAACATTCCCTTTTATCCGGTTAAATAATGATTACTTTAGATTTTTAAATTGCGTAGTACCTAAACCAATATCTTTGTTTATCCTCTGTAGATTTGTATGATGAAAGTCATCAAAGTGTTGTGGCAACGCTCATGAATCAGACTTATTTTTATGAATGAGGAAATATATGTTTGTCTTACAATAGCTATGTAGATAATTAACAACATTTTTTCAGTATTTGAATCGGCTCGTGCGTCCTCTCCCTGTATTGTCTTCCTGGATGAGCTGGATGCGCTTGCGCCGGGTCGCGGCTCAGCTGGCGACTCAGGTGGCGCCAGTGATAGAGTCGTTAGCCAGTTGTTAGCCGAACTTGATCCAGTTACTAGTGATGGTAATCAATTATCTTTTTAACCCAAATAACAAACATTCAGGATATAATACTTATATTTTATTGTATATAATGTAATTACATACATATAAATAAAACCTCTTAAGATATAGTGAGAATACAAAATGTTCGAATTGTTAGTACTTATGGATTCTGAAGGGTAAAAACTGTAAAAGGAGTCATTATAGTCAATAAAGTTCAGTTTACATTTGAAAAATTAAATAAATCAATATTTATTGTTATTCTCTTACATTAAGTGTAACATAAATTTTATTATTCGAATGTTGTTTTTAAATAATATGTCCAATGCCGTAGCATCTTCCGTGGGCAACTTCATTCTGTTACTTTTGTGTCACGGTGCGCGCGCATCGTAAAATTTCACTCTCATCAATTTTTCATAACGCGCCTAAAGAAGTATATTTTCAAAAAAGCACTTAGCCAAAACTTGTCAAATTGGCCTTCTACTCTAAGAAATCGCACTAAAAAAATGTTTCATAGAGTTTTTGTACGCAGATGGTGACACAAGTTTTGTATTTGTTATGGGTGCGACCAACCGGCCAGATTTGTTGGAACAATCCTTGCTTCGTCCAGGTCGACTTGACAAGTTGATATATGTGGGACCATATTGTGGTCTACAAGAGAAAACCTCCGTTTTAAAAGCTCTATGCCGAAGGTAGACTAAATGTAGAGATATTATTTTTGAAATCTATATAAATTTAACTTTAGTATCTAAAGTAAACATATATTGTAGTTACAATCTCCGTCCAGAAGTGGACCTTGAGAAGGTAGCAGCGGCTTTACCCCAACGCTGTACGGGGGCTGACTTACTGCAAGTTGTCTCCACTGCACGAACAGTTGCTGTACGCTCTCTAGTCGAAAAAATTAATACTGGTATGACCCTGATTTACCCCACATTAATCAAATTCGTATGACTATTGAATATTGCTTAGATGGGATACACTCTCATGATAGTTTTCTAACTTCAATATACTGTAATCTATTTATGCTTATTAACAGTTAAAATGCAGTCAACATAACAATAATGGAATTTAATTTAAAGTCCACTCACTAGTGTCTTTAAATAACTATCTTTTGAAAACCTAGCGCTAGTGAATCAACTAACTTATCCAAATTAATTAGCAGCATGTCGCGTAAAAGGTCGTTTTCAACTAAAAGGTTGCATCAATAATATATTATTAATAGTTAAACTTTTTTTTTCAATTTCTTATTGATGCATTTTTTGTGTTCTGGTATTTACTCTAATGTTTGTTTATATACATTTTTCTTGATAATTTCAGGGGTCGTCAAAGAAAGTGAATTAAGTGAAGATTCTGTAATATTAGGCGTTTCAGACTTATGGAGAGGAGTTGAATCCTTTCGACCATCTGTCACTGAAGAGGAGCTTTATTATTATGAGTCTCTACAAACAGTTATGTAATTGGGTTAAGTGCAATAAATAATTTTAAAATAAAATTAAACGTTCATTTATTGTAAAGTACTTCTAAGTAAGGTTCTATCATATATAATTATAGTAGTTTGTTTAATAAATGAGACAAGATTATGGTAATGTATTAGTATAAATAAGTAGAAAATGCTTCTATCATTACATAACGGTACACTGACAAAGGAACAATTTTAAAATATGAATTGGTTTTAGTCTCATTGATAATGTATTGCGTTGATTTCAGAAATTTATTGAATTTATTATTTTTATTTAAATATAATTAGAGATTATAACTACTAACAATTCAAAGTCAGAGACAATCTTTTTAATTTAGTTAAATTCTTATAGTAATATATTTTTATTACCCGCGCTGGTGTTGACTACTAGAACTAGCTTTACTAAAGCCTATAGTTTCAGAATTATTATCTGTGGATGTTGTAAAGTACTACATTAAGAGTTAGCTGTGACGGTATTAAACATTTGTAAAAGTATTGCCAGTAGTAGGAACTAGTCGCACAACTGAGGGTGTTTATTGTAAATGGATTATATTCAAGATACGCATCATACCGAAAAGATGTAGCTTTATAAAAATGTTAAATAATATATTTTAGTTGTATTGTAATTTTTTTGTCTTATTACATTTTGATACATTCTAGTGGTTTGTATGCTTAGAATTACATGCATCCTCATTATTTGGTACAATCAATTATTTGATTAATACTAAATAAAGACACTTTTTAACCCCCTAACAAGAAATAAAAATTCGATGTATATTAATGTCAGATTCCTTTTGTGAGTTTGTGGGTAAAAATAGTGAAGGCTTGGCAACACTGATTTGTGACTCTTTCCGATTTCAAGATGGTGAGTGTTAACGCGAAGTTGTACAAATTTTTATTAGTTTCTGTCTTGTACAATGCTATTTTTTTGTTTTTCTTAGTGAATTATGTACAGAAGCGAATATATAATATATTTTAATAGTTAATTAAGTGATCGGCTTTAAATTGTAATATTGACGTATATCTTAACCTCGTGGCTACAACATGTCTCTTTTATTGTTGAACATTACAGCCGCCCAAAAAGGACACGAAGTCTTCGGCAAAACAGCCGCAAAAAACTCAGAAAAAGAAGGAAGGATCAGGAGGTGGCAAGGCCAAGAAGAAGGTATGGAACAAAACAAACTAAAAAGTTAGGTTATGTGGCATGTAAAATTTCAAGATATTAAAGTCTTTTAATTATTATAAAATGGAGTAGCCAAACTTTGAATAAAACTGATGTACATATGACAGTATCACGGCATCCAAATTATTACTTACCACGGTAACTCGTTGTTTTACGCATTATTTTCCTGTGACATTTTCATGTGGTCATAAATATATTTAGATATATTAATGGAATATCCTCTCAAATATATTTAATTACATTGCAGAAGTGGTCCAAAGGAAAAGTCCGTGACAAGTTGAACAACCAGGTGTTATTTGACAAGCCCACATATGAAAAGCTTTACAAGGAAGTCCCACAGTACAAGCTCATCACCCCCGCAGTTGTCTCTGAAAGGTTAAAGGTCCGAGGATCCCTTGCCAGGAGAGCACTCATTGAACTTAGAGAAAAAGGTATTTAATTTGTTTTCTTACAACTTTTTTGAGTAAACAAATACCTTATTGTTTTATAAGCTTAAGGTAAGCTTGTTTTACATTTTAATTTGAAATTTCTCAAAACTATCCACTAATCATAAATAAAGTATTGCTTATGAATTTATCTACACTTGAATGAAGAAACAAAATATACTTGTAAGAATAAAAAGCCTTCTTTTCCTCAATAATATATACAGATTCTTAAGTTGAATTCGAATATAGAATTAAATTAATAATATCCTATACATATTTCAAGGACAGCACACTTAGAGCTAACACTTAATCTAAGGGTGAGACCCTCAATTTTTCCTTTCTATTATGATGATCCTCTTAATCTGGAAAAACCATGACAGTTAAATACTGATATATTGAGTCTGATCTTTTGCTCATTCAAGTGAAATATTTAAAATGTTGAAAGCTTCCAGTACAATTAGGGTCCTTTGTTTCAGGTTTAATCAAGCAGGTAGTTCAACACCACGGGCAGGTGATTTACACCAGAGCAACTAAGGGTGACGACCCTGTGGCTTAAGTTATGTATAGGTTTAAAAAATAAACAAAAAAATCTGCAATCAACTCTTTTTATTTTAATATTATTATCTCCAAATTTCACATAAGTTCAATAAATTAATGCATCTGGCAATCTATCGTATATTCACTTTGTGTTTATTATCAAGATCCATAGCAAATCTCGTAGATGGGTATCGTTCACGCAGTTTATCCTTCAGATTTGCAGAATGTACTTCATCGGCTGTTTCAACAACAATGTTTGCCTGAAAGAATTGTTAATTTAAGACTTCATATTTGATTTCTCTAAGATCTTGAAGAAGATATTCTTATTTATAATTAGAGAATTTGTCAATCTTCATACAGAAAAAATGGTTTAACAGCTGTTTAAACTAGATTTTTGGGATTGATGTTTTCAAAAAATCCTTCAAACAATAAGATCAAAAAGTAATATCTTAGGTTGCCAGTACCTCTTAAGACTTGATAGGTTTAAAAGAAGGCACTCACCCAAGTAACAAGAACATCGCTATGAACCCACATCTGCTCAGTAACGAGGCTTTTCATAACTGCCTGTTCGTCAGCGATTGTCTTTGCCAGTTGTTCCAAACCAGACGGATGGTCCGGTACAGCAACTCCAAACCGAAGTAGGCGGCCGGTCGCACCCAAACCGCGCTGAATAGAACGCGCTAAGCGCCCCGAATCAATATTCCCGCTACTTATTACGCATACAACTCTATAAAAATAACGAAGATTATACAATGAATTTAGTGCGGTTGGTTTTAATTAAATAAAAAATAAGCTTCAGTTTGCTTTAAGAAAATTGTACAGATCAAGATACGAAGTAATTTAACGAATCTATATTTGTGGACATAAAATGGCAGTGTAAAGTATATTGCCATTATATGGCATGGTGTGTTTGTTGGTTGCATATTTATGCATCTACTGAATCGATTTTTAAAGTGTATCCAGCTATGAATTTAGCCCTACTTTAATTGTTTTAGGTTTTTAAATCTAAATTCTCTGGTATTAGAATGGATTTTTTGAACCTCTTTCCTCTCAACTCCGGGACCAACCCCTGCATAACAGCAGCTAGAGAACAAACTCCAGCGCCATCTGCTACTAAGCGTTCGCGTTCCACCATACTTACTATAGCTTTAGCTATGTAACATTCGTCGACTAATAACTGTAATTTTTTAAAATACAATTTATCAAATGAGGATAAGATCTTCGAGTAGTAACTAATTTTATATTATATTAAAAATTTGTTTCGTTAGCTGAACAACGTTTGATGGACCAGGAAACCATTCTTATGTCATTAGGAATTTTTTAAAGTTATACTTCTTTAGGCGCGTTATGAAAAATTTATGAGAGTGAAATTTTACGATGCGGCGCACCTATGACACAAAATTGGGGAGTGTGATTATAGCGTGCGCGCGCGAGATAGGAATAAGACAATCTACAAGTAAAAAGAAATAGAATATGCGTGAAGTTCGTATGCCAAGAATTTTGAATGACCATAATGACATTTGTCATTTACCTTTTAAACAAATAAAGGAGTTTTGATTATTTTTTCAAAGAAATTTATTAATTTTATATTGTGCAATACTGCCAAAGCTACAACATACTTCTTAGTGTTTGGTAGAGATGTTCTAAATATATAATTATATATACTTTTAACTACATAGAATTTTAATGTTACACTTAATGTAAGAGAATAATAATAAATAATAATTATTTATTTAATTTTTCAAATGTAAACTGAACTTAATTGACTATAATGACTCCTTTTCATCTTTGATTATTTAATTGTAATTAATTATTTGCATGCAATCAAAAACTATTTTTAATAATGCCAAAGAAGTATAACTTTTACGCGCCTACATAAGTACACGTTTTTTTTAAACAAAGAACATTTTATTTTGTCCAATTTTGACTATACCAACGTCAATTTAAACAAAAACCCATGAATAAGATGAAAGATTCTTTAAATATTGAGTTGTTTCACTGAATTAACCTACTTTGTAACACGTACCATTCTGTCCAATCGCCCGTTAATGGTAGCAAACGCATTGGTCCCTACAATGGCTGCATTAAGATTTTGTGCCAAGTTGGCTACAATTGCAGTGCTCTCTGGCCTTCCAGCTTGTAATGCTTTCATCATTTTTGGAACCTTAACGCATTCCACACCCTATAAATTACAATATTAGCAGTGACTTCGCGGTTTTCCAAAATGCAACAAAAACGAATGTATATTTTTTTGAAATAACCAAAATATCCTTACATAAACTAGACATGAACACTTAAGCTTTTTGCAAGCGACAAGAACAGCGGCCAACAAGGCTCCAGTAGCTACTGGTACTATAACAGCATCTGTTTCTGGAAGCTGAGTTATGATTTCCACCCCAATGGTGCCAAGACCCGCCATCACCATAGGATCGTCTGAGCTGTGAAATATTTTCCAAGCAGCCTTTCGGCTTAATTGGCCAATTCAAAAATTACACTTAGAGGGCACAAAAGCATCGATGTATACCTAGTAATAATTTCGTGATTTGATTAATAACTTACCTATACCTATAATGATTTGAAAAATGTAGGTGCGAGTGAGATTTACTTTGTAAGTAATAATTATTACAATTTGATCGGCTTATAACTACTACCGATTGGTTGCTAACCCTCTAACCTAATCGATCTCCTGGGTTCGATTCCCAGCAAATCAATGCGTTTTAAAGTTGAATGATATCTCGTCACTCTTGCGTAAATATATCTATTTGGGACACTCAGTCAATAATTTCACACAGCAAATTTTAAAATCAGCAGCATTACATTTCACATTACCATAATAACATTTGTTGGCTATCTCTGGCAGCTTTTTGGGCATAGTAATAAGCGCCTTCAATATTTTCTCCTTGGTGTACCACGTCCGCACCGAATTCTGAACAGCGAAGGGAATGCGCGGGAGCAACTCTTTCTGGTAACACTACGGTTACCTGTGATGTAATTTTAAGGACATAATCAGATATTTTCTGAGGTTAATTTTGGTTGGGTGCGATTCCATTGAAAGGTACCGTATGTGTTGCAGAAACTGGATTTTTATTTTAGGTTAGTTTCTCTTGCTTTCCATCTTTTAGTCGCGAAACACACAGAAAAGGCGTAAGGTGAAGGCGCGGCGCAGGCATCTTGCCGCTTCAAAACGCGTCAATACAAAATGTACGTAAGCGGCACGTTGTTAATTATACTCAAGCGGCGTGGCATGTCGTTTCGTCGCCTGTTCCGCGTCGCTAGCAGCAAAGCGAGCGCATCTTCGTCATCTGAAGAGGAAGACATGCTATCACGATAAAGTCAACCTGCGTAATGACTCTTTGTGCCGTCTCTTCGCCTCTTTGATATAATTTAAGACGCATCCGTGCCTTATCTGTTCCACGCCGGCTCTGCGCTTGCGCCGCGCCTTCACCTTACGCCTTTTCTGTATGTTTCGCGCCTTAGGCGAGTTACATCATCTCCTGGAGTTAACAGATTTTTGGCCAGCTTATTTGTATGTTTGTTTAACCTTTCCCTGTATCAATACTGTTTTTGAGGATTACTTCCTCAACTGGAAAAACGGTTGGCATCTCCAGAAAATCGATTATTGAGGAAACGATAAATCAAATAAATTTACGTCAAGGGAAATTCTCACTCACAGCCAGGCTTGATTGACACAAAGAGTAAAGACCTGTACTTCGAAAATATGTAATATTCAAAACATTTTAATAACTCTGACTTGGGATGGTTAAGATCTCAGATAGCGCAGGTGTATTCAGAGCATTTTGAATAAGACTTTGCAAGATTTGTAATTATTTAAGAAAACCCAGGTTTACCGGAATCCCTAAAGGAGTACCGTGGTAAGCGGCGGCTAAGCCCATGTTACCGCTAGATGGCACTATCACGCCCCTTTCACGCATTTCTGCTGCATTCGCCACAAATGCATTGCGAATTCCACGTTCCGCACAGCTACACATATTATTGGAATGCACTAGTAAGTGTAAAATAACCATATTTTTTTAAAATCCATAACGATTAAAAAAAATATGGATGAGCTATTGCTCATACAAAGGTCAATTCAAATCATCGTAGTTTTTATAATAACAAAATAATTCTGAGTAAACCTAAAAATATTTATAAATTTGCTTAATAATTATTAAGATAATTTTCGATTATGCAAAATATATTTTTTAAATTTAAGTAATCCTTAGTTACCTGCCGGTGTATTGCAAATTTTCGCATTTGAAATAAATATTATAGTCCATTTGTTTGCTTATTTTTGCCTCCTGTAATAATATTGCTGTAGTAAATAAAATAACTTTATTTTGTATTTCGTGTTATCTTGCGGCAATAAGATAATAAAGTCAGCTTTCTGTGCCTACTAATCCAAAATAACTGTTTTGCCGGCTATAGTTCGTCGGATCTCGACAATATATTAGGTGCTCTGCGTTACCGACTGCGAAACAAAGCTTATAGACACCGACCGAAACTTTGAAACTGCTACCTTTTTCGATTTTTTTTATTACTTAAAAATTCAAATAAAGTACAGTTAACTATACCAAATAAATACACATAACTTACGCAGAGGGGTGTATGAATAATTCCATCGTCAATTCTCTCAGCGGCTTCTTTTATTTCGTGAAATGACAGAATATGAGGTTGTTCCAAATCCTCATCACGGCCATCCTATAGTCAATATGTCTAATTAATTATTTGGCACATTAAAACATATCTAAGGAATAACTACAAGGCACTTAAGAAGAAATAATTAAAATGTACGTAATAAAGATATTACGACGATATTTATATATAAATCATAGATAGGTATTAGAGCGCTTTGGATAAGATAAGAAGTCCAGGGAACAGGTATTTTATTAAAGCTTTTTGGCGGAATCACCATGATTATATTTTGAGTCTCCGCCACTAATAATAGAGAATATTCTGACACAGGATGAGTAACTGGACATAGAAAGTGTTGTACCTATATAAATTAGAATTAACTTACCATTTTAGATTAAACAATTTTCTATTAATTAATTTTGGGTCAAATAAACTATAATTTACGAATACGAAGAACTATAAAATGTCGTAGAAATTATAACAAAAATTTGGTGACTTAAGTTTTGACATGGCTTTGACTTACATTTTAATAATATCTTAGATAAACAATAATATTTAGAGTAACACTAGAGAGTATATCTAAGAATATTTTTTTATATATCTCATGATCTTTATCCTTACTAAGCCAATGCATAGGATATATAATATACATACTGTAAACTCGCTCGAACATATAAAGATGTCGATTGTGTCGGAGATAGCATTTAGTAGGCGCGTCCTTTGTATCACAAACAAACTTGGCCTTCGCCTAATTTATATTATTAAAACAGGGTGTCCGGTAATTTATGGATAATATTAAAGTGCCCTTATGTTCGTTCAGAATACGAAATACGAAAAAGTAATAATGTATTATGAGTGATAAGTATCTAAGATATAATATATTTAAAAAAATACATAAATTGTTACTTCATTTAAAAAAATAACAATACCTTTACAAAGATTAAACTACTTGGGGATAAATAATTTTATGAATGCATAAGCGACCACTAATTATAAAATAATATATGATTCCAGTAATGTAAATTATCATGGTATAATTTTGTCTCCTTCAATGAATAGAAAATTACAAAATATACGTGGGACCATTATCAAAATATTTCATGTAGAATTATTTAATTTGATTCTTATATAGAACTAACTAAAACCTACGCTTTTATAAGAAATATTTTATATAGGTGTTATTGTGAAGTTTTATCGCATTAATAATACCTGTCAACATAGAATAATTATTTTAAGATGTTTTAACTACCGTACACTCCGTATATTATTTATTATTGTATCTTCGGACTAGTATCTATAAAAATCAACGAAGCTCAAAGAAATAGACTTCAAAAACTTTAATAATCTTAGGTACATGTGTAATTTAAAATTATACTAAAAATAACATTTACTTTAGATGGAATTTATTTCGGAAACTGTGTAATCTTTTGCTATTTTTTGTTGAATTTCTTCGCCGTGACTCGAATCGTTGACCTCAAGCAATAAGGTAACCTGCAAATAGATACGTGTTACGTAGCTGTACTATATATATAGATATTATATGTTTATACATCATAAATATAATAAATACGTCATAAAATGTCGACCTCCTTTTCAATAAATTATGCTCAAACCGTGGGTTATATTTTAATTTAATCTGGATAATTTTTGACATTTGGTCAAAGTAAGTTCATTTTTTAAATATTTTAGACTTTTACCTTTATTGACAGGTCTCTTTGTGGCGATTTTGTTTCTGAAATACTTCTTATATCAGCGCCTGCATCTGTTACTCTACCAATGAGCTTTGCGATTGAACCGGGCGAATCATTTATTGTAACTGTTAAATTTAATAATCTGCCTTCTGCGAGTAAACCACGCTCAATTACCCGCGCGATGCGATTACTGTTAATGTTGCCACCCGATAATATAACCACAACACTGGAATATTAAAAACATTATTCATCAAAATTAGGTGTTCCAAATCTTGACACGACATGACGTGAAAAAAATAAATAGATGATAATTATTATTATAGATCATTACGGGGGAATTATATAACAGGTCGAACGAATCATAAACTACGACGTCGTCGTTGTTTTCGGTACTGCGACATCTAAGTTATAATATGTATTGGTAAGAATAATAACAAAATGGTTACTACTTCATCTGTAAATACAAACTTTTTCCCACGAAGCTCCGGCACTTTTCCCGCCAGCATGGCTGCAACCGGACATGCAGCAGCGCCCTCTACAAACATTTTCTCGCGCTCAAACAATTTCACCATGGCCCGCGAAATCCAAGTGTCATCAACAGTAATCTAGAAAATGGCAGTAAATTTAATAGAAATAATAAAAATGATTCCAATAAATTCCAATTTATCTTGTTGACTGAAACTATCGTTATATTACAATAGATGTTTAATTTTCATGCATTAATGTCCATGAAGGTTCTCCAAGAAATAATAAGTTATTTTTAGTTATTACCCACCATTTTGTCGAGGTAACCACGTATGATGTTGTATGAGTTGGTGCCCGTAATCATTTCAGACAAGCTATCTGCTATGTTTGGTTTTGTCTGTATCGGAACAGGCTTCTTTTCCTGCAATGCTTTAGTCACGGTTGGCGACAGTGAACATTCAACACCCTTAAAATAAAATTATGTTTTCACAGTAACATTTTTATGACCTAAAAAATCCTAACTTAGGGCTTAAATAAATTCATATACTAACATAAATTAAACAATTGGGTTTGAGGGTTTTAATTGCAAGTAGAACACTTGCAACAAGGCCTCCACTACCCACTGGGCATAATACTGCATCTAGTTGATCAACTTGCGTGAGGATCTCTAGTCCAACAGTGCCGTATCCAGCTAATAATTCCAATTTATCGGTACTAAAATAATACCAACAAATAAAATAGCATACACAATACGCGCGGTGTCCAATAAGTACATTACGCGTATTGTATATGATCAAGAAATCAAGTTGTATTTTAACTATTGAATTTTTTTGATTGAGGTATATATAGACTTACCTCCTCACAAACGTGGAGCCAACATCTCTGCTAAAAGTCAGAGCATGCAAACCTGCCTCAGTCGCGTCACAACCAAGGCACTTTACAATAGCTGAACTCTCCCTATATCGCTGTTTGTCGGCTAAAGGAGCATCCCTTGGTATAACTATATTAATAGGAATCGAGTTTTGCAATCCGTAATAGCTGATAGCGGCTAGAAAATTACGGCCTCCACATACAGTAATACCTTTGCTCCTCTCAGAAGTTTCCATATTTGCAATTAAGTTACAAACTCCTCGGGCTTTAAAACTGTTACAAATATACTTAATTAGGAATTATACAGATGACATTATACACAAATATTCTTATCATAGAGCCATGATATTTCATAACAACATAATACATACCTTCCAGTTGTTTGTAAGTTTTCACATTTAAACATAACTTTACAAAAATACTTCCCAATATATTTAGCTTCCTAAAACATTTTTTTGCTTAAGTTTAACATACGTAATATATCATGAGATATATTAAGTATGTATATTGATTCTATCTGTACAGATAACTTACAAGTAGAGGGGTAGCAATAATTTGATTTTTAATCTTGTTATGAGCATCTTGTATATCTTCAAGTTTTAGTTTTATATTGCTAATTGACCCATGAATAAGATTTTGTTCCTAAAATGTATAATTTTTATTATCTGAATTACAGTGATCATAATCTTTTACCAAAATATACTTACCGTGGCATATTTCTCTCTTGTGGGACTTAATCTTCCTTGACAAAGCATTTTTAGTTTTAGTAATACGTTTTAAATTTATCTTTTGTGTAAGCTAAATTTTTAAATTATTGTTTGAAACTGTCAATGTCTTTGATACTGGAATAAGAATAAAATATTCCACAGACTATTTTGATGCACATTATAATAATTGTCAACAAAATATGAGTCATAATATAATTACTATTTAGTGAAATGAAACAAATATAATTAATTTAATAGTTTATTTCTCAGAAGTTTCATTATCATTCATTCAATTAATCGCTAAAGCATCATTTTGAGCTTCTTGAGACAACTGTACTTGTAAATTCAATAGTTTATTTTTCAACACAACTATACCCATTAAAACAATATTTTCAGGTTTAAGGGCTCCTGCTGATTCAACATTATAAAAGAATTTATTTGGTTTAGCTTCCCAATTGAACTCCGCTTCATATTGGTCTTCATCTAATTCTGTATGCTCACTTTTAGGCCATTCATCTGGTTTTGGGAATAATGTATGCCTCATTGAATTATCAGGATCATATTCAAATGATACACCTGCTGTTGGGTTCCATTTAGCATGTTCTTTACCAAAACCTTTCTTTGCATATGCTCGCAATTTTAGTTCCTGACCTTTTCTTAATTTTATGATAAGAATTTCATCCATCTCACCATAATCTGCTTGATCTTCATCCCTATGGCGAGATGTTACGGGCACTACCCTGGGATCACTTGACTTAAGATCTGCTGTAGTTACATGCCTTGTCTGCTCATCCGAGCACTTTACGTCTAAAGTAAACTCTACACTACAATCTGAACAAAAATCTGCACACATGCAATCTCTGGAATATCTTATTTTGTCAACGACTTCATCGGATATAAGAGGGATGAGACCGATGCGATGAGCAAGAAATTCGTCACTCAAAACGGTGGAGTTAGCCTCCAATTGCACCCAGTCTATAGCCATCGTTGGAGTTTCCGCGATAAATACACGTCGCATACTATTTGCTACACTTAATTCTGTATCTTCAACAACAAACTTTACGTTATCATCAGTAAGCTCAGTAATATGGACAGAAGGTTGATTAGCGTACGGCATTTCTTTATCGGCATTTATAACATATAATCTGAATATTTGAATGTTGTTCTTATATAAAAAACAAAACTTATTCAAGCAAATCGCATTTTGGTAATAAATTATAAACACAAGGTTCAGAATTTCACGGTCCACAGATGACTATTGACTATTTACTACAGTGTACAGTAAAGGTGCAGACTTCTGGCACAGATTATATAGTCACAGCCCGTAGACTCACAGAACCTTATGAAGCCTAATATATAGGTATTGTTGTACATTATTTAGAAACAACGCAAATACAAGTGTGAAACAACTGGCGAGTAGAGTGGCAGTTTAAGTGAACAGTGGAATCACAATAACTCGAATGATCCAGTTAACATGTAGTAAATATTAATTAATAGATAGCTATAAAACAATTAACTCGATTGTAAAATATTGCCAAGTATCCAAAAAATCCAAATAAAATAAACGTAGAAGCACATTCACGTAAACGAAAGTAACGGATTGAATCTGTCAGTGTAATTTCTGTCAAAATCTACATTCATAATAGCGGTACGCGTTTCGTTTCGCATGTTTGAAATACAATTTAACGAATTTCAATGGAATACACAAAATTATATAATTTTTTATATACTTAGACGCAACTCCGGCAGTCAAAATTACTTGCAGGGGTTCCAATCAAGGTCCCCGAGATACCTACGTAATCAGTTTCATCAAATTCAGTATCGACGTATTAGTAAATCCAACCCCTCGATTGTCAAGGGAAATACAAAAAGAAATAACTTAACAACAACTTCGAGATACATATAGAAAGAAAGAAAGAAAGAAAGAAAAAACTTTATTATACACAATAACAGGATATTTATATATGATTCAACTGTTGAAATTTCGACTTACAGAGGCACGATTTATATGTGTATTTTTCGATTTGTAGGGTCGAATTGGAATAACAAATCAACTTAAGTTTTGTGGTACTTAGGGGAAGGTCGGGTACCCTTCGTACGGTTTTCACATTTTATTTATATTTTTTATTTTTTTCTTTTTCCATGAATCAATCATCTGATAGCTTAAATTTATTGTCTATCTGAGATTCATATTAAAAAATAACAAATGACTTCATCAACAGTTTCAACCATAATTATGATTTAAACTAAATCTGGAATACGTATTCGTACGTACGAATCTGCTCCATCAACGGGGCGCACCTTCGTACAGTGTTGGGGGTACATTCGTACGCTGTGGGGTAGTTCCGTACGTGCGATTAAAACGACACATATAAAACAAAATTCATTTATTAGCAATGAAATTAAACACAAAAATAAAGATAAACTTCTGTTAAACAAAAATAAAATACTTTTCTTATAGTGAACAAAAATTACATAGCTTTTCTTAAGTAAAACAAAATTTAATTAGTTAGGTATCTTAAATTTAGAATCACATTTTTTAATCTTTTGTGCGGATTAGCACTTCTTATTTTCGGGTGTGGCATTATAAATTCGTGGTTTTCCTGGCCGTCGTCGTCATTTTATTTGTTTTATTACTTACAACATGCGGATAGGGTCAAAACGCTTCTGGTGTCAAAACTGACTTCGAAGGAACTACTATTTGATGGATTGGTAAATTATTCAATGCATCTAGTTCACAAGCATCAAAATCAACCTTAATAAAGATAATAAAAATAGGTATTAATATATATTTACATCGACGATAGCAATGATAGCAACACAGGACAAAGTTAATGCAAATTTAAATTGTCCAATCTAAAAAAAAAAAAAAATATTAGCAATTATCACACTAACACAATCTTTCCTACCTATCAGAGAGATTAGTCAAGATGCCTTAACAGTAGTGTATGTAGCAAGTCGAAAACTTAATTTGTATGAAAATGACAGTTCGTGTCGACAAAATATTTTCATACAAATTTAGTTGTACAATTCGTTCAAATGTGCCCCATCTAGTGCTGTCCGAAAGTACCCTACTAACTGAATAACAACAAAATATAACTAATTTTAATATAAATAGGAAAACGTCATAAATTAAGTATTGGAGAGGATCTTAAGTATATTTTGCTAGTTACTGATAGAATACTCTACACGAAAACTTATTTTATGTACGGTAACAAGAGACAAAAACATTGATCAAAAAATTACTTACCGAGCGTGAAAACACGTCTATGCCTGTAACTTCACTCTCATCAGTGCGAATTTCGCGAAACTTCGGTGATGTATAGTTGGTAGGTACCTCGACTCATGCACACATACAAAAACAAGACTGTACTTTGTTTCGTTCAAGTTTTATTTTGAATGTATGAATGTGCTCCGCGTACGAAGGGTAACGATCTTCCCCTATATATTTTTACACATTAAAACGAATTACATATTAATTAAGTAAACTGAACACTACAAAAATGTTGAATGTATTCATCCATTGCACGTGTGCAAGACAAAAATAATAGATTAGAAGCCTCGAACCCGAACATTCATTTTGGATTTTCTTGCTATTATTTCGGGAAATTCCAAGTAAGACGTCATTATATTTTACAAATACGCCTTACACGGAGTCTCCTTTTTGAAATTCGAGTTATAGAGTAGAAATATGTATTATCAATACTTCGTATTGAAATAACATTTTGTTCATGTTACAAAGTCTAAATAATTCGAAATTCCTCGTATTTAAGGGTTCAAAGGAATGGCAATTTTTTCGACTTACTGAGGATTTCGACTTAACGAGGTTCGAGTTATAGATGTCAACGTAAAATTGTAAAAACCGTTAGATTGATTAACATAGACATTCCACTGTATTAGCAATTTCCTACAAAATATCTTTGTTAAAATTGGAATAGAATTATCTTAATAAAAGAGCACTAGGCAGTATTGTAAGACTGTGATAAGACTTAAACTTAGCTGAAAGGATAAAAAATAAAAGGAGAAAAAAATCTACCGAAAACCGAAACCTTACCTACTTATTTGCCATCATTAAAGCATAGTATTCCTAGTCTGTAAGTATACCGACACGCAAATAATTACCGACAACAGGGGGTCTACCATGTGCTTTCTTAAAAAAATTCGGTAAAGATGCTGATGAGTTTAGGTTCCTAAATTCAATAGCATAGAATCGCAAGACAGAACGAAAGAAAGATAATTTTGTTTCGAGGTTTTTATGTAAGTTTTGAAATTTAACTATCGTTGCTTCGACTGATGATATACTCTATAATAATAAATATATTTTAAATAATTTATCGATCATAAAAGCTTATTACGTTTTAATTAATATAATCATTTAATGAAAAAAAAACTATTATTTTGATATACATATTTGAAATGTAATGTTTTCTAGTTATGATAGTTAACACTTACATGTTTAAACGTTTTCCAAAAATAAATACGTATATTGAAGTGAATTATTGATATGAAACGTTTTGCAAAAGATATAACAACACAACTTATAATTACTCGTAAAACATAAGTAACTTTATCCTCCTCCTTATAAAAATAAATTCCTTTTAATTGTACCAATTTAGTTCATACATTTACTAATTCGTATTAAAAAAATAATAAATAAAAATCGCTGTACCTCTTAGTGGCACAAAACAGTAGAGAAGATTCATGAACATAGGGATAATTATAATCATTTTTATTATATATCATTCTTATTTATTGTAAAATGAACCAGGTGGCATCTATTTTTGTACCTATGATTGTATACTGATTCCTAAAGAAGGTTTAGGTGTGTTATTCATTATGCTATATTTTCATACACGGAGTTATCGTAAGAGACTTCGATAAAATACACGAAATATACGCGGGGGGAAGCTGGTTTAAAATAATATATGATATTTTAGGGAATTATGTTTTTTTGTTTTTGTCAAACTATCTACATCCCTAATTAATTAATTGAATATTATTAAACATAGTCTATCCAATTGCGTGTATACGGAATTCTTCAACGAATCAAAGTCGTTGATTTATAACTCGACAATCGATATCTTCGAAGTTGGTTGAAAGGGATTGTGTGTTTCTTTTCTCTGACAATTTTTTAATAATTTCTTCATAATCACAGCGTCTAAATTCTCAATAAACCTATTCAATATCCGAAATTCAAAAATTATAAAGGTTTTACTGTATTAGACATTATGTTATTAATCTTACTTTATGAACTAGTTTTTATTAAAATATGAAATTTCATATGTTCTATACTATTATTTGGAAACTTCGATACAAAAACTGAACAAAAAGCTTATTATGTCATAGTTTGTAGTCGAAACAGTCAAATTCTGGTTCAGTCCCGAGGTCATGGTACGAATTTTTATACAAATTGAACGAACGAAGTTTAATTACCACTGAGGTTACCTGGACACATAAACTGGCTAGTTTATTCGATGTCATTGTATGAATAAGCGATGTATTTCAGTTCTAGGTTGTCAATAAGAGGCTCCGAATAAGAGCTCATGGTAGGCCCCCTAATTTGGAGATAAAGAATTTAATTACCATTTGCTTTGCCAAAAACTTTTTTGTTTTGTTTTTTTTCAATTATATAATTTGGTCGTGTGTATATAATAAAGCTCTTACAAAATAATAGATCTTATTTCCAATATAATGACATTATTTATACTCATTATATATGGTTATCTTCGAGGCAGGCATCTTTACATTTATCGCGTTTTTTTATTATCTCGTATAGTTCAAGAATATAATAAAAATTGAGTAAAGCGCGAAGGACATTCAGTTGTTATAAGAGAACCGTACTGACCGGTCATTTGATAAAATTATTTCAAAATTGTGTTTTAATTTTACTGCTTTAGGCAACAATTAAATATGGAACGGTACGACTGCTTCCAGCCAGTAAGAAGACTTTATTACAATATATGATAATACTGATAAATGTGATCGTTATTATAATACCACATATCACCAAATGCGATACTAAAATTTTATTCTGTTGTGAAAGTTTTTAATTTATTAAGTTAATCTGTGTTAGAGCTATGTTCATACAAGGCATATTATTTTTGCAACTTTTTGTAGTTATTATCAAGCTCTCTCGTAGTTGAGGAACGTAGGAAACGTTTCATTCGATCGTTTTTTCTTGCAAATTCTCGTGTCACAATGTTCGTTCCCATACTCCTCCGAAACGGCTTGATCGATTCTTATGATTTTTTTTATGTATATTCAGTAAGTCTGAGAATCGGCTACTATCTATGTTTCAAACCCCTATGTGTCCACCCCATAAGGGTTGTTTTTATTTTTTTATGATACAGCATACAATACATACAACTCTTAAATGTCACACCCCTCTACGATCAACCCCTATTTCTTATTATAGTAGATTGTTGTTTTTATTGAACTAAAAAAATGTTTCCTAGAAATAATGTATATGGCAAAACGACGTTTGCCAGGTCAGCTAGTATAATATATTATGTTACCTTTCCATAACGTGGCTATGTATTGGAATTGTCAAAGCGGATCAGTAGATTCACACAGATCCAGTCAACTTTACCTCTATAACATAAGTACTCGTATAGATGATTTAAGACAATATATGTCAAAGTAAGACTTATGATATGAGAGATATAATATGTCCAAGTAAGACTTAAGTAAACCATGAATTTTTAAAAATATCTTTTAGGAGATGGGATACAACATTGGATCCGCATAGAAACGGTCATCTTTAAACGTACGTCTTTGTTCAAATGAAAGTATTATATGAACTAAGTTCATGTTATATACATGGGTTGACCTTAGGTAATCGTTAGGCCAACAAGTCAATATACTTATATTAATAATAATTATGATAGTTATTTGTAAACTGAGACATCTGCTATCATTAATATATTTCCGACACCTTTGATCTTTGTCATCATTAAATATAAGTGCTAATACTCATAGACGCAGCTGTGATCGTGGTGTTAATACAAAATGGGTTTTCAGACGATAGAGTATGATCCAATGTGTGATCAGGATAATCCTCAAAAAATATCCTTTGAGGATGTATCAGCGGCTGCATTCAGAATTCAAAGTGGGATCGTTAAGACGCCGTGCGTGGTGAGTGTTTTTTTTATAGATTTCCTGGAATAATTCTCATTACTATATAAAATCTACGCTATTACTAATAGTTAGTAGAATTTTAATTTTTTTTATTTCTTTCATTCGACGTATTGTGTCTGGCCCTAACATCACGTCATGAGCGTAGAACAATGTCGGATTTGAAAAAAATCCAAAATCCACTTTTTATCATATTTGGATACTACATTGACTAAATATTACGGCGACCGGCTACGTTAAAAAACAATTCCATGTGTTTTAAATTTCAAAGTGGTAAAGTGACGGGTTTGATAGAAGCATGTGATTTTTCTAAGAACTGTGTAATTTAATGTTATTATTTTTATATTTTTTGAAACCAAACCCTTTTGTTTGCTTGTATTCCAATTTTCATAATAACAGAATATGAATTAAAATAGTTATGACAAAAACTAACATGATTATATTATTTTCAAATGGCTGTCCTGCAAAGTTTACTATTTGTCAGATCCGTCACTATTCTACGACTATGACGATCAATGAAACAGATGCAACGATGCCCATTGGTAGGCAGTCGGTTTTATACATAAATTGTTTTGTTACAGAAATCTCACATGTCAAACATTTATGGTATGGACATATTCCTCAAAAATGACTTTCTGCAGTACACTGGAAGGTAATTCATATATAAATATTATTTAAATAGTAAATTGAATGTATTTCAATTATAGGTAAAATATCTTTACAATTTTAGCTTTAAAGAACGCGGAGCTCGTAACGCGTTGCTCTTACTTCCGCCGGAAGCCAAAAGCCGTGGTGTGATATCCGCTTCCCTTGGAAATCACTCCCAAGGTTTAAGCTACCATGCCCACCAGTTGAACATACCCACCACCGTGGTGATGCCAAACGTTGCGCCCATTATGAAGATTGAGAATTGTCGGTCGTACGGCGCGAAAGTAATCGTACACGGCCATGACATGAAGGAAGCAAAATACCACGCAATGACGCTGGCAAAAGAGAAAGGGCTTACATACATTAATGGGTAAGTGAGTGGTTCTTGAATAGCCCTGGGATAAGGCATTATTACTTTGCTATAACTTATAAGAACATGTTAATCAGAGATATCATAAAACCTGTGGGTACAACCATACAATTATTTCCTTGCATCTGAAGAGCTTTTTGTAAACCGTTTAATCTTTTGATATTTCTTATAATTATAATGAATTTTAGAACCTTTATAAAAACAGCGAAGCCCTTGCAACTGTTATTGTTACTAAAAAGTAAGGAATTTGGCAAGCCCATATATTTTATAAAGTAATAAAAACTTGCTTACTTTAATATTAGACTTTAAAATATATGTACTATGAGTTATGACTGACTATAGATTATTAATGAACAATCGGTTCAAAGTAACTTTATTTCTCAAAGATTTACATTCACTTAGTGAGAAATTTTAGAGGTTAGTAATGTATATAACAATCGATTGTTAATTCTTTTAACTGTGTCAAAAAAAGTGTAAAACTATAAAGCCCCTTACCGTGCCCTAAGCCTTTTTCAAATTCGAAGCTAGGTATTGCATGTCAATGTAATGAACAAAATCGTATTTCATTAAATAATATAAAGGAAATCCACAGATACGACCATCCCCACATTATGGCTGGACAGGGGACAGTGGGGTTAGAAATCCTTGAACAAGTCCCCGATGTCGACGCCATCTTGGTTCCCGTTGGGGGCGGAGGCTTACTGGCGGGAGTTGCTACTGCTGTCAAACATCTTAGACCTCATGTTCTTATATATGTTAGTATGTCCTCGTGTTGGTATAATATGTTTTTAAGCCTGATTTATTTATATTATACCTGTGCTGGAGTAATACTATCCTTCATTCTGTTACTTACTGTTTCGAACTCAAGACAGTTTTATCATAAAATACTTGCTTGACATACGTTAATTACAGTATATAGCAAAAACCTAATGAACTGCGATCAAACCGCTATGAATGTACAGTATAGATAAAATTAATCTCTTGCGCTTCGCTTATTTAACCCTGTTCGAGTCAGTTTTACAATTTTATTAAACGTGGATAAGATAAATTATTTTTATATTTATTTTAGGGTGTGGAAACAGAAAAGTGCCCTAGTATGGAGGAGGCGATGCGACAAGAATCCCCAAAATGTGTGGAGATCCGATCAACGCTGGCAGACGGTCTTGCCGTACCGACCGTTGGGTTCAACGCCTTTTTCACTGTCAAATCACTTATTGATAAGATGGTATGCATGGATATATCAATTATTTAGTATAACAAGAAAATCATCAATGCAGTACACATATTTATACACATAATCTGTTCTATGTTCGCATTTAACACTCGCTCGTGAAGGAAATTGTGAGAGTGCCGATAAAAGTCGCCGGCGTGTGTCACTTATACAAAAGCTATAGTGATGACTAAACATTAAATTATTATTTTTAACTGTCCGTTTTTGTCCGATAACTTTCTATGGGCATCAGAGGCAAAAAAATTTTGCATCTACCTTGTTTAGATTAATATAGTATATTTAAATTCTTATATTCGAAGAAATGTTAATTATTATCTTATGCGATTTGAATGTTTCATTATATATAAATTTAATCATAATAATATTATTATTATAGAAGATAATTATAATCAAAGTGTTGATATTTTAAGATGGTTTACACTAACTTTGAACTTAAAAATCTGATAAACAGCTTATGCAAAACATTACACAAATTAAATTCGACTATCATGAACTATTCAACTACTATGAAGTTCGCAAAAAACAATTATTATAATGGATACAAAAAGTAACATGAATTTTGACTTTGACTGTGAGTCGTAAAGAGTGAAAAAATGACTGTCAAAGACGCGACTCGTATTTTGGAGATAGACCCGGTGTTATATAAAAATCACATATATAAGTTTGCGTTAACACGTTTTCTAGGAAGAAACAGATCTGACCAGGGCTGCTTTATTTCTCTCTCTACTGCAGAAATATTTTTGGTTTTTTTTTTAAATTTTACTAAGCGGTAACTTTTAGTCGATATTCTTTATAGGGCTATTTTTTTTATAAATAGACCCATGAAACAATTATTTGTTACAGAATTAAACGAACTCAGAATAACATTAAGTTAAGTTAAGGTCAAGGGGATCAGCCTTCCGTTTCACACATTTTATCGTTTTTGGAATTTGAGACATTGTCGATTTGTCCTAATGCACACAGGCAGAAAGTGCATTGGTGCATAGCCGGGGATCGAACAAACGACCTCACGGATGAGAGTCGCACGCTGAAGCCACACAGATCATTAAACTCGCTCACATAAAACCATCTTCTACAAATTTATAGAAGCGATTAATTTAAGCTAAATAATGTTTTTCAAGATTACCGTGAACGAAGACTGGCTAGCCAGAGCCATACTGCGGCTAGTGGAACAAGAGAAGTATGTTGTTGAAGGTGGTGGTGCGGTCGGAGTAGCAGCCATCATGGCTGGTCTTGTACCAGACCTTGCCGGCAAGAAGTAAGTCACCGTTTTTGCACATAACACTTTCCCTCACACTGTATTTTAATAGGGCTCGTAATTTACTAGATTTCTTTATTTAACCTTATTCAAAAACATACACATAAAAAAAATAAAAAAACAGGTTACAAAAGTTATAAGGCATCGGGCGGCCTTATCGCCAACAAGCGATTTATTCCAGGCAACCCTAATGTGGAACAATGAAAAAGAAACACCTACAGAGGGAAGAGAAATGCAAAAAAAAAACTCAAAACAACGATTTTGTTTATTTAAGCAAAAACCAATTTATACCGTTTTCACTAAACCACACTGGTTCTTTTCATCACGGTGTGAACACAATTTGCCAGACAGAGACAAAATAGTTTCAAGAATGGTAGATCGATTTTGTTTTTTATGAATAATGTGGTTATTCAATAAGTTACACCACGTAATGTATTTTGGCATTTTAATTTATAGTTTTATTTCTTTTAAGTATTATTAAGAGTCGTGATTTAACGCTAAGTACTCCGGTTTATCAAAAACTTATTGGATTTGACACAGAAATCGGTCCAAGTCGATTTATAATTCAGCCTTAAAAACAAATAATTTGAACAATCAGAATCATCAAGCTTGCAATGCAGTACCCATAACGACTCCAATTTTAATATTGAGTTACAAGTTTACGACATCACACTGAGAATATAAGTGTGACCCGGAGGTTTTATCAGTCACTATCAGTTATTCAATGTTTCAAGTGATTTACACTAATTATCTTACATTTATTGTCAGTCTATTTTTATGTGCTTCTCATCCTATATTATTATCTATCACGCAAACAGACCCCACCCCTTACATGATAAAAAAATATAAAGTGTTGCGACACACGTGTCCGACATCCAATAATTAATATTTTATTGATAATAAGCGTTGACCTGTAATGATCTCTTAATTCTAATAATAAAATTTAGAATAGTGACTAATTTTGAACCGCCGCGTAATAAATACGTAGGTACTTCGTATGACCTGAAATTGAAACACGTATTTTTGAAGCGAATGGATCTGATAAAATATTCTAAAATAATATTCTTGACAATTTGTTCTTTTTTTAATTTAATTGAACTGGAGCCATGTTTTATAAATGATAATGTAACAGTCTTTTGCAACATTTCTGCAAATTCTTGACAGGCTCAATATAGTAAAATTACGTTAATTTTGTGACCATGTTAATACTGGATAAGATACGGAGCACGATTTCGTTTAACTCTTTCTATTATGTCATATATCACATACATTACTCATAAAACATAAATAAGGACCAATTAAAGATTCAGAAATGCGTCGTAATGCCTGTTTAATTGGGAAGTCAAACAACTTTTATGCACAAGCAGTGACGAAACTATGCCATGCTATATAAGGTTTTCTCTTGTTTCAGTAAAAAAATGTTAATGAAATATTTTGATTATTAAAATAAGCGTAAATAGTTTTCAACCAATTATTATTGTTTACCACATTATTTATACATTAATGAGTTTGCTAACTCTATTCAGAACATTTTTTTCTCAACACTGACTCTGCTGATGCATCTTACAACTAATTCAGTCCATTTTGTTCAGCATATATCCGGTATTGTGCGGCACTGAGTCGCATCTATGCTCTGTAAACAACCCACAATTACTCGTTGTATATCAACAAAAAGCATATTTGCTATACACGTAGACAAAATACCTAAATTGACTTTTTCCTGCCATTGAATCACAAAAAAAGCCGCATCGAATGACCTGGGTCCTGTGTCTCTTCGTTGAAAATTACATACGCCGTTGAAAAGCCCGTACTTATATTATTTTTAACCGCCGGATTAAATGCTGTATGTAGACCGTATGATCCTGAGTCATTTCAGACATTTTGCACTTACAGCAAAAGAAACTGCATTTCTTTCTTTAAAATACTTCTTCCCATTTAAAAACAACGCTACTTACAGCATTCAGCGGCTTGTTATTTTTTCATTCGTTTACTTACAGCAAGTTTAGGGAGCCTACGTTTTGTATTTTTTATCATTTAACAGACATTTTCAATATATCTATACATTACCAAATGACACGCTGCAATTCTAGATATAATCATAATTATAAACTAATCTTACATCTTGAATACTGCAATTAAAAGTACCCAAATACGTAAATTTCCTTCATACAGCATATTTACCGCCTGTAAATTGATAATATTTCCCGGACAGGTACATTTTCATTCTTTAGTTACGACCGTTTTAATGATTGTGATTTAAAAATGTTTGCTGTAATGCCTCACGTACTTAATAGTAAGTTTTGGATTAACAAAGTTTAATTGCAAATGGTGACTGGCAGTTAAATAAATATATGTGTCCCAATGGTAGCAATTCTTGGATGGGGCCGTATCACTAAAATTTTTTTCCGTATGTAATAAAGTTTTTTTAATCTGGTCTAATCAATTGCGAGATGTCTACTTACAGCAAATGTACTTTCCTACGTTGTATATGTCCTCCTCTCTTAGGCGGGTGGAATGGTCTGTAGTCCCCACGCTAGCCCAATGCGTATTGGAGACACATTCATCCATAGAACATAATATCGCTTGGGCAGGGGCGCGTGGTTTTTTGCCACTGTGCACAAGCCTTTTCCTAATACCCGTAATGTTGAGTTGCACGTTAACGAAGTATAATATGTATCATACATTCCATACAATATTTATCGATTATAAAGCTATTCGAGAGACGTGCTGCTTATTTTTTCATACTTTTTGTTTCTATATTACGTTAACAATTACAACTGACGTATTTTACGTGCAAGAGTACAAAAACATAATAAAAGAAAAGTATTAGTATTGAAATACAACAAGGAAATGCTGTCGGCATTAAAGCCACTGGGACCAAACTTTTTAAATTTGTTTTAATTTTATATTTATCTATTTTAATTAGTATTATTACTATGTAGGTTATATTGTAAATGTGTATAAAAGAAACGTATCAAATATTTTCTTTCAGGGTGGTCTGCATACTATCAGGTGGTAACATCGATACAACAATATTAGGTCGTTGTTTGGAACGAGGTTTAGCAGCTGAGCAGCGGTTGGTAAAATTCAAAGTGACTGTCAGTGATCGACCGGGTGGAATCGCAGAGCTTTGCAAGCTTTTAGCTTCTTTGGGAGTGTCAATAAAGGACATCATGCAGGAACGCGCTTGGGTGTATGGAGATATATTTAGTGTTAGGGTGAGTTTGGCTATACATATATAAATATATGGTACATCTTATTAATTCGAACTGTCCACTAGAACTACAATATATAAATATATTATATAGTATGGAAAAGCGACTTTACTTTGTAAAAAATTTTGAACACAAAAGAAAAAGTTTTGAACTTAACACATAACTATTAATATATATTGTAAAACATAAAATGTTTATTTTATTTTTGTTAATACTATTAATGTTTAAGTATTAGACTTTCGATGTTCTTTTTATCATATAGATAATGATTTAGACAGTACTATCATTCGATATATATATATTCATTGATTCATTTATCATCTTTGATTTGAATTAAAATTCAAAATAATTGGTCTTTATTTGTAATATATGTATTATTTTTCTATCTAATAAGATTGCACGCAAACTGGACAAATAATCTTAAAAATGTATTAATTAGTAATTTAATGTAATATTTTTTTATAGGTAAAAGTAGTATGTGAAACTAGAGGACCAGATCACATGGGAGAACTGCGAACTGTGATAATGAACACATACAAAGAGTGGTGTTTTGCGCAAGAATTTGAAGGTCGTGATCGATGCGCAAGTACAGATTCGCTAGATGACGTTTCCCATTAGGAACGTCTCCTAGTACCGTAGTAGTTTTGAGAACATTTGAGATTATCATAGCGGTCATACACGTTATATAAAATAAAAAAAATAAAAAATATTTTGTTTCGGAAAAGCCCGCAATTATTCGACCAGCCTTGCGATTCCGTAACTCGCTTTTCGAACTCTCACAGCGGTTTTCGCAGCGGCGTCTGGGCCTAAGATTTCTCAATCTATTTCGTTATGATTTGATTTTGTAATAGGCCACAGTCTTCTGTGCCTAACACACGCCGTTGACTTTTTGGGTCTTAGGCATGCCGGTTTCCTCACAAGGTTTTTCTTCACCTTACGAACGAATGTTAAATGCGCACATAGACCGAGTACAGCCGAGGTTGGAACCTACGACCTCAGGGGTGAGAGCCGTTCAATAAAGCCTCTCAGTGTTAATAATGTATTCATGATTCTCACCAAGCTCACAACCAATTTTCAGCTCTATTATAAACTAGGTACTAAGGGTAAGTATATCTATCTCTTAAGTCTTGATCTTAAAAAAAAATATTCAAGACTTATTAAATGATCCGACGCAGGCGTCGATCCAAAAAGTATGTTTGGAAATTTATCGTTTAAAAACGACCTAATAATTAATTGTACTACAAAATATTATTTAGTAATGTATGCAAACAATTTTATCTGTGATTTCAAATAAATTAAATAAATACAAATATTTGTCTTTTTTTTAATAATGATGTATAATATTGAACAGCTAATGTGATTTCCTTTCCATTTACTATTAAAAAGAACTTCATTCCTCTATAAATGCTACATCGAGTGGTTTTAAAATAAACTTCTCTACGCAGAAGTAGCATAGTAAGAAATATAGTCTATAGTCTATACATTTAAACTTCCTAATAACATCATTGTTAATACTGGCTGATAGCACATGCGTCAAAATAAATCAACGACGAATAAATTATGACACACATCAAACTGTAACATGTATGTAGGCTCTCGGAATATCTAAATAATTTAATTCAGTTTAAACATGATACAAAATTCCTTGTTTATATAATACAAAACACAATTTCCACAATGCAAGACGTAAGTATATATTGTTATCATCATGATCAAACATCAGATCTCACATTTCTGCACGGTTCATTAATCTTTTTTTTTTATAAAGTGGCAAGGTAGTGCAAAAGAGTATCTCACTATATTTCCATTCGCCGTACGAGCAACTTAAAGGATCTAGAAGATAAAACTTTAAGCTTTAAACAGAATTCTAACTCACGACATGAGGGTTGAAAACAGCAATATTCCCAATTGAGGCTATCAATATATTGTGACAAATAAAAAATCTACATATATAGGTTTTGTGTATATTGACGATATATTTGTTAGTAATGATTAAAGCAGTAGTGGCCGGGTGTTCTACCTGAGCTCGTCAAAGTAGTAGGTAAATACGTGTGGGGTTGGACCTTAAAATCGGTCGCCCGAATCTGATGATACTGATTATGCAGGAGTCTCGGGGTACCTTGATTGGAATTGGGTACTTTTTGGATAATTTCAACATTTTCGGAATGCTACACAAATTGAAACGTGAAGTTTGACATCAATTATTTGTCAAATTTATTTTGTAATGGTTAAATTAGGTTCAACTTTAAAATTAACAAATGAGGAAATAATCGATGAATTAAAAAAATCGATTATTTTTATTCATCGATTTTCCATGCTAAAAAACAATGGATTGATTTACCGAGAGTGTCACATCTTTTATAACCAATAGAGAAAAAAAACGGCGGATTGTTTACAAATTTCAATATATTTCACAAAACTTTAATTTTTTTTTAAATACTTAGACGCATTTCCGGCAGCAAAAACTACTTAATTACTTGGAGGTGTTCCAATCAAGGTGCCCTGAGACTCCTGTATAATCAGTATCATCAGATTCGGGCGACCGATTTTGAGGTCGTTACCCTTATTTTCATAAAAATACTTGACGCAAAAGCAGTTAGAGCTCCGGCTGAGCTATGCTCGTCAAAAAGAGCTGAGCTGTCAAGGCCCACGAGACACATCAGCGAGATTTTAATTTAAAAATAGAGCGTTAGTTAAGAGTTTATAGTTACTATTACACGTGTCGTAGGACGTAGAATTTGACGAGTTCTGCGACCCTAACAATCCACGAAAAATTAAATATGACGACATACTGGCTGCATCGAAAAGAATTGCTGGATTTGTTGTAAAAACGTCCTGCACGGTTAGTATTCTAGTTTTTCCAAATCTAACTAACATCTGTTAATATACATCTTCTTATTATTTTAATAAAAAAGCAAAAATGAAGATATTTTCAACGAACAAAATATATTTCAGAGGGCACTTATGTCTGACAGACTTGGGATGGAAATTTATCTTAAACAAGAATTCATGCAATACACTGGATGGTAAACTTTTGTATACTTTACAAAATTCATTGATTTTAGACCCCTCATATCGGCTAGGTTAGGGAGATAATACTCCTGGTTGGTAACTAAGAATCATTTTTAAATTTCATCTTGCGAAGTATTAAAATTATAACCTTATCTGTTGTACTAGTCGTGATTAAATATAATTTCAGTGATCTCCAATAGCTGATTCTGAATGTTGAAGTCAATGTAATGCCAGCTTCCGTGTTTTATATTTTCAGTTTTAAAGAGCGAGGTGTAAGAAACACCCTTATGTTACTTAACGACGAACAAAAAAGAGCTGGCGTGATAGCAGCCTCGACTGGTAACCACGGATTGTCTCTCGCCTACCATTCAACACTTATGGGAATTCCTTGTATAATTGTAATGCCAATACAGGCACCTATCACGAAGATTTCTAAATGTGAAAAATTTGGTGCAAAGCTATTACTACATGGCAATAATATTGCCGAAGCAAAACGCTTTGGAATGGGTATAGCTAAGGAAAAGAAAATGCGATATGTTAATGGGTATGACGCACCGATAATTTTTTACTAAACGACCTTTGCTAAGGCAATGGTCGGTAGCTGCGAAATTTTTACATAAGCATAATGGATTAACCTAGTTAACGATACATGAAGAAAATACTTGTCTTGATTTTTTCAGATATGATCATCCTCACGTTATAGACGGTCAAGGAACTATAGGTATTGAAATAATGGAACAAGTTCAAGGAGTCGATGCGGTTTTAGTACCTGTTGGAGGTGGCAGTTTGGCTTGCGGCATTGCAGTTGCTGTGAAACATTTGAAACCGGATGCTGAAGTCTATGTAACGTCTCACATATTTACGCCTTTTCTTAGATTCGATAGTATACCGCATGCTTAAGACTTTCCATCTTCAGTCGATGACTATTATTATATAAAATCCGTGGCCTACCTCTTCTACTGAAAAACATATTAAATTACATAATTACAATCCAGTCTATCTCATGATTCAATTTACAGGGCATTTGTACAGAAAAAGCCTGTAGTATGGTCGAAGCATTGAAAAAAAATGAGAGAGTAGCTATAACAATCGATTCAACAATAGCTGATGGGTTAGCTGTTAACATGGTCGGCGTAAATACGTTTTACAATTTAAAAGGTCTTATGGATAAAATGGTTAGTGCTCTTACTCGTGTGGATATAATTATTTTTCTTGCAAATAACATTATTCGGTATATATCTATGTATTTACTCTTAAACGATAACAATTGTAAAATACTTATCATAAAATTCCGCAGCGGTCGTGCAAAAAACTTTTGAATAAAACTAAGAAATTTAGCAATATTAATAAAACGTATGCGTTAACTAACTGTTACTAAGATTTACTCAATTATCAAAATAATCCGGTAAAACCACTTGTGAAAGTTATATGTGCATAAAAGATTTATATTTAAATTTTATTGGTAATGTTATAAATAACACTAAATTTTAACAATAAAGTAAAAAGCTTTACAAATGTCAGCTGTGCATTGGTCCTTCAAATCAACCGCTAAATTTGTTTAATATAGTCAAGTATGAAAATATATAAATTAATGAGGGTTTTTTTATTACAATTTTATATTAAAATCAATATTATGTTCACAAAGGTGGTCGTTAAAGAAGATTGGGTAGCTCGTGCTATAATGCACGTCGTTGAGGAGGAAAGATTTGTGATTGAAGGCGGTGCTGCAGTCACCATTGCTTCAATCATGGCGGGATTGTTTCCGAACCTCAAAGGGAAAAAGTTAGCGTATTTTGAATAAACTTAACTATAGAACTTTGGCGATCCAGAATGGAGTTTGAATGTGTGACATATAGAACTACATTTTATAAACCTTGGTGTTTTATTACTGCTATCATTAGTTAGTCAATCATTCGTTGTTCTATATTGCAATTATAAAAGTTACCCGTTAATTCTTTTAAAATTCTTTTGTAGATTTTCCATAAATCATATATTTTACAGGTGATAAACTTTTGTAATAATAATCATTGCAAAAATCTTTTGTATTTTGATATAGTTCAAGTTTAGATTTTTTTTACAGAGTTGTCTGTGTTCTAAGTGGTGGTAACATCGATACAACAATTCTTGCCCGGGCCTTAGAGCGTGGAATGGCTGCTGAAGGACGACTAGTTAAATTCAAAGTAACCGTTACCGATCGTCCTGGAGGTATGGCAGAGTTATGTGGAATGATGGCAAACCTGGGAGTAACACTTCGGGATTGTATTCCTGAGAGAGCTTGGGTCAAAGGAGACATCTTTAGCTGTGAGGTGGGTAGTTGGAAGATAGGTTTGCAATGTGCCTGCGCACAGGAACAGGTAAAGGAACAACACAACGTGAAAAATACACCACGCTAAGTCCCAAAAGTCGACGTTGCAACATCAACAGGATGGCGATTTCTTTATAGGCGTGCCTATAAAGTGCCCAGAAATCGGAGGCCAAATTTGAGCATAATAGATGCTACTGTTTGAATGTATAGTTGTCTGTCTTACATCTTCTACATTTTATTATACAAATTTATTATGTTTCAGCTTAAAGTAATAGCTGAAACCAGGGGTTGGGACCACACTAAAGAACTTGTTGAACAAGTAAAGAAACATTTCAAGCATTATTTCTTCCCAGAAATGGGTGATAGTCAGGCAAAATCTCCAGGTGCCCGACGCGGACCATGTTTGGCGCCCAACCCAGTTTGTATGCAGAAATAGTGTTTTCCGTCTATCAATAAAGTAACTGATATATATATTTTAATGAATAAACAATTTTATCTAAAAAAACTTGTAACATCTTTTAAAACTTAAATAAGATATAAACAGGTAGACCTTTTTATTGAGCAGATTAATCTCCGCTATAATTAAAAGGTAGTATGATAGGAACCATATTGTACTTAACCTTGACCTTGAACTTAAAGTAGTGCTTAGGACAAAATCACTTTGCGACATGCGTGATTAACACCACACGAATATGTATGGAAATGGTGACGTGACAAAGAATGAGCTAATATCATTCGCATACCAATTCCTTTGCCAGTAGTGGGTCGTGTCGTGAAGTATTTTTGTCTTAAGCCCCTTACGTCAAAGTTAAAATCAAGCATTAAATTCGAATGTTTATATAATCTGTATTATTTATGTTAATCTTAGAATAAACAAAATTAACCCCTCTGTGGAACCCGATGTAATCAACAATTGTGCCCCCCAAAACCAAAAAAACAAAAAAAAAAAAAAAAAAAAAAAAAAAAAAAAAAAAAAAAAAAAAGAAAGAGAAAGAAAGAAAGAAGGGGGGGGGGGGGGGGGGGGGGAGGGAAGAGAAAAAAAAAAAAAAAAAAAAAAAAAAAAAAAAAAAAAAAAAAAAAAAAAAAAAAAAAAAAAAAAAAAAAAAAAAAAAAAAAAAAAAAAAAAAAAAAAAAAAAAAAAAAAAAAAAAAAAAAAAAAAAAAAAAAAAAAAAAAAAAAAAAAAAAAAAAAAAAAAAAAAAAAAAAAAAAAAAAAAAAAAAAAAAAAAAAAAAAAAAAAAAAAAAAAAAAAAAAAAAAAAAAAAAAAAAAAAAAAAAAAAAAAAAAAAAAAAAAAAAAAAAAAAAAAAAAAAAAAAAAAAAAAACCCAAAAACACCACAACCCCCCCCCCCCCCCCCCCCCGGGGGGGGGGGGGGGGGGGGGGGGGGGGGGGGGGCGGCGCGCCCGCGCGGCGCGGCGCGCCCCCCCCCCGCGCGGCGGGGGGGGGGGGGGGGGGGGGGGGGGGGGGGGAGGGGGAGGGGGGGGGGGGGAGGGAGGGAGGGGGGAGGGAGAGGGAGAAAAAAAAAAAAAAAAAAAAAAAAAAAAAAAAAAAAAAAAAAAAAAAAAAAAAAAAAAAAAAAAAAAAAAAAAAAAAAATAAAAAAAAAAAAAAAAAAAAAAAAAAAAAAAAAAAAAAAAAAAAAAAAAAAAAAAAAAAAAAAAAAAAAAAAAAAAAAAAAAAAAAAAAAAAAAAAAAAAAAAAAAAAAAAAAAAAAAAAAAAAAAAAAAAAAAAAAAAAAAAAAAAGGGGGGAGAGGGGAGGAGAAGGGGGAGGAAGAGGGGCCCCGGCGGGGGAGGGAGGGGTGTTTTTTTTTTTTTTTTTGTGTGGTGGGGGGGGGGGGAAAAAAAAAAAAAAAAAAAAAAAAAAAAAAAAAAAAAAAAAAAAAAAAAAAAAAAAAAAAAAAAAAAAAAAAAAAAAAACCCCCCCCAAAAAAAAAAAAAAAAAAAAAAAAAAAAAAAAAAAAAAAAAAAAAAAAAAAAAAAAAAAAAAAAAAAAAAAAAAAAAAAAAAAAAAAAAAAAAAAAAAAAAAAAAAAAGGGGGGGGGGGGAAAAAAAAAAAAAAGGGGGGGGGGGGGGGGGGGAAAAAAAAAAAAAAAAAGGGGGTTAAAAAAAAAAAAAAAAAAAAAAATAAAAAAATAATAAAAAAAAAAAAAACCGGGAAAAAAAAAATATTTTTTTTTTAAAAAAAAGGATAAAAAAGGGTTTTTTAAAAACCGATTTTTTTTCACATCCCTAGTGACAGTTCAAACTGTCGCAAATGGTTTGTATAAATAAATAACTTGCGATAAAAATGTCTTAATTAAACAATAATTTATTATGAAATTCCATACACACATATAATAATATTATGGCTTTATAACAAATCAAACTACATATATTAAGTTAAATACATAAATCTACTATGGAAAAACTCCCTAAACTTACATTTGAACAAGAACCGCTGAAAGAATCTTTAGGTGAAGCTCCCGCAGTATTGGCTAAAAGAAAACCTGTTTGTCCTACCCCTTGGTGTCCTACTTCAGTAAGTACTTATATACTAGCTTTAACTATATAATTGTCACTTAACATAGTGGTAACGGAATAGGTATATCATGTACGGCAGTATATCTATATAAGGCGATACAAAAGTAGCCACAGGCATAGGCATTGTATTATCCTTTTTATGTGATATTTATTTGCTGGGGTATAAAATATTGCCACTTGTGGTTAATCGAATTATAGAAATGCATCACAAAGTACGAGATCGAATTAAAAAGAACTTATTTTAAAAATATCAAAAGAAACAAAGAGATTTTTATTTTATATTATACCTCCTAAAAGCATCGGGGTAAATCTCGTATTATCAGCGAAGTCAATTATCCGAAAATGTTTATAAAAGAATTTTTTTTTGACGAACGGAATAACAATTTTTATGATGATATACAAAGTACTCGAAGTTTTAAAAGATTTTTTTTTCAGGAAGAACAAATAGATCCGTCTTGCGATCCTGATTTTCCAAAAACAATAACATATAAAGATATCTTAACTGCTTACCGTGCGATAAGTGAAGAAATACCAAGGACTGCTCTAGTGGTAAATTTAATATAACACGAAAATAAAGTTAGTTTGTCTCAAACAATTTTATCCAAATTGGTTGAAAAAAGAAACTATGAACAAATGTTACCGTTTTAGAACAATTACATAAATTTTTCGTTTTAAATTACTAATGTCAATGAACTTACCAGTCTATCGTTCGTCATAATCGCATCATAGCTTAGTATTAAATTTTTTTAATAAAATGTATTTTGTTCATTTTAGAACGTTATCTTTTCTTTGTAAAGATAATTTTTTTACTTAAAAAAGTTTTAAGGTGTTACCTGAACACAATTGCAGCAAAAATAACTTCTCGCTAAATACACGTTATTTGTAAAATAAAATATATTTCAGCGATCAAAATGTTGTGCTAAATTTGATATGGAAATATTCTATAAAGTTGAGATATTTTATCAAACTGGCAGGTAAGTTTTTGTTATCAACCAATTTTAAACAAGGATGTTATCAGTTTGTTATATAGGTCCTTACCATTGATATACAAAAAACCCAAGATGCACAGTCTCATATAAAAGCAACGCTCGAAAGTGTCCCTAAACAATATTTCTGTCCATAACAGTATATGTTACAAGCATATATTATTGCAAAATCAACCTTACGCGAATTGCTTAAAGTTGTTATTACAACGCAGCGTATACGTACTTAAAGCAATAAAATTTTACGACCGACCGTGGTCGGTAGGACAAGGTATTGAGTGGAGTCGAACATGACTTTTTTATTTACAACTATTTAACATAATTTTAAATTTATCCGACTTTTCGGGTGCTTTACAGCGTGAGTGGTCAGGGTGACTGAAGACAAAAGATGTTGGATGTTAAATAGTTGTCAATTTATAATAATACATAACTTTAATCCGGTTAAAAAGTTTTTTCTTTAAATTAAAAAAAAATGTTAAATTGGCTACCTCCTGACCCACACTTTATATAGCGTAAATATATTTGTCAAAAACTACACACAAAGAAGTTCAAGAGTACATAAATTTATTTATAAAAAAAACACAAATAAATAACATCGACTCCACTGTAGACGCGAGACTATTTGAAATGAGCGCACAATTTAGAATGTTGCGCTCATTTTTTGAGGACGTTTTTTTGACGTTGAGTGTGCATCTTGGGTTTTTTGTATATCAATGGTCCTTACATATGAAATTGGCGTTTTTCGTACTGGCCACTTTAATCACGATGTTCTCCTCTTTGGTAAGGAATTCCAAATTCAAATATGTACAGCTATTTACTCATGTATTTGTGCTTCGATGTCCGTCATTCATTTGTTTTTAAATGGTTTTATTTAGCTCACCCCGTTTGTTTTATTCTTGGGTCAAATTTAGTAATTCAAATTTCACCCTCTTCCTGTCAACCGATTAATCTGAAATTTTGTATACACTTTGGATTTTGGTGACAATACAATAAACTAAATAAATAAATAAATAAATATTATATAATATATAACATTATATTAAAAACTGTATCTATTTTATTAATTAAATATATATTATATTTGTATTATAGAATTGATTTATTTATATAAACTAACGGGCAAGGAACCTTGCAATAATGAAGCACTAAATGAATTAAACAGAATGCGAAATAAAAACTAAAAACTAGAAAATAAAAATAGGTAAAAAAACTTTTTAAGTTAAACGGTTTTATGTTAAACATACATTGCAATGTTTAAGATAAATGTACTAAAAACAAAAAAATAATAAAATAGATACAGTCGTGGGAATTATAAACATATGCATAGACTAGACTAAAATAAAACCGTGGGGCATGTCAATTGTCTGTTGAAACGATTCCTCGCCAGCCAGCAGTGTGAATGTCCAACGATAAACTAGTTGAATCTCTTTTATTTACATGGAGTGTATAACTATTGGAATTTCCATGAGCAAGAAAATAGTAAGTAATTTCCTGACCGTCTGCGGGCCAACTGCCTATTTTAACGACGAATTAAACGATTCTTCTATCGCACATTAAGTCGATAATTTGTAGACAATTGACGTGCCCCACGGTTTTATTTTAGTCTAGTCTATGCATATGTTTATAATTCCCACGACTGTATCTATTTTATTATTTTTTTGTTTTTAGTACATTTATCTTAAACATTGCAATGTATGTTTAACATAAAACCGTTTAACTTAAAAAGTTTTTTACCTATTTTTATTTTCTGTTTGCGTCACTCATTTTACAAAATGGAAAACTTAAAGTATCGCATTATTAACGAGTACGAGTTCCGCCGTGGCACTAGTGCTGCGGAAACGACTCGAAGGGTGAATGATGTGTATGGCGGTCATGTTGCAAAAGAAAACACAGTTCGTTTTTGGTTCCAACGTTTTCGTTCTGGAAATTTCGATCTGCCCCGTGGACGGCCTGAGACCCAAGTTGATAATGAAGTATTGAAGGCTATTGTGGAAGCGGATCCATCGCAAACCACGTCCGAGTTAGCTGCAGGCTGCGGTGTTAGTGATAAAACTGTTTTAATTCACTTGAAGCAAATTGTGAAGATTAAAAAGCTTGAAAGATGGGTACCTCACGAATTGACTGAAGCAAACCGGCAAACGCGCGTCGACTGCTGCGTTACATTACTGAACCGGCACAATAATGAAGGTATTTTAAACCGAATCATTACCTGTGATGAAAAATGGATTCTTTACGATAATCGGAAGCGCTCAGCGCAATGGTTGGATCCTGGTCAGCCAGCCAAATCCTGCCCCAAGCGAAAATTAACCCCAAAAAAGTTACTTGTAAGCGTTTGGTGGACTAGTGCCGGTATTGTTCATTATAGTATTCTCAAATCTGGCCAGACTATTACGGCTGATGTCTTTTGTCAGCAATTGCAAACCATGATGTAAAAGCTAGCGGCTAAACAACCTAGGCTGGTCAATCGCTCCACGCCACTGCTACTTCACGACAACGCTAGACCACACACTGCACAACAGACGGCTACCAAATTATGGTAGGGGAGCCCACGATGCTAAATGGGGATTTACTCGAGCGTCGTAGAGACCTATTGGGATGCAAAGCTTAGATAATAAGAAGAAAAAAATGTTATATGATAAATTCCTTTTCATCGGTGGGGGAAGCGGCTATAGATAGTTAAATATGTAAAAAAAACTGTTGCATGGACATCCTCGAGCGCGTCAGATATTGATAGCATCTATGCCCTACGTATTTTTAATAATGTACGTATGTTAATCTGATCGTTTGCATGATGCGGGTGGTTGTATTTAAGGGTTGAAAATGAAAAAAAAAAATTTATCGAGCGCGTCAGATTTTCTAAGGGAGTGTTAAGTGCACCAAAAAAAAGCTCTCATTCACTAATCTGACGATTTCGATGGGACGCAAACCCACAGCCATTTTCGTAATTTGCAAAAAAAATCGCAATTTTGAAATACTCAAGCGCGTCAGATTAAAATATATGTGGTTCATCTTTATGTTCTAAACGTACTGTCTCATAATCTGACGATTATCTAGAGGGATTCGCCTGATCTGACAAAAAAAATTTAGAAAAACAGTTCACCTAAAGGGCCATCCCTGCAACTTCCCGCTAATTCCATTCCTGGGCGCTTAAAATTGATATTTTGAGCTCGCTGAGTTCAAAGAAATAACATTTCTATGCATTTGAGCTCTCCCAGCTCGAAAGTCTGATAGAAGTTTCATAGAACACTATTTTTGGAATTTTCAAACCGCAATAACTTTTGAATGGATCAAGCAATTTTCACGCGGTTGGCGGCATTCGACGCAGTTTTATCATCCTCATAAGTAATTTTAATTGATCGAACCACAAATTTCGGAGTAATCCCGAATAAACACTTTTTCGGGTTTCTTTCGTTGACGATATCTCTCGAACGAATCAAGCGCTTTTGACCAGCTTAGTGGCGATCAACGTGGTTTTTCAAGCTCAAAGGCGGATTAGTTTTTGAAGTTGATCGATAAAGAAACCACTTTAAAAAAAATATTTCTTATTTTTTTAAGATTTTTCAAAATTTCTCAAAATGTATCGGTCCGAATCGGTTCAAATTCACAGGAAATGTAATTTTGAGGGAAATATTTAGAACGCCGTTTAGTAGATTCCGATCGGTTTAAGGAAATGTAGGCATCACGCAGCTGCACGCATTTAACTTTATCGACGGATTTTTGTTATTTCGGCTTGCGGAAATCGTCAGATTATATATTTTTCATTATTCTTGAATTATTTCCTTCAAAATAAAAAAAAATTAGCCACGCTCGAGAATGTCGAGATGACGTTTTTTTTACAACTTTGTTGCCCTCCCCTTTTTTCCGTCACTCTCAAATTGTCAGATTAGTGGAATATACACTTTTTAGGATGTAATTAACTCACCCTACCTTAATCTGATGCGCTCGGGAATTTCTGATGGTCAATTTTTTTTTACTAATCTGATCCTGTCTCCTTCACAGGCGGCCTTATATATGGACCTCATGTTTTGTGGAGGTACTTAACCGAGTACAAGCTATCCCCCTGTATATTAATCTGCCGCGCTTTAGTAAATCCCGAAATCCCCTCTTGGGCTCCCCTACCATTAGAAGAGCTTCAATTGGAATGTCTAAGACATCCTCCGTACTCCCCGAACCTTGCTCCAACAGATTACCATTTTTTTCGAAATTTGGACAACTTCTTGCAAGGGAAAAAATTTAACTCTGATAGGGCAGTCCAAATCTCCTTCACAGATTTTATTGATACTCGTCCGACTGTTTTTTTTTGTAAAGGGATCAATAAACTACCTATGAGATGGCAAAAGTGCATAGAAAACAATGGTTCATACTTTGATTAATTAAATATATTATATTTAAAAATATTCGACTTTTTGTTCCTCCCATACAAAACGCCAATTTCATAATATGTAAGGACCTAATATTATGTGTCACTATTGGAATTGGATATTGTAGTATGATCGTCAATTAAGGTTTCCCAATTAGAATTCCAAAATTCCGTAAATATTTGCCCTTGTGTATGTTTGTCTATATGGAAATGAACCTTTGATCGGAATTAGTTATATAGGTAATCATTAATGTTATAACGAATTTAATTTTCTGGATTACATGTATTAATTTTTTTTAAATATTATTTTACAGAATAATACAAATAATAATATTAACAAAACAAAACATTTGTAAACCTCCGTGGTTTGTAGTATGAAACAATGGCAGTCTTGTCAGGAACGCGACAAATGAAAATAAATCTTCAACTTGTTTATAATTATTATTTATTGACGCAAAAACGAAAAGATTAAATAACTCAAAATTTTGTTGCCGTGTAATTTGTGGACAAACCGCACCACAACAATTATCACACCTGCTCGGAATGGCTAATAGACCATCACTCTTAAATCCAACAATACCACATACATGTCAAACTGATAACTTACTTTTTATGTCATTCAATAAAAATTTCTTAATCACAGCTGTAATGAGAGAAAAGCTTTCTACGCGTTGTCCGTATTAAATGAGGACGAGAAATGTCATGGTGTTATCACAGCTTCTTTGGGCAATTGGGCGTTGGTAAAGTATTAGAACATAGGGGAAGGTGGGGACCCTTCGTACGGTTTTCACATTTTATTTTTTAATTTTTTTATTTTTCCATGAATCAATCACCTGATAGCTTAAATTTATAGTCTAACTATCTGAGATTCAAATAAAAAAATGACAAATGATTTCATCCGATGTTTCAACCATAATTATGATTTAAACTAAATCTGGAAAACGTACGAATCTGCCCCATCAACGGGGCACCTTCGTACAGTGTTTGGGGTATCTTCTTACGCTGTGGGGTAGTTCAAAATTCATTTATTAGCAATGAAATTAAACACAAAAATAAAGATTTAATTTCTATTAAACAAAAAATAAAATACTTTTCTTATGTAAAACAAAAATTTAATTAGTTAGGTATCTTAAATTTAGAATTACATTTTTTACTCTTTGGTGTGGATTACAACTTCTTATTTTCGGGTGTGGCAGTATAAATTCGTGGTTTTCCTGGCCGTCATCGTCATTTTGCTTGTTTTATTACTTCTTACAGAATGCGAATAGGGTCGAAATGCCTCTGGTGTCAAAACTGACTTCGAAGGAACTACTATTTGATGGATTGGTAAATTATTCACAGCATCTGGTTCACAAGCATCAAAATCAACCTTAGTCAAGATGCCTTAACAGTAGTGTAATATGTAGAAAGTCGAAAACTTAATTTGAATGAAAAAGACAGTTCGCGTCGACAAATTATTATACAAATTTAGTTGTACAATTCGTACAAATGTGCCCCATCTAGTGCTGTCCGAATGTACCCCACTAACTGAATAACAACAAAATATAACTTATTTTAATATTAATAGGAAAACGTCATAAATTAAGTATTGGAGACGTATCTTAAGTATATTTTGCTAGTTACTGATAGAATACTCTACACGAAAACTTATTTTATCTACGGTAACAAGAGACAAAAACATTGATCAAAAAATTACTTACCGAGCGCGAAAACACGTCTATGCCTGTAACTTCACTCTCATCGGTGCGAATTTCACGAAACTTCGTTGATGTATAGTTGGTACCTCGACTCATGCACACATACAAAAGCAAGACTGTACTTTATTTCGTTCAAGTTTTATTTTGACTGTATGAATGTGCCCCGCGTACGAAGGGTAACGATCTTCCCCTATATTATTTAAAATACCATTATAGAATCTTTATTGTTACAACTTACTTAACTTACACAAACATTAAAAAAAATGAGTGGCGCTACAACCTCTTTTAGGTCTGGGACTCAGATTTCTGAATCTGTTTCATGATCATTTTTTAATCTAATAGGTAAGTAGGTGATCAGCCTCCAGTGCCTGACACACGCTGTCAACTTTTTGGGCCTAAGACACGTCGGTTTCCTCACGATGTTTTCCTTCACCTTTCGAGCGAATGTTAATGTCCATTGGTGCACAGCCGGGGATAGAACCTATGACCTTAGGGATGAGAGTTTAAATTTAAAAAAAAATATTTACTCTTTGAAGAATGCCTAGTTTGTAATGTATGAAATATATAATTTAAACTCTTGCAACGAGCAGACCTGCGCTTCTGTTTCCAGAAGTACTTAGTAGCAGCAACAAAAATCATTTTCATTTCATTCTCACAAGTTATTTATTTCCAGGCTTTGGCATTTTATGGTCAACGTTTAGGCATACCTGTGACTGTGGTTCTACCGTCAACGACACCAGTTTATGTTGTGGGAAAGTGTCATGAACTAGGAGCCTTTGTTGTGTCTTACGGAGAGACTCTGGATGATGCTAGGCGACAGGCGTTTGTTATGCTTAAAAAGAGGGGACAGGTGTATATAAACGGGTATGATTGTTTGGTCAAATTCTTCTTAATATTCGAGTTTCAATGATAAGAAACATACTCGAGAGAGAGTATCGTAGAAGACGTATCTATTTATGGACGTAAATAGGCAACGATGCTAAGTTTCTATGCCAGCTTCGACTGCTAAAAAGCATCTGTGCTGCGCATATAAATCTTTATTAACTTAATAAATATTAATACCAATTAATTTATTAAGTAGTATTTATTTTAGTATTAATTTAACAGATACGATAATCCCAACGTCATAGCTGCATCTGGTTCAATAGGGATCGAGATCTTGGAACAACTACCGGAGACCGATGCAATCATAGTACCTGTGGGTGGAGGCGGTCTTCTTGCTGGCATATCAGCCGCAGTTAAGCATATCAAACCAGGAATATTAGTATACGTAAGAATAATTTCTTCGTCTATCTAAATTTTGTTCCAATATAATTGTTTTGAACTCTCTAAACTATGGAATTGCTATTAAACTTAAATGCTAGAATTAATTAATTTGTGTAGGGTGTGCAAACAAAAACTTCAAGATCGTTCTTCAATGCCATGGAAAAGGGACGCCCATACCAAACAGTTGTGACGCATAATTTAGCCACATCTTTAATAGTACCCACGGCTGGATACAACGCCTTCCATACCGCAAGGGGCCTCATTGATAAAATGGTTTGCGGTGTCATTTTAAGTAACTTAAGTAATAGATATTGTATGTCTATGAACAGTGTTCTATTTTTAAAATTATGTCTATAATGGCGCTTCTAAACGGGCCATGTTTTGCTGCAATTGATGGCTGCAACATTGTGGCCGGCAACATTGCAAACAATAGCAGCCACACTATGCAATATTGCAGTAATGTCCCGGCCATATAGCCAAACATGTTTTGTATAGCCACATATGGCCGATGTTGCCCCGATGGGTGGCCGGACGATCGCTAGGCTATCGAATTCAACTGCAATATTACACAGCCAGTTCTCTTGTTGTTTCACCCCCCCCCCCCCCCCCCCCCCCCCCCCCCCCCCCCCCCCCCCCCCCCCCCCCCCCCCCCCCCCCCCCCCCCCCCCCCCCCCCCCCCCCGCCCCCTTGCAACATTGCCCAGCCGTAGATTGTTCGGCCATCAGCTGCATTAAAATATTTTTGTAATGGCCGGGCAATTAGTGGCCAACAGTGCAGCCATCAATTGCAGCAAAACATGGCCCGTTTAGACGCGCCATAACGAATGGCTGAAACTTGATAAAGATCAAAAGATTGACTCATAATACGTTTACTAGGTTTTAGTTAATGACGATTGCATATCTCGCGCGATGCTACATTTGGTAGAAGAAGAAAAGCTTATAGTCGAAGGAGCAGGCGCATCAAGCTTGGCTGCATTTATGTCAATGCCAAATATACTTCCAGAGTTAAAGAAGAAAACGTATGTTGTTAGGTTTTTCCTATTATTATTATTAAAATTTTAGTAATATCTAACTTTCAAAAACAAAAAATCGCTTCTTTGTAAAAAAATAATACATATCAGCCAGTATTTTTGGCCGTAAGGTTTGTTTTTTTTTTGTAAAAAGGTTAGTTTATATATGATATATATAACCAGCTTGTTACAGTTTAGATTTTGAAATTTCAGTGTTGTTTGCGTATTGACTGGTGGAAACATAGACACTTTGATCCTTCCTCGGTGTTTGGAAAGAGCGAAAATAATCGAAGGTCGAATTGTTAAATTGAGTGTGAGTTAAATATAATCATAAAAGTGCCCCAGTGACTTTTAACTTTCGTACAATAAGTGTGCAAAAGAAACAATCTATTAGGAGACATATTATTTTCATGTGACTAAGTTGGTAGTTGTTAAAGCACGAAAAATTATAAAGTATACATACAATGCACCCGTAAAACATATAGTTTTTGTACCGCTATATAGTATTTTGAGCAGTGTTGGCCTAGTGGCTTCGGAGTGCGTCTCTCATCCCTGAGGTCGTAGGTTCGATCCCCGGCTGTGCACCAATGGACTTTCTTTCTATGTGCGCATTTAACATTCGCTCGAACGGTGAAGGATAACATCGTGAGGAAACCGGCATACCTTAGACCCAAAAAGTCGACGGCGTGAGTCAGACACAGGAGGCTGATCACCTACTTGCCTATTAGATTAACAAATGATCATGAAACAGATACAGAAATCTGAGGATCCTCAGAATCCGGAGAATCAGAATCCAGACCTAAAAAGGTTGTAGCGCCACTGATTTTGAATAGTATTTGGTGAATTTTAAAATTTAGTACAGAATTAATCGATTTAACGTACTTAAATATTTTTTTAGGTACGTTTAAGTCTGGATGAGCCATGGGAACACCTCAAGGTGCTAAGTATGATAGCTAATGTCGGTGCAAATGTTATTCAATACCTATCTGAGAAACCATTACTCGACGATGATTTCGATAAAAGTTATGTCAGTATTTCTATAATTCAGATTTTTGATAATTCACCGGTTATAATGGAAACGGTTTTCTATTTCTCTTGATGATGTAACACAATCTGTATATAATATCTTATATCTACCTGTCTATAAACAGTAGTAATAACGCTGGCTTTGTTATATTTTTAAGCAATTAATGTCTTATTGATAATCTGCCTTAAATAGATAAAAAATGTCATTATTTTTAAAGTCAACGCGAGCTTGTTACGACTATAATTTGAAGGAAAGAAAATTTAAATTAGGATAGAGCACCCTAATGCATCAACCAATTCAATTATTTCAGCTGAAAGTACTCTGTGAAACCCGTGATATTGGACATGCATGTACACTCAAGAGAGTAATGGAGCGTCTTTTTCCAAATAAATGTCAATTTTATGAGGAGCCGTACCGTCCGGTCCCTATTTGCGCATGTTTTCCTCGTTGTTAGATACATCCTAATTGGGAAATTCAAAAATGGAATTCAACAGCCATTTAGTAACTGCAAGTCTTTTAAAGACATCATAAAGAACTCTATGAATAAAATAGAAACCGGAAAAAGTTTAAATTAGAAATATAAAATGTCACAACTGACAGATTTTCATTATTACTTTACAAAATAATTCGAAATTTTTACAAAATTCTCAATGGATTAACAACTAAAAATAGTCTTACACAAACATGACCCGACGATATGTAAGTAACTAAATAAAAATATGTATTTCTACGGCTATATATTACATTTATCTTATATGTGAGATAGAGATACGAAATCTAATACATATTATTGATACTCCGGTTTTTAATAAATTAAACTCAAGTTAAATGTTATTAAACGTAATCATTTAAATTGCAGGAAGACTTTGATGAGTTCTGCGATCCAGACAATCCAATAACTATTACATATAATGATGCACTGGATGCAATGCAAAGAATTAGAAAATATATGCCAGAAACGCCGTACGCGGTATGTGTACCTATAGTGTGTTTTTAAGTTTACAAATAAAATAAAAAAGTATAATAAATTTTTTTTTCGTAGATATCACACAAACAGAATGATTTCACTATGAATTTATTTTACAAGTTGGAAACTCTACATAGAACAGGAAGGTAAGGAAATGTTTTAGTATACAACTACAGAAATGACAAAAACTTAATCCGGGTTTGAAGGCACAAACTTTGTAAATCAATATGACAAAAACGTGTAAAATACAAGTAGCGGCACGAAACTCTAGCGCTGACCGTTATTGCGCAGAAGTAAAAAATAAGGTACCTGAGGGGGGCTAGCGGAATGAAGAGTTTCGATTGGCTCTCCAGTCGCATTCCGTCCCCCGCGCGACAGTACACATGCGCAGCAATCCCCTCTACGTATCGGCCAGCGCTAGACTTACGTGCCGCTGCCTATACCTACTTAATTCGTGATTATAATTTTTTTTCATATTTTCTTTGACAGTTTTAAAGAAAGAGGGGCATTGAATTCACTAGAAATGCTTGCCCTGGATAAGAGAAAAATTGGAATCGTTGTTGCGTCGTTGGGAAATCAAGCAATCGGGCTCTGTTATTATGCAAAAAAACTTGGCATACCTGTTACCGTGGTAATGCCTATCGGTGTGGCAATAAATAAATTACAACAGTGTCATAACCTTGGCGCAAAAATTGTAGTACAGGGCGGAAATCTTACCGAGAGTCAACGTTTGGCACGAGCCATTGCAAGGGAAAAGGGCTTGACTTATATAAATGGGTATGCTGTTTTTCAATATATATCTTAGATATAAAATTCGCGGTACGTTGTCATACCGCTATCCATGCCGATCGGTGAATTCTGTGCCGGCTTTTAAAAGATTGATATGGCTTCTTTTTCGAAGTGCCCTAATTAGTCCAATTATTTCAAAATAATAAATCTGTATGTATGTATTCGGTCGAATGCAATTGGGGAATGAAAAAAGAACAAGCGACATAGTTATCAACGATCCGGTATTAATCCGAAAGCCCAAGATATTTAAAATTGATTTTGTTATACACAAGTATACAAGGTATGGCATAATTTATGTTTTAGTTCTCTGTGCGGAAATAGAACCATCGTGGAATTTGAGCAGCAGAGCTAAATTACTTTTTTACACACTTTTTTTTTCCATGTGTCACCTCTTTTAGTCGCGACCATCCTAATATTCTGTCTGGATATGGTACAGTGGCGTTAGAGATTCTGGATCAAATTCCGAACGTGGATGCCATTCTGGCACCGGTTGGAAGTGGCGGTCTCGTGGCTGCCGTCGCAGCTGTTGTCAAATACGTGAAGCCCGATTGCCTAGTTTACGTAAGAATATTTATAATAATAAAATTTCTCAATATTTATGTTTTTGAGTATATTGTACCGTGACGCAAATTGTTTTACGTTGGCTTTGCGTCTAAGTACAGAACATATGTTAAAATTCTATATTAACTGCCAAGGCAATATTTATTTATTTATTAAGGAAACTAAACAGATACATCTCTATACAGTAAAAATAAAATAAACACACACACATGGCCGTATCCACAAAATGTTTCACTGATAAAAATATAATACAAAGTAAAACAATACAAAACATGACAGCACAAAATGTATAATTAGGAGAACGACAAACAAACTAGTAGCTATAAAAAACAAGGAAGATACAAGGCTTAAGACATTAAGAGTTTTAACTTATTCTTAAATGGAGCAGCAATACTGTATATTGTAGTGGTACGTGTAGTAGTAATGAACGATAAGAATTTTATATCAATGAAATTGCAGGGTGTACAATCGGAAAAGGTTCCCACATTCTTCAAGTCGCTGGAAATGGGGGAACGAACGAACCTTCCGTGGCAAAGTTCTGCAGCCGACTCGATTGCCATGCCCAGTGTGGGAATAAATGCGTTTCATACAGCTAAGCCATTACTCGATAAAATGGTAATGATTTTATCAAACAAAATTACATTTGTATAAAATAAATTTATGGTTTCGATACGCAATAGCAGTAGGTTCGCGAATGCATATCCTTTTATAGAACAGGGGGCAAACGGGTAGGAGGTTCCAGATGTTAAGTGATACGCCGCCTGTGGACATAGCCAAACGGCTCACAAGTGCGATGCTGGCCTTTTAAGAATTGGTTCGCTCTCATGGTAGGTATATATCTAAGGATAGTATTAATTTGTTAGCAACGATTCGGTGTCTGCAGTAGATAAAAACATCTCATTAAATTCTAATCATGTAGTGTGCAGTTTAGGACTCCCACACAAAACTGCGATGCGATGCGAATTTCTGCGATACGATTTAGTGCGGCAAACCGTTTGGTAGGGCGACCATTCCTTCGTAGTCAGCCGTACTGGACGTGTTTTTAGGAAGCGTAAGATGGATCGCAAAAAGATTATTGCACTGCTGTTATTGTTAAATAGATATAAAAGAAAAAGAAGATTCTGGGTTCATCCATTTATTACGATTATGAACTCTGATGCAAACTTTCACAGACGCTCTTCCACGCATCTTGCTTAATAAATTTATTTTTATAATGTTCATCACTTGTGTCCCAAAGGTCGGGACGCTCCTCAATTAAAAATATTAAAAAATCCATATCATATTGCGCAATTTTTTTATAAACAAAGAAGGCGGCGGAGGCGTCTTTCTCTAAAGCTGTCTCAGAGCGGACTAAAATGGCGTCACCAAGGATGACGTAATATCGCAAGATTGTGCGATGCGAAGCAGATCGGAACTTCTTGCGGTGCGTTCGTGCGAATTCGCAGATATTTGCGATGCGATGCGAATTCGCAGTTTTGTGCGGGAGCCCTAAATCGTGATTGGGCAACAGAAACACTAAGTTGGTTAAATTATTTATATATTTAATTGATTGATTAATTAATTGATTAATTGATTGACTAATTGATTGTCACGTGTGTGACTTAACGTTGTTTGTTCAATCTTCATATTCCTACTATTTTTATATTGTATTTACCAGTAAGCAAAGGGATTGCTTAAATAATATTTTTCATAAAATATTGATTTTTGTTGATGTTTCCATTAGTTCCCGAGATTTTTTTGAGATTAAAGATTGATGAATGTTTGGAATTTTCAAGATGTCATGACCTCGTGTATCAACACGTCAAATTATCACTACACCAACTAGCTATATTGTTTAATGAAAACAATCTTATTTATACATATTAATTTAAAGTTGTTGGTGAATGAGGATTGGATTACGAGATCAGTGCTGCATCTAGTGGAAGTCGAAAGATTGGTAGTCGAAGGTGCCGCTGCTTGCACTCTGGCTGCAATTTTGGGTAATCTCGTGCCTGAATTGAAGACAAAGAAGTACGAATTTAAAACATTTTTAATTAAAACATTATGAAACGTGAACTAAATTTACAGTACAGTATTGTTACCATGATTACCATTTTTTATCATATTCAACACCGTAACATTAACCAAGTTTATAATATGTTCACATTTTTTCTTTTTCCTGTGTTCTAATAATAATCTACAGATTCGGAATAATTTTCTATGATAATGATATATAATAGACGTAACAACGTAAAAGCACCATTGGCGGTTTCCCATACTAGTTAGGATAAACAGCAACTTCTTTTTCTATTTTTTATATATACATATTATATTTTTAATACTTTTGGGCGTTTTGTTTGCACCTTACTTGGTAGTAGGATATTAATAAAGTCATGTCTGTCTGAATAATGCTAATTTTCATTGAATATTTTTAAAAGAAGACATATTTAATAAACATTACCATTATAGTGTAACGATAATATTGTTCATTGTAATGGATTGCAGCGTCGTGTGCATTTTAAGCGGAGGTAACATGGACGCTGTATTGATGAGCCGATGTTTGGACAGGGGACTTGCGGCTGAGGGTAGACTGGTTAAGTTTAAAGTAGGTTTATTCAGTACAACTATTAAAAATCGCTAAATTGTAGCTGGGAAGTTTGTGATAAAATTTTCCCTTTGTATGTCCCTCTCCCTCAAACTTAAACTGGCAATACATTTAAAAAAAAAATTTGCTTGTCCACAGTCCAGTTAAAGCATAATACGGATACAAAAGATATGGATTCCATGTTTATACGGACTTCACATATTTGTCGTGCATACAGGACATTTGAATATCGATAATAAGACTTTAACGACTGCATTTTTTATAGTATTTATAGAACAGGTAATGTAATTATAGGTTTATATCAAGGATTCCTCAAAGGAATTTGAGAGACTCCTGCGGCTTTTGGCAAGCGGAGGATACAATGTCAAGAGGCAATTCCAAGACCGTGTATGGGTAGAAAATGAAATTTATAGGGTAGAGGTAAAAAGCATCAGTTTCCCATTAAAAATAGGACTTAAGATTTTATCGAAATAAGTAATTAAACAATCATTTTTAACAGGAACATGACGTTTTAACTCAACACGTTATAATATCAACAAGAACTAATAATATAATTTCACTGTCGCAGGTGAAACTAGTGTGTGAAGCGAGACACTTAGAACACGCTCTTGAATTGAAAAGAATAGTGGAACGCGAATATGGTCCCACGTCGGCAGTTTTCGAAACGGAACCATTCAATGAAAAATATATTTGCCCATGCTATGTCAGAAAGTGTTGCAATTGATTATATTATAAAGAATGACAAATTTACTTATTGTAAAACTTCAAACACTTTTAATATTTACATATTTCTTAAGAAATCAATGTACTGTGTTTCTTTAAAATGAATAATCAAAATTTAAAAAAGAAAACAAAATTGTTTACTTCATACCATATAGAAACGAAAATTATACATAATGTAATTAAGTAAATACAAATTGTGCCAGAGGACTAAGAAAAAAGAATAATTTTGAACATACAATATAATTACCACACTATGAAAAAATTTGGGTAAAATTACAACATCAATTATATGTACCTATGATAAAATTGTAACATTTAAAAACTTTTCATAACTTTTCTTGGCAGAAACATAACAATGGTTGTATTTGAAATTAAAGCAGTGTAATATTATTTGAAAGAATTAGATCTACTGAATAATTTTGTCCATGAATGTTGCCATTTTAACATCCCTTTTGCTCAATCCATTTACATCATGAGAAGACAGTGTTACCTGAGAAAAAAGATATACTTGCAGCTCTTGACACCAACAATCAAAACAAAATCTCTGTAAATTATTTAAAAAATGTGTACTGATGTTATTTAGGTTATTGTGATAAGTTAGACTAGAATAGAACCTTACCAAATAAAAAATGTAAATGAAAACATAACATTCAAAAAATTAAGTGTACATACCTGAACTTTGTTGTAAACATTAAACCATTCAGGATGGTGATCAATTTTTTCAGCTAACAATGCAACTCTAGTCATGAAACTAAATGCCTCATTAAAGTTTTTAAATTGAAATTCCTTCTCAATTGCATCTCTATTACTTTGAACTTTCCATCCTGCTGACAACAGAGGGGCAAGTTGGGTATCACGGTCCTCCTGACTTAATTTATCTGCCTAAAACAACACTTGAAATTTAGTTTAATATATTTACTGTAACTTTACTGTAATTGGTAAATTAATCATTTTATATGTATAAATCATATAATATCATAGAAAAACGTTTAATAAATTGTTAGGATAGACGCACTCATAATAATATGAAAATTTTTAGTTTAAATTCTTATTACTAACCATTTTCCTTATATTAGAAGTGGGCGGAGCAACACTTGATATACCGGCGCAACAAGTAACTCGACTGGCAATGGCATTGATCGGTTTCGGAACGTACGCGCTTTGTACAGCTTCGGGGTGAAAGTGTATCGCTACGTAACGACTTACATTAAATCTTCGACCTCGAAATAAAAACATTTTATTTAAAGACTGGTGAAGTATTACCTACTTCTTTTCATTTTCATCAACCTTTAATATTGTAACCAATGTAATGGTGCAAGTGAGGCGGGTAATTCTTAAACTTTTTAATGGTTATGATTAGCTTTGATGATTATTGTTTTGCTTCTGTTTATACTTTTAGTCATTGAGAAAGCTTGTTGATTTTAGCGGTAATGTAAAATTTATCAATGAATAAACTATGTATAGTGTATACTGTATATTATATTATAGCAGTTTTGACAATTGACATCTGAATACTGCTGAATACTTGCATAAATTGGAAAATTTTGAATATATATTTAGTTGTAGGTTTTCTTTTGCTTTAGAATTTGTACTTGAAATATCAATTTATAAGCGTATAATAACACCAAATTACGATGGTAAACTTAAAGAATATTATGCCCCCCCAAGATGTACGATGTTATAGAAGCAGCAGGAATCTGTACTGTAAAAGAAATAATAAATCTTTCCACGTGGGACATACAAAAATTAACAAATATGAAAGAAGAAGACATAAGCATTCTCAAAAATTTAGTCGCTAAGTATTTTTGTCCTGAAATTGTAACAGCTGAAAAATTAGAGAAAGAAAGGCACATTAAAACAGGATGCGCAGGCTTCGATCATATATTAAACGGTGGCTTTCGAGTTGGCACACTTAGTGAAATATATGGTGAAAGTGGTGCAGGCAAAACACAACTAGTATTGCAAATAGCAGCACAATGTCGAAAAGATGGATCTATATACATTTGCACTGAAGACGCATTTCCAGTAAAACGTTTTAATCAACTACTAGAACATCACATTCATCAGACATCTTATAGCGAACATCGAGAAAAAATATTTATTGAACACATAACAGAGAGTCAGGATCTTTTATCATGTGTCCGCGTACGATTACCAAAATTACTAGAACAAAAAAAAGTTTCAGTCATAATCGTTGATTCTATAGCAGCACCTTTTCGAGTTGATGTTACCAATTATGTTCACCGAGCAGAGGAGTTAAGAGAACTAGGTATATTATTAATAAATATCGCACAAAAATATGGTCTAGCAGTCATTGTCATCAATCAAGTTACATCTTCTTTTGACGAATTCGATAATGTCTTACCCTCTTTAGGGCTTGCATGGTCTAACATAGTAACGTACAGGTGCATGTTAAAACGAAAGGGGTTAGAGGTAAACACAAATAATTGTAATAATGTAAATGTTCGTGAATTTATTCTTGTATTTGGTCCTGATTTACAGAATAAAAATTGTAAATTTATTATTGATTCTAGCGGCATTAAAACTATATAATACATAAAATACTATGTTTATTTTATTTTCAATAACAATAATTCTTTAACTGATATATATGCATATTTTTATTATAACACTTCCTCCAAAGTTTCGGTACATCACAAATAAGATATTGTAAGTTTAGGTGTCTTTTTGTAGTTTTTATCTATTTAAACCTTAATTATATTTATACGCATTATGATTGTGCACAATGCACATACATTGGTTCACATGTGTGGCCTTAATCGTGTGGTGTATAAAAAAGAGATACGAGACACTTATCCCGATTCCACGTCAAATTTCTAACAATATTACTAGTATGGACATATCTTTCCATTTATTTAATATTTTACGTTCAAAACGCAATACTAAAAATATGTTTTATTGCAAATATTTTAAATCTTATTATATCTTCTATTGTATAACCAATTATACAGTCGTAATTTATAAAAAAAAATTTAAGGGCAGGTTTTCTTACATACCCTAGAAATATTAAGATTAATTCAAGGGTGCTAAAGGTAATTTCGAATGGTCAATTGGCAACACTGATGATTGAATATTTGTATGGTTATCCGGCTAATAAATAAATTAAAAAAAAAAATATTTGTAAGGACTTCCTTTTTGGCGGGAAAAGGAGAGCCGCGTTTTTCAAATAAAATTTTGTTTTATTTTAAATTAAATTGTCTTTTTCAAGACAGAGTGCTTTTGGAGGAGAATAATGTCTTCAGAGAGTGATGGTGATGAAGACGGGTCTACAAAGTCACCCGTAGACTCGAAAAAGAGGCGTATAGATAACTCTGTAAAATCGAACGATGTCGATAAGTATAAACCTTACTCTAAACCCGAGTATAAGCGATCCTACCCGGATAATAATAACATAGAAGATTTCCGTTTACGTACAGGGAATTAAAATGGAAGATAAGATAGGTAATAAAAATCCTTTGCATTTATCAAAAATATTCAAAACGTGAAGGGCATTAAGGAATGTCGTCGAGTTAATGCGGCCAAAATTATGCTGGTTTTCAAACAAGCTGAGTGCTAATGATTTTCTGAGTCACGTTAGCTTACGTGACAATAATATGAAAGCTTTTGTACCAGCCTCTTCGGTGGAGCGAGTGGGTAAAATTCGTTTTATCCCTTAAGAATGCAGTAACGCGGATTTATACCACAAACTAATGGTGACTTGAAATTTTGGGTTAGCGTTTTATGAAAAGAACTTGTGATGGTCTGGAACCTCTTACTACTATAGTTACCTTTGTAGGAACTGTTCTCCCTCAGTATGTTTATTTAGACAACTGGCTTACAAATTTTCACTTATATTCCTCCTCTATGCAATGTTTTAAATGCATGAAATTTAGACACAGTGCCAAAGTATGTAGAAACAATCATTTGTTCAAAGTGTTCAGGTGGTATTCCTATAAGGAATGCTCAGCTGAATTTTTAAAAGTGTGTTAACTGTGGAGGAACCATTGGAGTATAGTTTTGTCCTCAAAAAGAGCTCAGATTAAAAAACATGAAAATAATTATTCATCTAAAATGTATCAATGTATTATTGTCAAGTGATTTTCCTCAGTTACCTAATGATAAATCAGTTGTAAGTTGGCTCACAATAAATTAGCTCCACCTATGTCCAACCTAAGAAAAAAAGTTATCACAAAATTCATCAGATAGTTCAATTTCATAGTCTGCTCCTCTAATAGTGGTTCCTATGATCAGCTCATTAAAGATGATCAGTTCTTGAGTAAAATTATCAAAACATTAGTTATGTTAGGCAATTCTAATACAGTAAACACAACTGCACACATTAAGGATATATTAATACAAAACTTAACAAAATAATGGATTATTTACATTAATGCAACATAACATACAGAGTATCAATAATAAGAAACCACTTCTTAAATCTTTATTATATGATAATAAAATAGATGTGTGCTTGTGAATGAAACTTGGTTAAAAGATTCTGGTCTCTTTTTATATACCTGGTTATATATTTGTTGGAAAAAATGCTAAAAATGAGCATGGAGGTGTAGGTATATTAATAAAAAATGATATTAAATTTAAGGTCTTAAAAACTACTTTCTATCAAAATATTCAATTTATAGTATTTCTATAAAACAGGATGTGGTCCTGTTCAGTGCTCTGTGTCTACTGTCCACCAAATGATAGTCAATTAGTTTGATTAATTTGAGAAAGATTATTTTGAATTACCCAAACCTTGTCTTGTATTGGTGATTTTAATGTCACAATAAGTTTTGGTATATACCAATAAGAGGTCGTGAATTATTTGATATATTTGATGATGTGATTTATGTATTTTAAATTGGTGACCCTACTATATTTCTAGACCTGGTAATAAGATAATTGATGTTATTGTGAGTGAAGACATTTGTGAGTGGTAGTGGTGTGACTCTTTAGGGAGTATATTTACCTATTTTGTTAACATCATTACCTCAACTCAAAAATATACAGTTCAAGAGTCTATACATAAGTATTTATATAATAAAACAAACTGGAATATTAAATATAAATCCAAAGATATATTTGATAAATTTTCTCCTTCAAAATTGATCCTTTATTCAATATGATGAATTTTCTAAATTACTATTTAGTTTAAAAGAAAACTGTGTTCCATTGTTAAAGCATAAATCTTCTAGTAAAAAGTCTGCTCCTCAGCTCCTTGGTGGAATGATACTTGTGCGAGGCTGTAACCAAATCAAGAGAAGCGTTAGCTAATTATAGACGTAATATGACAATGGACAATTATATAGAATATAAGAAAATAGATTCGAGGAAAAAAATTATTATAAAAATGGCTAAGAAAGACAGTTGGAAAAGTTTTGTTGTTTTTAATAGATTCACTAGTATCCCGAGTGTGGAATTTTATTAGAAGATTTAAGAGAATTAACATTAATAGAAATGTTCCAAAAATGATGAGTGGATAGAAGCTTTTTAGAGAAGTTAGGGCAACCTAGTAATAACAATATAATATTTTGGTTTATTCGAATTTAATGATGGAAGTCAGTGGAGCAAGTTTCTACTTAACTCTTTTTGTTTTGAAGAACTTGACATGGCTTTGTCTTCAAGAAAGAATACAACCCTGTCTTGACGATATTCCTTATATTATGCTTCAAAATCTACATGTTTCTGTAAAACATATTCTACTTAATATTTTAAATTGCTTTGTCTCATCAATTGATTCCAGAATCTGGAGGTTGATGTGTCATAAGTGTTAAAACCTGATAAACCCAATGATCATTTTAATTGAAAGACCCATTTCTCTTAATCTTGTGTAGGAAATTGTTTGAGAAATGATTAAGATTAGACTGGACTATTTTGTTGAAAACCAGAAACTTATTCCTTCTTGTAGTTTGGATTCAGAAAAGGCAAAAGTGAGAGAAAGTTTTATAGCTTACTGACTGATATGAAGAAGTGTTTGTTATAGGTTCTACTGAATTTGTTTTTCCTTGATGTTAGGGGGCATATGATAATGTAGATCTTCACAATTAATTAGGGTGTATATTTTGGGATAGGAAAGCTTTTAAAATGGATTTTCCATATGTATTATGGTTTCTTTATACATTAAATACAATAATGTTTTTCATGGTCCAAAATTAGCATTAAGGGTTGATGAAGGGTTTCTTTATCTCCAATCCTGTATAACCTTTATACTTCACAAATATATACATATTGACTGAATCTGTAAAAAATATTACAATTTGCTGATGACATCTTAATATATAGTGTAGGCAGTAATTTACAGGTTACTCAGCAAAAGTTAATTCACTTTATGTCAACTTAACTACTATTATACTGAGATACTTAAATTAAATATAAATAGTAGTAAAAGTTCAGTTTTAGCTTATGGTATTGATACTAATGTAAATGTTAAGTATAACAATAATTTAATCTCTCAAAATAGCGAAAAAAAGTTTTTGGTGTAATTTTTGACACTAAATTAAAGTTTACCAAACACATTGACTATATTTGTAGTAGAGCTTTGAAAGGTATCAATATTTTGCGGTCCTTAGCAGGAACTTTTGGGGGTTCTGATCCAAAAATTCTTTGTTTATTATATAAAAGCTTAGTACGTAGTCATTTTGATTATAGCTGTCTGGCATATAGAATATTATCCTGTATTATTAAAAAAGCTTGATGTTATCCAAAATATTGCTTTAAAGTATGGTGCAATGCGTACCACTCCTATCAATTCTATGGAGGTTGAGTCATGTGTAGAACCACTATGTATTCGGCGAGTATTAATTGCTGAAAAATTTTGCCTGAAAGTAATAACTTCTAGAAGATTTCTTCTTCCAAAACTTTCTTATTCTATAACTATCACTAATACACCAGATTTGCCTTCAAGTATAACAGCGACTAATTTCTCAATAACCAATCCCTGAATTATTGGGAATTATGACTTTATACTGATTTATCTGATAATATGTACAAATCTGAACTATGCCTGTATATCTCTGTAAATATAAAGCTTTATGTGTAAATTAAATAAATATATTAGTAGAAATATAGACTTTCTGATTATTGTGTACAAGCCTAAAGTTAAAAGTAACTGATGCTCTAAATTTATTGAGTGAAATGGTAATGATCCTAGGTAAAACCTCAAAATGTTTTATGTTAATAATATTCAGATATTTAAGCTGAAGCTTATGCTATCTATAAGTTGTATTGTACTTAAATTTACAAAATAAGATAACTAATGGAGTTCCTAATAATTTCAATTCAAAAAGTGTGTTAATGGCTTTAGACAAATGTCATACTCATTATAGAAATAATTATTTATTGTATAAAATTAGAGAAGCATTATATTTTGGAACTGTAACATTTAAATGGGTGCTCTCATAGGGGTATCAAGGAAATAATTGTAGATGGTATTCAATTCTAATATATGAGGATCATATATAAGAGAGTTCTTTAGATCTTTTGACTTAAAACAAAGAAGTCGAAGTTATGGGAAACTATTGAAATTATCCTACAGATAAAGGTAGTGGTATGCAGAGATCCAAAAGGAACTCCCATGTAAACCTTGGTATATAAATACAAAGGAGCCAATGAACTAAATTTATAACCATTATTAATTTTGAGGTTTGGCCATGTCAACTCAAGATTTATTTCTTTTAAAATTATAAATAATAAAATTTATGTGGAGGAAAGGAGGCCGACTTATCCCACCTCATCTTGAGTTGCCCGACCTTTAAATTTCAACGATTAATACTAGTAACGGATATTATGAAGTTGATGGATTTTGATGAGAATAATCGGACTAAACTTGGAAATTCTTTAGCAAATAACCCGACAAGATCAGCTTTAGACTCATCAGCAGTCACTGCAAATGGTAGTCATCAATGTCAACCATCACAAATAGAAATTCCCCGCCGTGTCCAAGATTTACTGAAATGTCCAGTTCTATTCAAAGCTATTCACTATTATATAAAAAACACGGTTGAGAAAATTTAAAACTCACCATTGTTTTATATTAATTGTATTTTATGTTAAGTTAGTATAGTAAGTAGTTATTTGTGTAAGATATTTTGTTATACTTTTTTTTAAAGTGCCAATGGACTTTGTATCCGGCTAATAAATAAATTAAAAAAAAAAAAAAAAAAAATATTTGTATTCTGTAAAATTGAGTAGGAATATTTAGAAAAAATTAGCGTTAAGAAAGGGTTGAAATAGACTAAAGTTTAATTCCTGATATATAAAAAATGTCATGTAATACTTGTTGTAAGGCTTTTTCAATCATACGAAAAGAGGTAACAAATGCTTCACTTGTTAAAGACATAATCTATACCTATATATTTTTGTGTTATATATTACATGCTACCATTTATCAATTCTTAACATTATTTCCAGAAAGGATGTCCGAACTGTGGTTTTAGCTATTGCTCAAAATGTCTGAACTACAAAATATTTTTACCAAAACTTAATTTTGAAGCTAAGGTAAGTTAGACTAATGCTTTTATTCTAAATTATTGTTAACATTAAATTTAAAAATATGTTTAAGGTCTGTGGCAAATGCAAAAACACTTTAAATTCTAATCATAAAGTAATAGAGCCACCAGCTGCCTATTTTAAGTAAGTATAATTGCATGTTTAGCAGTCCTTTACAAAACAATTAGTAATATTATCTTCATTTCACAGACGAATTGAAAATCCAAATGTTGTAATAGGCCAAGAAATGGATGTTAATAAAAATGATCCAGTTGAGGAAGAAATTAGAAAGAGACTACTAAAGCTCAAGGAAGAAAAACTTAACTCATCAGAGTGCTCTGATAAAGATATTGCAGAACGCCTAAAAAAATTAAAAGATATTCCTTCCACTTCCCAGGCACAGATTGAACAAAGATTAGCTAATATTAAAGAAGTCCCAATACAATCAATTCAGAGTAAGGTAATTCATATTAACATCATTCATAATATGATTAAGATATTTTCGTTTATGTTTAAATGGCTTCTGACTCTTAAGATTAAGTCATTAAAGTAAATTAGTAGTAATTTAAAAAATAAAAATTTATAATTTTTTTTTAAAAATACAACATTGTAGCCAGCATTACCAACACCAGATATAAGAACAGAAGAAGAACAAGCTAATGACTTACTTAGACAATATATGGCTCATGCAAGTATGGATAAAAAATATGAAGATGAATTTAATAGCAAAATTAATGATATTGAAGGGAGACTTTACAAGCTGAAAGGTCAACAGACTGCTTCTAACAGTATTTCAAGGACTGATATGGTTTTGATGGAATCAGAAGATGAATTGATTAGAAAAATCATAGACAAGGTGTATATAGTATTTATTTAACATTTTATGCCTGTGACCTAGGGACTAGAGATTACTAGTAGAATATATTTAATAAGTTTCAAATTACTATACCATCAGTTGATAAGATTAGGTAAGACCTGTTACATATCTTAAATGTATATTTTAATGTTTTAGGCTAAGGTTGAGTCTGATGATGAAGTTGCAAGCCCTATAAATAATGAATTGCCATTTTGTGAAATTTGTAATGAAGATGCAGTAATGAGATGTTTGGGTTGCAAGTATTTATTTTGTAAACTATGTTTTATGGAACACAAGGATGATGATGATGGTTGTGATAAGTATGAGAAATATACAGCCCCATAAAACTTTTAAGAATGATTTTTAAAAGGATTTTTATTAATTATATTGTATTAAATGTTCCGTTAATTAAATAAATGCACTATATGTTTTAAATAAATAATTTAATGTTAATTGTTTCATTTTTTACAGTCTTCTATAAGACTTGGAATAAGTTTAACCAAATCATCACAATTGTGTTTGTACTCATTATCTATCCAAACATTCTTCAACTTTTCAATTATTTTTCCATACATTTTGCCTGGTGGAACTCCGTTATCCTTCAATGTTTTTCCATTAACTGGAAATATTGGTACTTGCCATTGCTCAAAATGTTTTAAAAGATCTTTATCTCCTCTATATTTGAGTACTTCCTTTACATATTCAATGGCATTTCTTTGCTTAATTTTTGTATTTATAACTAATTTTTCATAAGGCCTGTGGAACACATTTAATATTAGTAGCTTAATGTAGGATAGCAGTTTCTAACAACTGTGAAGTAAAAGATCATTCAAACATAATGGAATGTATTTAACATTTATAACAGTCAACAGATAAGTTCCAAAGAAGTTCAAATACTTACATTAAAGGTCGTGTAGATTCCTTATCGTCTCTATGTTCTACAATAAAATATGCCATATCCCTCTCGAAACTTGAAAATTTTAGTCTACTATTCAATAGTGTGACATCATCAATATTATTCATCAAAGAAGCTAAATAACTCATAGGATGTAAGGCTAAATGTCCACTACGTTTAAGTAACCTATCTAATGAATCCATGTTTGGATGTGGAATACCTGAAACATAAAATTATTAAAATAAATTGTTTGACTTTCTGTCAATGTGAATGTGAAATAAGTATGTTCAATGCTCACCAATGTATTTACCAACACCGACATTTAACATTGTCTGTAATAGACTTCCAGCAAAATTTCCTTCAAGTGTCTTTTTAAGCTCCATCCAAATCCGCTCCCCAGAGACATTTTGAAGACCCTCAACATTTTTTTCTATAACTTCCAGAGTATTTTTTTCATGATTATTGGGTTTTTCTGCTATTCTACCATAGAAACGAAAATAGCGCATAATTCTCAAAAAATCTTCCTTTATTCTTACATCTGGATCTCCAACATATGCTATTCTTCTTTTCTTTAGATCATCAAATCCATAAAAGTAGTCATACACAGAGCCATCAAAGCCTATAACATTAATCAATAATCACTTTACAATATAATGAATGTTAAATTAAAATTTGGGTTTTGACAAATTGAATATATATAGATTAACTCAGTATACAAGGTATTTATAAGATGAAAACAGATATTTATTGATTATAAACTCCTTAGTTTATTATACTTGTTTAATATCCTGATATTATAAAAAAAGTACCTAAAAACATAGAGTTAATAGTAAGATCTCGACGATTAGCATCTAATTTCCAATCTCTAGTGAATTCAACCTCTGCATGACGTCCATCTGTTACTATATCTATTCTTAGAGTTGTCACTTCAAAATTTTCTTTGTCATTTATCCTTGGGGTAATTGTACCATGTTTTTCTCCACTCAAATTTATCATTCTAATATTTTCTTTTGTAAACATTTCTTTCATTTGATCAGGTGTTGCTGTTGTAGCAAAATCTAAATCTTTTGCTTTTTGTCCCATCAGGAGATCCCTATAGTTAAAAATTATTTTATGAGATGTTTTTCACTAATATTAGGTTTATCTATCCAGTAAATTAATATAAAATTAGCAATTATTACCTTACAGCACCTCCAGCTATCCGAATTTCATAATAATATTTATCAAATACAGATTTCAAATCCAATACCTCTTTATTAAAAATGCTCTTAAATTCTGGAGAGTCCAATTTAATAACTACTGGATTTTGCCGACACTTAAGATTTTCATCCATTCTGGACTTTCTTCGTTTGAGGATTGGTCTTTTTAAATTATTATATGAACTCTACAATCACATATAAAAGTTAAAGCAATATGATATAAAATTGCACATAGTCGATAAGAAATAGGCCGCTAAATAATGACAAAAAACTTACATTTTGGTGAAATAATCTACTTATAACAGTAAATATGATTTTCATGTTTATGGTTACTTTTAAGATTTAAATAAATCATGAAAATTTCACATATACCAGTCCAAACCTTAAATATAATTATTAATTTAAAAATACAAATATTAAAACGCGACCATATTTCTATATATGTACAATACAAAATTTAATAGTTCGACTGTACCTGTTTTGTTATTGAATCAAATTTCAGTTTCAATTTTCAATCATAAATGCACAGATGACTGATGATTTAGAAATATGTCACTAGTTATCTATGATCACAGATTATGTAGAGGTGAATCGATGATTAATATTATGTTGTTTGGCAGTAGTTCTCTACGTATTTTTTCCTTTACTTATTAGATTACAGTTTTCAGGATGACGAAATTGCACTCTAAAACACGCTGCTTGAATTGGTTGCCAGCCTTGTGGCCTTAGAGTTAAAGACAATGGAGTTTGGCAAACAAATTGGATACCGTGGTAATACCAGATGACTTTTTCGCCATCTGGTATGAATGGCTTGATGGATATTGTGGAGGGAAGTACAGAAGAGCCTTCTTAAGATAGATAGTTTCGGAGATATTTAAAGAAGAATGGGGAAAGGAACTTCTTTAAATTTGTAAAATATTGGATACTCTGCTTGAGGTATTCCTCGTGTGTTTTTCATTCAGATGTTGAATGTTAGTATCTAAAAATCAAGGGACCGTTGAGAATTTGACTAGTCAGTTACCCATGTGCCCACGAGAGAGCTAATGAACGCCCATGAAAGTCTAGGAAACGGCAATGGACAAGAGTTAAACCCTGCTGATAAATATAAGGCAATTTTACGACCAAACAAATTTGCCCATTTGCAAATTTGTCAACAGTGAGAGCTCTTTTGAGTGTTGCTGCGAATGAAATATATGAAACAACCTGAAGGCTAGAATGATTTGAACCTGGAAGAATATATTTGCTGAAAAAGAGTCTTTATGGTTTGAAACAAAACAAAATTATTTTATTCCAACATCACGGATGTTGTGTTGATTTCTTGAAAGAACGTGGTTTCAAATGCAGCCAATCCATGATCGTTTAAGCAAGAGATAGACGAGAAAAAATATAGTCGTAGCTCTATACGTGGACGATAGCCTTGCGATCCGATGCGATGCGTACGACACAAGGGGGGTCACGGGGACTCCCCGATTTTATCGAACGAGAGATCCAAAACAATTAAACAATCATTTAAATTTTAATCGACAGTGTGTGCAAAGTGCGCACTTTATGTGTTACTGATTGTTTTAACGATGAGAGATAGGAATCAACATAACAAGAAAAGAAAACAAAGTGTATTTTTCTTACTCTTCGAAACCCCTGCACCGGTTTTGATGTGGCGGATAGTGACTTGACTGTTTTATTTAATACAAGTAATTGTTGTCGGAGGTCATGGGTTCGAATCTCACAAGGAGAAATGAAAAATAAATTGTATTTTTTTATGTATAACATATATTTATTTAACAAAAAAAAGGATATAAGTCGTTTTTATGCGTCATTTAAGCAAGTCGCTTGTCTAGTACTCATAATACAAGCCCTGCTTAGTTTGAGACTAGTTGGCGGAGTTTGATTATCAAAAAATATTCATTTATTTTATTTATATAACATAACTATTCATAGAAAGATAAATCTAAACTGACTTCAGACAAATAGATACTACTCATACTGATACTCATGCGCGAAATATTGTCATTGCTTATCTGTTTTTAAGTTAACATGATGCCACCCAAGTTTCGTCCGTTCCTGTCCCTGATACACCATTGTCAACGCCAAGACAACTATCGTCACTAATACCAACTTTTTCCAAAGATATTCCTGGACACTGGCCAAAAGTTTAAGGCACTGCTTTGATCTAGTATTTAATAGAAAATCCAATTAAACAGTAAGTATAATATGCCGTGACTCTTCGGGAAGAAAATTTTGCTGGTATTATTATTAAGGGTATTTAGAAAACGGTGAAATGTATTAGAATGGCTGCTGTATTCAGTCTCCAATAATGCAAAAGTAAAAAATAAATGCTGTGAGGGAATTAGTGATATAATATCAACAACTAGCTTTGTATTGCAGCAGACATTAGAAAAGTTCTGCTCATTTCAATACTTATAAAAATGGACAGATTTGTGTCACGCTATTAAAAATGAAAACACTATTGATGATTTCAAAAACTTTTAGAGGTTGAAAACAGCGCTGGTCAATGTAAAAGAATATATTTATTATGTGGTCAAATTTCTAAGTACCAAATATGGCTTTTTTTTGCGAACTAGCGAACTCCCGGTGGGGGTCTTCCTGAGAGATATGAACTCTAACTATTCAAACTTAGAGTGCACTCCTCCCTCAAAGGCCGGCAACGCACCCACTAAAATGGGTGTCCATTGGCTGCGATGACTGCCCTTGATGGACGTCCTGTAGGCTCGTTTGCCCTACATGTACATTTTTAAATTAACTGAAATTTTAGGAAAATTCGATCTATCAATTACTGAACATATCTTGATCATTAGATAAAATCCAAAATGAAATAATTTACATACTCGGTATAGTCCATTGAAATGTTACATGGCCTGAACATTTGTTAGAGGACGCAATTTTATTTATGGAACATGAAGGGGGTGTCAATACAAGCTTAAACCCAAGTTTTTGGGGTTGGCGCCCTTGGAAAAGGGGGTGAAAACATGTTTTTGGCTATATCTCCTAAACTATCCATCGTACAAAAAAATTGAAAGACATATGCTTTGCCTACAATTGTGTCTGTGTGACTTTTTATCATAAATCCAAAAAGTTATAAGTGAAAAAAAATTACCGAAAATTTCCTTTTTTGCTTTTGATTTTATCAAAAATTTATGTCAGAACAATTTTGTAGAGGATCTCTTTCTGGAGATTTTCCTCTATATTTTTTTTTTAAATTTCGTTACTTTGAAACGCTGTTCCAGCGCTCCAAAGTTGACCGGGTTCGTTAATGCTCCTGACAAGCCGGTCAAAACAACATTTTTACTTAACTTTTATGATCTCTCGTTTATTTTAAACAAATTTTCGAACAAACCCCGAAATCTACTTAAATAGTTTCTGAGAAATTAATGGACATACATTTATACACATGAATTGAGCACTCAGGCTTAGGAGCCTAATAGATCACATTTAAATGTTATAATCTAAATTAAGTTTATAATTTCATACAGCCCAAATTTATACCTTATTTTGAAATCAATTGATACCTTATTTGACAAACATGTTGTATTAATCAAAATGAAAGTAGCTTTGTTGTAATTATTATTTTTCTAGAAATTATCATTTTCATTTACGTAATTTGCTTGGTAATGTTTATTAAAAAAACACAATTATTTTAACATTAAATAATTATTACCATGAAAACAATGTTGGGAAATGTTACAGATACCTTAAAATAACTGTCACTTTCCACCCATTAAGTTGTTCATGCCACTTGAGCCCTGTTGCAATTGTCTCATCATGTTATGCAGCCCAGACATTCCCCCCATCTGTTGTAAAATACGGGGATCCATCATTTTTGCCATCTGCTGATTAAGTTTCGCCATTTGAGTTTGGTTTACATTCTTCGCCATATCACCACCTTTAAATAGTCCCTTAATACCACCCATCTTCTTTACTACAGCTGCAAATTTAGTGTATTGTGCTATTAAATCCTTAACATCTCGTTCAGTGACACCTGACCCTTGAGCTACACGAGTTATACGGGTGGGTTGTTTTGAGAAAAGTTTTGCTCCATCACGATGATCAAGTTCACCTTCATTCATTGAGTCCATTATGGTCATTAAACGTTTGAGTTTCGCCATTGACTCTTGTTCACTGCCTTTGGACATGAGATCTTGTGAAAATCCTGGTATCATGCCCTAAAATGAATTAAAAGTTTAAAATATAGATAGTCCTTTCCCTGTACTCCGAGTGTATTATACAAGGAATATAAGAAGTTCTAACCATTATTTGTGAAAAGGGTCCCATTTTCATTATATTTTGGAACTGTTCATACATAGCTCTTAATGTGAACTGCCCATGTTTAAGTTTTTCTAGAAGATCATCATTGTCATCCAGTTTTAATTCATTTACTTTGTCCAGTAGCCCTTCAATATCCCCCATACCCAATAGTTTGTTAATGAAGGGTTTAGTTTTAAAAGGTTCTAGGTCATCAATATGTTCTCCTGTACCTATGAAAATGATAGGACTCTCTGTTGCAGCCACTCTGAAATAAAAAGTAATTTGATTAGCTCATACAATTATATAAGCCTTTTATAGAATTGTGCCCTTACTCTAAAATCAACAAATGGTAATTTATGTTTTACTATTTATGAGCTAGTAGTATTAGAAACTGACTTTGATTAGGTTAATACTGTTAATAATTGTTATTAGTGTAAATTCCATCATGGGTAAGTGCTTCCTCCATTTTCTTCCAAAGATCTCTGTTTTTGGTTTGGTGCAGCCACTTAACTCATAGAATTAATAACTTATAAAAATGGTCATAACAAACATAGGCATATTATATATAACTAATTTTTAATCTGATTATCTGAAATCTGAAAATTTACTTACGCTGAGAGGGCACCACCACCTTTAGCGTGACCATCTAACTTTGTAATAATAACAGAACCAATATCAACTTTTTCTTTGAAAGCTTTAGCTTGGGCTTCACAAGCCTGACCGATTGTTGCATCCATCACAAATATAATATTATCTGGTTTCTACAAGACAATAAACATAATATTACAACTATGGATGACATAATATACAAATATTGATAGTCAAAATAATGCTTCCAGTATTTTTTTGTTTGTGTGCATACAGAGAAAAATTAGTTTTTGCACAGCTGGGGTTTCAAACCCCAACCTCAGGGTTAAGAGATGCCAAACCAACCAATTACTTACAATAGCATTTGCAACAGCCAACATTTCCTCAAACAATGACTCTTCCTGTTTATGCCTTCCACTGGTGTCCACAATTATCATTTCGAATCCTTCCTTCTTGAACATGTCAACTCCAGTTGATGCAATCACTACTGGATCAACTTCTGTGTAACTGAAAAAAAATTAGATGTGTCTAGAAAAACTTAAATCTAAAAGACCCTGTTGACCCTGAAATCTAAAAGAGGTTGTCAGGCCTTAGGACACTTACAGCTTTGACAGCGATCCAAACTATTTATGTGTATATTATAATCACAGCTTCTGACCTTGATGCACTGTACAAGCAAACTATCCTTTTTTGAGTTTTTAAAGCCTTTAATTATCTTACAATACTTTGGTCTTTAGTTGGGCTAACTACTCCTAATTTTATCAGATACTATTCATAATACTAAAATTTACTAAGGAACATGCTAAAGCATTGAAGTAAACAATAAACAGTACATATTAAACTAAACTTTAACCATGTTAATAAAACAAACTACAGACCTTCCATAAAATGGTATTCTTGCTTTAGTACAATTCTGCTTAACTTGATCATAAGCACCAGCTCTGAATGTATCAGCACAAACAAGACATGATTTCCAATTTTTTCTCAAGTAATGATATGCTAATTTTGTACATGTTGTTGTTTTACCAGATCCTTGCAAACCAACAAACATTATTATATTTGGCTTGCCTTTAACAGGTTGATACGGTTTTACTCCAGGATCCACTAACTGTAAAAAACTGCTATTGAATATAACTTAGTCACTCTAACTCTTAACTCAAAAGTTACATTATAGTATAATTTTATTGTTGCAATATGGTACTATTTAATACCTTAACTAGCTCTTTAAATACTGCTGACTGTATCATCCGTCTCTTGTTAAGACCCCCTGCCATTTCATCAAAGTCAATAACAGCACGGACATTTTCACGTAAGTTTTTTACTAGACGAATATTAACATCAGCTTCTAAGAGTGCAGCGCAAATCTGCTTTAGCATAGAATTCAAAACCTGCAAGGAAAATTGTATTTATCTAAGTAAAAGTAGAAATAATAAAAATAAAAACATATATAAACTCTAAAGTGTACCTCTTCATTGATGATGGTTGCTCTACTAAGGGACTGCAAAGCAGTAGTTATTTTACGACCTAAGTCTGCGAGAACCATTGTGAATACAAATTTTTCAACTTTTCTTAATGTTATACGATAGTTTTGCACTTATAAAACATATAGAAATTTATAAGTTTTTGATTACATTTCATTTCTTTGTATTAAATTTTACTCTAAGCAGGTTAGCGAAATTATTTAATGAAAGTGAAATTAAAAACAGTCACCACGTCCACCACGTATAATTCTTTTTGACAGTTAACCCTTAAACTCTGACAAACGACAGTTCGCTGGTATTCATTAATCTAATGGTAATGGCAACTTAAAACCATTGATCGTTACGTACACGTGCAATATGCAGACAATAAAATTTAATGGTGTTAATTTTATTTATTTTTATATAAAATATAATTTCATAAAATACTGCCATCGTGTCACTATTTAAAAATAATTCAATGTAAATAACTCACAGATTCAAAAGACAACTATTAGCAGAAAAGTTGTACGAAAATTCGAAAACCCTCGTATCTACATACACTTTTAAAAAACGTACTTTTCGCTTTGTAATGGTACGGGGTACCACTGTCAAAATGGAAATGTCAGCATTTTAATTTCTCATGGATTGTGAACATTAAGAGAAAATAAATAAGAGGAACAAGAAAAACAAAGTTAACAGTATTGTTATAAAGGAATATGGTACGTTTTTAAATATAAAAATCAATAAATTATTAATGAATATTATGCATTCCGCATTTTAGGTCTACAGTATGTATTATTATACTTATTTAGTTCTTTCTTTGTATTAGGGTCAAAACCAATCTGGAGGTGGAAGCGGTGGTGATAAAAAGGACGATAAAGACAAAAAGAAGAAGTATGAGCCTCCAATTCCTACAAGAGTTGGAAAAAAAGAAGCGTAAAGCTAAGGGTCCTGATGCCGCACTAAAGCTACCACAAGTTACTCCGCATACGCGGTGTAGGCTAAAACTTTTAAAACTAGAAAGAATTAAAGATTATCTCTTGATGGAGGAAGAGTTCATTCGTAACCAAGAACGACTTAAGCCTCAAGAAGAAAAAATTGAGGAAGAAAGATCAAAGGTAATTGAAAAGTATTTTTCATAAGTAACTTATATTCTGTATAAATTGTTACTTTAAAGTACACAACCACAGATTTTGTTTTAAATAAAATGTTCATGATATGCCTAATTACATACATTTGTTTTCACTATTAGGTGGATGACCTAAGAGGAACACCTATGTCAGTGGGTAACTTAGAAGAGATCATAGATGACAATCATGCTATTGTGTCTACATCTGTTGGCAGTGAACACTATGTTAGCATTTTGTCATTTGTTGACAAAGATCAGTTGGAACCTGGCTGCTCTGTATTATTGAATCACAAGGTATGGTTATTAGTTGTTAAATAATTAGCTCTTGTTTAATCTTTAAACCTACACACAATATATAAAGAGAATATTACTTGTTTTTATGATTTTACTTATATGCTTTTAAACATTACATTAACTTCTCAATAAATAATATTAATTTGACAGTATAGTATAGTTGTATCTGAAATGTGACCATATTCACCATATTATACCTTTCAAGTAAGGTAAATTTGTTTATTTAATTTTAGGTTCATGCTGTAGTGGGTGTGTTGGGTGATGATACAGACCCCATGGTGTCTGTGATGAAGCTGGAGAAAGCACCTCAGGAAACATATGCTGACATTGGAGGTCTTGATATACAAATTCAAGAAATAAAGGTACAGTACAATAGACATACAATAGTATTTTTTTAGAGCATCCCTGAAGAGTGCATTTTCTGATAATATAGGGGATTGTTTTTGTATATAAAAGAATGTTAATAGTTATTATAGTAGTGAGCCAACCTAAGTTATTAAATTAAAGAAAATTGAGATGTAAAATTATCTAAGTGCTTATTTGGCATTTTTTCTCTTTCTATGTGGTATTGAATTATTTGGCTCTTGGGTTTAATGCATTTATTATATCTGCTATTAAATTCAATTGTTTATATATAATATATAGCAAACAAACTATTTAATATGTAACAGTTTATATATTATATCTAAACAGATTTTTTTTGTAAAATGTATCTGCTAGTATAATATATACATATAAAACATATGTATCAATTCCTATTTAATCTAAGAGATAAAAGAGATTTAAATGTTTTTTTTTTGTGTTTTGTTAGGAGTCAGTGGAGCTGCCCCTGACTCATCCAGAGTACTATGAGGAAATGGGTATCAAACCACCAAAAGGTGTTATTTTGTATGGTCCACCAGGAACAGGAAAGACTTTGCTAGCAAAGGCTGTTGCTAATCAAACTTCAGCTACATTCCTTCGTGTTGTTGGATCTGAACTTATCCAGAAATACTTGGTAATCTGAATTTGTATATATTTATTAATCTTACTTAACAACATAGTTAACAATGCTAATTAAAATATTTTGCTACATGGAAATATACCACAGTTTACAATCCATAATTATGGTAAATGTATTAAATTTTCTAATTTGTATTTCAGGGTGATGGTCCAAAATTGGTACGGGAATTGTTCCGAGTTGCTGAAGAACATGCACCATCTATTGTTTTTATTGATGAAATTGATGCAGTAGGTACAAAGCGGTCTGTATCAATAAACTTACAATTGTTGTTTTATATCACATTGTTAATATTAATTTTTACATAAAAAGTTGTTTTGTTCCAGTTATGATTCTAACTCAGGAGGAGAAAGGGAAATTCAAAGAACAATGTTAGAGTTGTTGAATCAACTTGATGGATTTGACTCCAGAGGAGATGTTAAGGTAAATAATTACTAAGATTCCTCTCATCAACTTCTTTATGAATCATACAAACAGAAATATATCCATCATATAGAATCTCCCATCACATCTTTAAAGCCAAAAGCCATCATTTACTGTTTAAATGGCAGAATTTTACAGTTAATTAGTTTAGTAGAGTCAAGACCAAGTAATTGTTAATTTTCTGGTTTAAAAATTTGTTTTACTTTGCTGTATTTGGAAATTTAGAAGATCTTTTACTACTGTACTTTGCTAACAATACAATGATTAAATATTTTGTAAATAGGTTATAATGGCAACAAACCGTATAGAAACTTTGGATCCAGCTTTGATTCGTCCTGGTCGAATTGACAGGAAGATTGAGTTCCCACTGCCAGATGAAAAGACGAAGCGTCGCATTTTCACCATTCACACATCTAGAATGACTTTAGCCACTGATGTAAACTTGTCAGAACTTATTATGTCTAAGGATGATCTCTCAGGAGCTGATATAAAGGTATCAATAGTTGTAAGCCTATAAAACTGAAATTCAAAGTTTCTCAAATGGAGAGAGGAGATTGTATTTTTTTCATGTAAGATTAAACTTCTTTCAGCATGAAAAGTTTAATATCGCAGTCAGTGAGTTATTTATGTGTCAAAAAATCTCATAATAAACTACTAAATTCTTAAAATTCATAGAATCTCTAGAAATTTTGTTGTCATATATTTTCTTTTCTAGGCTATATGTACTGAAGCTGGTCTAATGGCTTTGCGAGAACGGCGTATGAAAGTCACTAATGAAGATTTTAAGAAGTCAAAAGAAAGTGTCCTATATCGTAAAAAAGAAGGAACACCTGAAGGATTATATCTTTAAGAGGTGTCTTTTTAACCTATAATACATTGTACTTCAATAATAAAAGAAATAACTATTAAAAGTGTATTGTTTTGTTTTATTTTTTTAATGATTCGTATACTCTCATACCTATAAGCTTTAATAATTTCAAATAACTTATGCTTATTGGTATCATCAGAAATAAAGGTAAATCGTTTTTCTATAAAAATTAATTGCTGTTTGTTTGTCTCGCTAAAACTTGAGAATGGCTGCACCAATTTGGCTAATTTCAATCTTGAATTATTTGTGGAAGTTCAAGAAATGAGAAATATGAAACATACGTATGTATATATATAAAACTTAGCATAAATAATTCAATTTTCCAATACAATTCGTTTCTAGCTTCATAAAATTTGATATCTTGTGTTTTAATTTATCATCTTTATACACCACAAAAAATAAAGTATATCAGAAAGTTTTAAATTAATTGAGTGTAAAACTGTCGGTATTGCATTTGATAATGTAGCTAAAAATTTAGTTGAACTAACATTGTACAGAAATATATCGCTTGCCCGCAAGAATACTGTATTAACTCTGAAAACGTACTTTTTCAGGAGAAGCGATTAAAGCTTGTAGCTCCAAATATTGTGGTATTTTCTTAAGATAAACAATCGGTTTCTTTATTGTTATTATGTATTAGTCTATACTCTATAATTATCTCTGAAGATATTGTTATTTTTAACATGATTTCTTAAATTATTTATACCTTTTCTAAGGAGAGTATCACTTGTGACTGTATTCTTTTGAATATTACTTTTATTTAAGATGTTTAGGGTAAAATGAAAACAGTATTTATATAATTTTGAATGCAATTAAAGTAAAGAAAAAAACATAAACAATAAATGAATTCTCATCAATTTATTAGAAAAAGATCTAAACATCAAACATACTTATAAAAATCGGATGATTAACAATCAAAAGCTAAGTAACAAAACATTTGGCTTAAACTTAGGGCAAAATAATAAATTCTAGTCTTGTACCAAAAAAAATAATTATCAAAAATCAAGAAGTAAGCAGTTTACATTGAACACAAAACAATCAACTAGTCAGCCTAATTTTTTTTTTAAATAAAATAAAATTTCTCAATGTTTAAAACTTAATATTAATTAACTTAATAGCAACTTTACGCTTTGACCAGGTAACCTGGTTAATAAAATAAAACTGAAAAAATGTTTGAAGTAGGTACAACTACTGTTGAAAAAAACATAATTCGTAATTTAGAAAGTTAAAAATCTCACTGAAATCTAAAACCAAATATTAAATAAGTACTATGAAGAATTGAAATAATATTTAAAATTCACTTATAAGTTTTGATAAAAATCTTCATAGTATTTAGGAATTATGTTTTTTTCAACTAATTTCATCAGCCCCTGTTTCTTTTTACTTGAAATTTTAATCCTCTCTGAATAGGCTGCAGGTAAATTAAGTGTCATCAAGTCATGTTGAGTGCTTCGAGTGGACCCTGATACTTTTATTTGCTTATAGGCGGTATCAGAGTAAGAAGTTTTATAAAAAAAAAATCCAGGATCTGATTTAGACACATAAATTACCCTAATATCATTCATTTTTACGGTTTCATTTTGAATATTTTTGGAAAAGTTTTTTCCAATCTTTGGTGATACTTCTTTAAAATCGTAAAAGCTATCGTAAGTCAATTCATTAACTGCAAATGGCTTTCCGTTAGATTTGGCAGTTCTAATTAAAGTAAAATACTGAGCAGGTGAATATATCGCACTTGAACGAAGGGACTTTTTAATTTTTCTTTCAACCAGAGAATGGCAATTGTCACCCTCATTTTGGGTATGCCCCTTAATTAGGAATTTGTGGGTAATGGAACTAATATTTCGAAATTTACATATTGCTAAGATGTACATTGAAATCATATAACGGTTTTTCTGCTGCCCGCAGCAATTGTCACTGTAGAATATTACATCAATGGATCGCTCAGCCTTAGTGTCTATTTGGTTAAGATAATTCCACACGCAACTTGCAATCTCATTCACACCACGATTGCCATGCCCTTCATGCCATACATTACAATAAACATCTCTTGTCTTCAAATCAGTTATTGTAAAATTTAAGACATTTAATTTGGAGATGTAATAAAAGTTACTTACATCCCCTCTTGGACAAGGCATTGTTGCTTGTAAGTCATAGACAGCAACTACCACACTGCTGCCTTTCAATTTGTCTTGCTCCTTCTCGGCTCTCGATAGATCTTTTTCTATTAAATGTGTATCATACTCAACTCGAAGTCGTTGTTTTTCATCACCGGTAGCATTCATGAATGCCTCACAAGTGTCACATCTGTCTTTTTTAGGTGAATAAAAGGCTATATTAAACTCATTATTGAATATATGGCTATACATAACATAATTACCATAAGGCTTATGTTCAGTCTGACATAACTTAACGTAATCTTTGTGTAGATCAGTCAATGTTTTACTGCCATCAATATAAAGCTTATTAGTATTACTGCGACAGTAATGACTATCCATAGTCGGAATAGATTGTATGTGCTCTCTTATTTCGAATTTAATAATATCCGGTATTTTTGCATGATTTGCATGCTTCCCTCTGCCATCTACAGCTACAACATTATTCAAAGAGGGTATTCGCTTTTCAAACGCGGTCCTTATCACGCGGTCATTTAAGGCAAGTGTGGATTTAAAAAATGTTTTACAAACACGTACTTTACTATTTTGAACAGAAAAATAAAATGCATTGTTGTTTTGCCTAGGATTTGCCGCATTCGTGTATTTATATTTCGGATTAATCATAGTAGTGCTGTTAATGATGTATTGTCTCTGCATCGTGATGTTGCCCAAATTGTAATATTCATCAAATATATTTTTTCTTTCTTCTTCTGATACATTAGCAGAACATTTTAGGCGACACTTCTCACCACATGGTGGCCCTACTTTTCTGGCTGGAATGACTTTCTTTAGTTTTTTTGATGTGTAGCTGTGACCTGTGTTTCTTAAACGTTTCGCGACTTCTGACTTCCAGCTGCTAACATTTCGTTGTCGTTTTCGTGTGAGTTTTTTGTTAGAATCTAAGTTTTCAAGCTGAGAGTTTGCAAGTGGAATGTTTTCGTTGCCAGAGAAGTGTAATGTAGGTGGAATGATTTCGCTGTTAGAGGAGTGTAATGCGGGTGGAATATTTTCGCTGTGGGAGGAATGTGAACGTGCACTTGAAGCTGACGATGATGAACTACTGGAGCTGGAAGATGAATCCGTTGATGATCTTGACGGTGGTCTATGTCTATAGTTCGGATCTTTAACGCTGTCATCTGAATCGAAATCGGACTCATAACTTTTATCGGCTTTACTTAGATCTTCAGTGTTAGATATTATGTCATTAATATCAGTATTATTAGCATCATTTTCGAAACAATAACTAACATTGTCAATAGCACTGGCTGTCTCAATTCTATGATCTGATGCATTTATATCTTTATGAAACAAATTGGTTTGTACGTTAGCATTTGGAACTGATTCACATGCTATATCAACATTTTCTAAGCATTCAATGTAGCCAGGGCCTTGTTCATCCAAGCTAGTATCAAGATTTTCAGATGGGTTCAAATTATATTGACTGTTATTCGATGTCTCACCGTGTGTTGCTATACATTTCCGAATATACGCTAGTCTTTTCTGTGGTAACATTCTGAAATAAAGAATAAGAAACTGAAGATCAAAGACCAAGTTAGACATACTACTATCTAAATTAATTAGGTACAAACAGAACAACGTAGTTTTAAAGTTTGATACATTGACATCAACTTAAACTCAAATGAATACAGACACATTTTGAAATAATACTTGAATAAGATACAATTTATGGTGAATAAAGTAGTAAACAAAAAAACACACAAAACTTTTAATAGATCATAGGCATAACTCGAAATAATACTTTGTTCATTTTAACGCAAGGTATTTTATGCATTATGTTATTGTGTCGAATACGGGTTCATTTTCGTGTTAAAACTATATTCTAAATAGGAATTAAAAAATAAAATACTTACTTTATGAAAAATATTGCAATAAATCACAAAAATACACTTTTCTTCCTAAGGTTGAACCGAAATATATATTAATAGGAGATAATACTTTGTGCCCTAAAATAACACGCGTCTAATTAGTTCAAGGATAGGTGCAATACTGAACGTGACGTTCTTCCTTTTCTAGTGAATAGAAAAGAGCGAAAGGGATAAAGACGCAACTTCCGTAATTGGCTCATTCAAGGTGCAAACGATTTTTGACCTTATTCAAAAGGTAGAACGTACTTTTTTTAGTCGAGCTGTATTATTAAGTCAGTTAGTGCCAAATTTTGACATAATACTGTATTCTTCCGGGCAAGCGATATGTAGGTGATACAAAGTTCAGAACGTCATCTCGTATATCATACATATTGAATGGGGATTATTTTCTGTGATTGAGATACCCAGCTCAGCTTATATTGATCAAACGACGCGAAAATTTCATGACGCTGTTAAATATTATGAAAAAAACAGGATAGATAAGGAATACCTCATTTTAAAATGCTTTATATGTATGATTATCGAATTAGATGTTGTGCAATCTTGTAGACTTGAGAAGGCTACATAAATTATATAGGTTTATTTATTTTAAGTTTTAATAGACTCCAAAACGTTTCATCAACATCGGTTTAAAAGATTCTAAAATTCCCGCATTTCTGTCAATGTAAAGTATAGGTAAATAATTAATTATATATATAATAATTAATAGGTATACATTTTAAATATTAATTTTATCATTTAAAAAAATTTGTGTATATAATAAAAATATAGTGTTCTATTGTGCACCCTTTTGTGAAGATGCTATGGGCTGATTAACCATTCTTAAGACTTAAATGTCAGTTGACTACGTTGTATGTTATGTGTCAAGCATGATGCATGACAAGTTTCATATTCAAAAAAACTTTCGAAGTTCGAAATTTACAAGCTACTTGTTGGATTTTCAACAAATAAAATTATTTACTCTCATTTTTGGTCGTTCTTGTTTCGAGTAATTCCATATTTAAATATAAAGTTATTAACCCAAAATGGCTCGAGTACTTGTCGGAGTTAAGAGAGTAATCGACTATGCAGTAAAAGTAAGAGTTCAAAGGTTACTTGTTCATTTCAATATCAAATTTATTTATAACTTTTTTGAGATACTTGTCTCATACTTGGTTTTTTATTTAAAGTTGAAATTATTAGTCCTATATTACCGCAACTACTAATGGTTGCTTCTAAAATTTTATAATTTATTTTAGATAAGGGTTAAACCAGACAAAAGTGGAGTTGTAACTGATGGAGTGAAACATTCAATGAACCCATTTGACGAAATTGCTGTAGAAGAAGCCGTGAGGCTAAAAGAAAAAAAGATAGCTAAGGAGGTTATCGCCGTGTCTTGCGGCCCTGCTCAGGCTCAGGTTAGTTTTTTTTATTGAACTGGGGCAAACAAATGGGGCTCATCTGATGTTGAGTGATACCATCGCCCAAGGACACTCAAACTCCCAGAAGGCATTCAAGTGTGTTGCTGGCCTTTTAAGTGCATCCACTAAAATTATATTCAAAGACTTCTATATAACATAAAACTTATAAATTTATGAGTCAGTAAGTCATGAAATATAATTAGGAGAAAAAGTTCTTAATTTATTACTATGTTTTTACAATCCATATTACTTATTATATTATAACACTAGGAAACATTGAGAACAGCCTTAGCTATGGGTGCTGACCGTGCAATTCATGTTGAAGTTTCTGGCCCTGAATATGAAACAATGCAGCCACTACATGTTGCTAAAATACTAGCTAAACTCTCACAAGATGAAAAAGTTGATTTAGTTATAGTGGGAAAACAGGTACTATACAATTATTTAATTAATATATGTATTTTAAAGTTACATTTATATTATGATTAATTCAATAGCTATCTGCTTAAATCAGCAAATAAGTATTTTAAATAAATTTTATTTATTTTAATATGGTTATAATTATACAGGTTAATATTTAATAACACTTAAGTTAAATATAGTTTTAAATAAAGTTTATCTTATTTTACAGGCAATTGATGATGATTCAAATCAAACAGCACAAATAACTGCAGCATTATTAGATTGGCCCCAGGCTACATTTGCATCTAAGGTATGATGTAATCCATTATATAAATTTTATTATCTTTAAATAAACAATAATAGATAGAACACAAGGCCGCCTCTACAAATTTCCTTATCTTATTTGAATATTATTAACACATAAGTACCAAGTTTATTAAATCCTAATATAATTACATTACCATTTATTTCAAAAAATCCAATTAAGAATATGCTAAAATATCATTTCAATATCATGATTACTGGAATGTTTTCATTTATATAAAATGGAATATCTTTCCACCACAGATCAAAAACTAGATTAATGCATGTTATGATGCAGGTATATTTAATTTAATTAAAATAATGGTTTTCTAATTAGCAAAAAATATCAAACAAAAAAAAGTATATTTTAAAACTATATATGTTTCATTTTAATATTGAGTCATTTCATTTTAGGTAGAGAAAACAGATGCTGGATTGACAGTAACTCGGGAAATTGATGGTGGTCTGGAGGTAATCAAGACCAAAATACCAGCTGTAATTAGTGCTGACCTCAGATTAAATGAGCCAAGATATGCAACACTACCCAATATTATGGTAAATTTATATACTTTTTATCCTTTAAATGCTGTGATCTGATGTTTTTTTAAATAAAAGGTTTTTTAAATTTTTGTAGAACTGTGTGATAGCAGTGGTGCAAATTGGCATTTTATAAAGAGTTTTGTTGCTATATTTCAGAAAGCCAAAAAGAAACCTATGAAAAAAGTGGCAGCAAAAGACCTTGGAGTAGATTTGGCACCCAGAATCAAAATTATTTCCGTTGAAGATCCACCTGTAAGGCAAGCTGGAGCTGTTGTGCCAGATGTTGACACACTTGTCTCGAAACTTAAAGAAGGAGGGCATATTTGAATAATACACCATTTTACACAGTCCAGTTTATTTCATGTAAAAACATAGCTTAAATATTTTATACCTGTTTATGTAGATATATAATATATTGTTGCACAAAAGGTTGTTATAATTCACATCCAATTAACTATGTACAAATTAAATGCCAATAAAATACTTAAAAAGCGGCAGTTGAGACTACATTCTACAACAATTTTATTTTGCACTTTAATGAGTTTGCAAGCAAACAAGATTGTTGATACTATATCCAATTTTTTTTAATATATACAGACTGTAAAGTGACATAAGCTTGCGCTCCTACAATGTAACCCTAAGTACAATGCATTTACAAGTAATTAAAGATACTTTCAGATAATTGCTTAGCTTTATCTTGTTTTTTAAGCCAATCTACATTAATAGTTGTCAATGTGCTAAAAAAATATAATTGTCTCTATATTGAGAGATAAAACAGTCCAATAAATTTCTCCATTGCTCTCACTATAGTAGGAAAGGGCAAAAATATCCAGTCTTAGACGAATTAGTATTTTAAGTCGCCATCTTGTCTTGAGCTTAAGTAAATGTGTCACACTTGTAAAAGAGAAAACGGTACGACAGCTCTTAAAATAATGCCCTAGAAAAAGGGCCTAAAACTCGACAATTCAACAAAAATATTCATATTGTAAAAAAATCAATGAGATAATTATGATTTTAGGTGATACTAGCAGACTCGGTCAAGCGTTGCTGTGGCTAAGGTTTTTGTTATATTACATAGTAGTAAACTATTCAAAGGAAACGGCAGGAAAACAACAGCCATGGAGAACACCATACTTTTTTAGTGGCTATGCCATTAAATTGTAGCTTATGTGAAACGTTGGAACTTTCAACACAGCGCCATCTGTTAGAATTGTGTCAAATAATAAACAAATAATTTGCAATAAAATTACAATGCGGGTATATATTGAGATGTAAGCTTTCCTATATTTTAAGTTGGATCAAACTACACACGGTGTGCAAATTTGATTGAAATCGGTTCGGTAGTTTAGGAGTCCATAGCGGACAAACAACGTGACACGTAATTTATATATATTGAGATTATTCATGGACTTACTTTTTTGATTATAGTTCACTTTACCTTACTTTACGCACCTTGGTTTTGTATTTATTTTCTATTAATATGCTTTAAATTAAATGAAGTAAAATGCCCAGTCACAACTTACTAAAATTATTAAATAAACAGGAGTTCTGGCAGTGCTCAAGACTAGATTACGACTTGATATATATTTTGAAACATGAATTAAATGACGGTTGTATGACCCACATAATGTCCGCATACTCACAATACTAGTGTGACCAGTGAAAAGTTTCATTGGTAACTTTCTTACAGCAGCTATCTATGAAACTAATAGTTGCAATTACTACTAGTATTTTGAGTATAGCACCCGGATATCGTAGGAAGCCCAAAATATTGCTGTGGGAACGCAAAACTATTATATCCTAAATACTTAATACAGTGCCTCACCACTATGGGGCTCATACCAGACGATTTTCCCATCAAGACATCCAGTAACTAGGAGATGATGACGAGGGCTAAACTTGGAGCTGACAACTAAATCCTGGTGTATGCCCAGACTCTGACCGACCTCAACCATTTGAGCTGGACAGTTTTGGTCTTGAACACAATGTGAGAGTTCACTGCAGGAGTCATTCAAGGCAAGAAGTCGCATGCCGCGGCCAAAAGGTGAACACACGAGTCGACCGTCCGCTGAATAGCATAATTCCTGCAAGGAGATAATTTTCTATAAAATGTTATAAGAAACTATTTGTATGTTTGTAATAAATAAACTGAAGGGCCCAATATGACCGGCAAGTCCTTTCTGAATTCCTTACAATTACTACATGTTCTGTTTCCGACTAAAATCTCCTACCTTTTGCTTCTTTTTGCTTCCTTTAATGTATTATCTTCTTTCATAATCAATAATACTATTAAGATTTAGATTTTATATGAGCAGCTTATCCCTTTGTGTTTCTCGCATGTAGTTACCCTCCCTTTGATAGTGGCATAAAGTAAAAACTATTGCCAAAAAAAAAAACTGAAGGACTACCGACTGGATCCAAAATTTTATTCATCATTAAACTGCTACACAACCATTACTTGTGATTTTGTTGTATTTGTATATTTTACCAGAACTTTATTTTTTTAAACAGAAGTTCAGTCAATGAAATGACAGAAATGTTCCAACCAATACCCCATTGGGATCTTACAGATGATAAAAAATAAAAATAGTTAACCTTAATAAATCCTTTTCCTTCATTGGTCTCTTCTACATGATAGAGCAGTCTATCTTTATTTTGGTGAATTCGGTAATGTCTCGTTTCATCCTCCCCCTCACTCACACTATCCCTCTCTCTCCCACTCGATGGAGTTTGGCCGGAAGTTGAAGGCAGTGTTCTGCTTTAATAATATGTATGTGAAATTAAAATATGCCCTTATAAACAAAGTTAGATAAAGCTAACTTATAGTAAAATATTAAACGACCAGAAAGAACGGCTCTAAATTAAATGTGGAAATAATACTATTAACTACACATAAACTTAAAATTTCTCGCATTAACTAACCTATAGTAGATGGCGTCATTAGACATAGCGGGTTGTAGGCGCGGCAATAGGCGAGCAGCCTCTGCGCGAGCAGGGCGCGGATACAGAGACAGCGGACGCGGGCGAAGCGCGGCGGGCGGAGTTATACCCGTATTGATGCCCAGGATTCGCTGCATATTGAAGTTACGACCCACCTGACCCCTGTTGTGACCGTATTAACCATCTCTTATTTGAGATATTTACTAACTGACATACAGAATAATACTAGCAACAGTTTTCTTAATTTCAAATTGGGCCACAAAGAGGACCGAGCTATATTGTCAACAAAGAAACCACTTTAAAATGAAGTATTTTGTATGTTTTCAAAAAGAGTATAACACTTTCATTTATATAGAAAGTTAAACCCTACATAGTTGATTAATAACATTGAGCATACAATAAAAAAACTTTACCTGCTATACATCTCTTGCAGCACTCTATGCTGTTTGATCGTAATTGACGCTTCCCATACGTCATTTTGGATACTCGATAACCCCTGTATAGAAACAGTAAATTTAATATACAAAAAAATTACTTAAGAATATGTGTATTTAGTGAAGAGTAACATATGACGTGGGTTTTTTCGGAAAAGATAAAGACATCTAAAGTAAATAAACATTGCGTAACAGATATAGAAAATGCAGATGAGATTATTATAAGATAGAATTGGAATAAACATACTATTTCATAAATACATTAAAATGATCTACTGAAGAATTGTATGCTCATAGTTATTAATCAACTCACCAAGCCCAGTCGTGGCGGTTGCGCAGCTTCGCCCGAACTAGGCCCTGCTTCTGGTTCTGCTTCCCGCTCCGTTACTCTCTCCTCTTCCCGCTCGCGCCTCTCGCGAGACCTATCCCCTGTTCTATTCACCGATAGCTTTATATTTGTTTCGATTCAACCGTAAAAATTAATAACGCTTTTGTATCGTTTTTTTCTGGTCATTTCATTAATTTAATATACTTTTTAAATATTAAAAACGGCCGCGTGGAGAATTAAATGTCTAACCAATATTTTGAAGTCTGGTGACAAATTACACACTTACATTCATCTAATGAAATTTTAAGTTCAAAGCTAACGCTTTGTCGAACTCAATTCGTGGCCTTTACTTTTTACTGCGCACTTTCTATTTAAGATTTGGTTTCGGCAATGCTAACAGAAAAACAGGGAACTATTCTAGATGTAAAATTAAGCGGTCTCTCCAACCGCTGACAATAATTTCATTTGATTACTTACGGTACTGGCGTAACCGATGCCATAGGTCTTGGTGATCTATAGGGCCTGGTGCGTCGCCGCGGGGTTCTTCGCGGGACCGGCCGGCGAGTCGCGGGAGGGGGTGGCGGCGGAGGGGGGGAAGAATCACGAACGCTCTTATCGGAAGTAGGGGCGTGTGGTTGAATGTCATGGATACATGACCACTGTATAATTCATTTAAAAGAATCATATTAATTAGTAAATAAGTGGCGTAACAAGAGTACTTGAAAAATCTAAAGATATAAAAGTTATCTTATAAATATAGACCATAATTTATACTACTATACTCATAATATATAGAATTAATATTTATTTTAAATTAAATAGTATTACTTTAATATTGTATGTCTGAAATAAAGTTAGAAAAATGAGTACGGGGAAGTAGTTTACTGCATTATATTTGAATAGGTATATTTTTTGTTACTGATTTCATCTATCTGACTTTGTAAATTCAAAAAAATATATAATCTATGCTGAATTTGTTAAAATGTAGCAAATTATTATAATTCATATATGTATGAGTGTATATATAGATAATATTTACGTAACTTCTTTATGAATATATATATTTAAAAAACGATTTCTTTAAAAATAACTCACCTCAGACCTATCATCGTGACTGATGTTTCTACTAAGTGCGCTCCAACCTTGAGGGTGTATCTGTAATTATATTATGTAATTAAAAACGTATGAGGTGACAATTAAAGCAGATTTGTGCTTCAATAAATGATGGCCAAAAGACATTACTAAATATTTATAATCATAATCTAGTGGAACAAACCTTTACATTACTACATTTCTTTAAAAATTAATCATATTTTGCTCATAGTATAGAGAATTGCCTCCTTTTAATTGTACACTTATTCATATTATAATTCTAACCCAGTTTTAATATCATTACAAATAAAATAAATATGTTGCATAGTTAACCAGAAAAAAACAAAATTTAGCTTGCTCAAATACAAGTCTAACATTCTTTCATCTTCAACTTAAATATTTTGAAGTTTATTAGTTGCTTTAAATAGCTAATAATTAATAAAATAATAAATAAAAGCTTACCTGTAAAGCACTCACAACTTCTGCATCATTTCCATCCGGAAAATCTGATACAAACTCCACTCTATTCTCTGTTCTTTTGACATCAAACAAATGATCATACATTGCTGCTATGGGTATAAGTTGACGGCTCATTTGCATTAACCTATACAAGTTTGGCTGTAAAGATTAAACAAATGAATGTCTATTTATGTATCCTATAAGAAACAAAAATGTAGTAAAAAAAAAATATTTGTAATAATGGATACAAGATAAATAAAAATATAAATAGCTATAAAATGTATTATTTACCTTAAAACCATGTAAGTCTTGAGCCAACATGGATAAGTTCAAATCATGAATAATCACAAGAAGTCCACCTGTGGTACACATCACCATTTGCTTGGCATCAGGAGATAATCTACACCGCATCAAACCTGATGCATGAAATACTCTTTGGTAGACTAGATTAAACTCTGTATATGAATTAATATCCCAAGTATAGATACTGCCATCTAACCCAGAGGTGACTAGAAGTTTGTCTTTAACAGAAAATTCTATATTTTTAACCCAATTTGAATGTCCTAAAAGTGAACGTATTTTCTTCTTTAAGTGACGAACATCCCATAATGCAATTGTTGTGTCATCTGAACATGTAGCAAACATTCGGCCATCAAGAAATCTGAAAATATTAAACATTGAAAAATCCAATTATAAAAGAATGTAATTACTAGGTTCTTACTACTTAATATCATGAGTAGGTACTCACTTGACACAGTTAACACAATCTAAATGAGCTCCATTAACAGAATATATTCTCTGGTGAGTAAGAGGATCAAATATTTGTATGGATTTCTTCTCACATGCTGCAACTAAAAGTGATCTGAAAAAGATGTGGTATTCATCACTCAAATGTTTTTCAATGTGCAGAAGACCTACAATTTTCTATGCATGAACAAATTTGATTTAATAACAAAGCCAATGCTAACTCTAAGAATGTAAATGTGCTTTCAAGGCTTGTGAATGTCCTTACCCTTCCGGGGAAAATTCAAGGTTAAAAACACCACCAGTAGGAAGAGCGTTATATTGATCGCAGTCCCATGAAGCAATTGGTTTCATCCCACAGTATAAACTGCGGGCTACAGCATCATCGCTACCAACTGGTCTTGGAAAACCACATTCTCTCTGTATCAACCGATAAGGGTTAAACGCGGAGTATCTTGCCATAAAACTATCATTCCAACACTTAGTACCCATTTTGTAACAAGCTATTAAACGGTATGCAGTAGTTTGTTTTAAGTACCCGACATCTCAACAATGTTAAAGCTGTTTGATAATATGGTGTTTCTAATTCTCACATATTACTTGAGATTTTATATAATGCCAGACTATAAATTATAACTGTATATAATTAGTAAAATAATAAGTTATTGTATTGAAATTTGAAAACCTCAACTTGATGAAAGACCAATCGTGAGTTGATTGACAATCAAATTTCAAATCTTTGACAGAAAAAAAAAAGGGGGGGGTGGGGTTTAACCCGGTTGTCGCCATTAAAAATAAAGTGAGTTGATTGACATTGACAGCCAGTCGTCAGATAACAGATTGGCTGAGGCTAAGCAAAAATAAAACATGAGTTAAGTTCACAGAGTACCTTAAGTTATTATCGAATAATTCCTACCATCGCAGAATAAACAGTTTAAGGTTTTCTTAAGATAATAAAATATTATAGCCTATTTAGTCCATTTCATACAGATTAGAGAGGTAGGATAAATTATGACTAAATTATAATAACTGAATCATTTTATTAATTGTTTTACATACATTTACAAATTAATTATTTTGAATCTCAAATTCATATCAATTATAATTAAATTTCAAATTGTTCATGTGATATTAATTTGCTACCAAAGGTTAGAAGGTAGCAATCCACTAGGTGGTGGTATAGTTCCACTTTGAAGAACAGTCTGTAAAAATACCTCCAATCTTGTTTTAGGCCCCCCTTCATCAATATTCTGTAAAATTGCCAAATACTCAGTGCTTACTATTTTTATAATCTTTGTGAACTGTTTACCATAGTGCTTATAAAATTCAGCTCCACAAACATTAAAGAAATCATGTAATAATGTGGCACAGATGTCAGGTTCAGGTTTTAAATTTATGAAGGAGGCAAGCCATTTCCAACCATGCCTCAGACTATGTGGGTTAGAAGCAGATATAAATGATGGAGTCTTTGCAATCCAAATAGCACATCTTAATCTAAAGATTCCAGATATTCGTTTAAGAAATTTATCTTGCTTTTCAACTATGTTATCTTCATTATAAATATATCCTCGTGACAAATAAAACTCCCTATCTGTTTGTCCTTGTTTTTGTGGCAAAAACATAGGGACCAGATATGGACATTGTTTATGGAAGTATGCTTCAAGAAGTCTACCAAATTCTGGGAACTCAACCCACAGTGCAACTGCTAAAGCAGCTAGAGGAAATGCAGCCTCCGGTTTACTAGAAACTAGAAGATCACCTTGTCTTACAATTTTTTTAGCTAAAAGGGCATTGCAGTAATAGAGCCCTTGGGGGTGTAGAGATGCAGAAACATATGAATCTGAGATTTCAACTTTTTCACCTCGAAGCAGTTTAGCTAACTTCTCCAATGTGTTTCTCATATGGGTGCCACTTACAGAGGATAATGCATTAATTGGAGTATTTACTGCTTTTTGACAATCAAATTTAAACTTTTTTAAATTACTGTCTTCTAAAAGTTGTTTATATCTATTTTCATATTCTGTAAGGTAATTTTGGAGTTCTAAGTAGTATGCATAATTTGATTCGGAGTAAAAAAGGGGGCCAGACTTCTTAGTTTGTTTAACTTCTTGCTGTTTTTTAAGCATCTCAGTTTCTTCTAGCTGTTTTTTTCTTAACTCTTCTTCTTGTATCCTTTTTGTCTGCTCTTTCTTAGCAGTATCTAAATCAATAATTATTTTTTCCTTTATATTTGTCATATTTAATGCTAAAACTTCAGACTGTTGAACTTTCTTGTCGGTAATTTCACCACTTTTACATAAATTCATTATATCTGACATATTACTAAGAATATCATTAATGCTTGTCATATGTTTTAATCCAATATCTTTAGCAAGCTCATCAGATTGAATTATACTTATTATTTCATTGTAACAAATGCAAATTTTAGTATGGCTATCGGTAATCTGAGCAAATCTAGCAGTAGCTTTATTTTGTTCTGCCAAAATTCTATTCATGTTTTCAAGTGTTTGTCTATTTATAAGTTGACATCTTTGTTCATCAAGTTTTGCTTCTTCTAATACAGACATATTGTCACTTTCTCGTAATTGTTTAATCATTTGCAGCTTCCTAACTCGTAATTCCAAAGTTTTACGTTGTGATTCATCATGTTGCCTCTTCCAATATGTATCCATTGCTTCTGCATGATTTGTCATCATTCTTTCTATTAAATTTCTAAATAAGTCTTGAGATGTCTCTTGAAGTTTTGCTTCATACTTTTTTACTAGTAATGAATGCCTTAAATCGCCATCACCAAGCTTATCCTCTAGAAGGTTTATAACTTTTTCTGGTTTAGAATGTGGCTGTGTATCTTGAATAATTCTTTCCTTCTTTAAAGGACTTCTAGGGCCAATCGTTACATCTTTAATTAAAGGACTGATTTCCGCAGCTTTTGTCAGTGCTGAAATTCTCAATCTTCCGAAACTAGCAAGCTGCTCCGATATACTGATATCTAGCTTTCTCCGATCTTTTGTACTGTTTGAAAGGTTATCAATACTTGAATAAGAGTTTTCAATACTACTGTACGAACTATCCATGGTAAAAGTTTTACCGGCAACGTTCTAATTAAGTTTCCACACAAACATGTACAATTTACATTACTGTTGTTACTTCTCTTATAGCTAACAATCTATCAAATTAATACAATTTTATATTACTATACATTAGTTGCAATTTGCCAATTGGTCTTAATTCTCCAATTCACTCAAAATTCAAATGCAAGTAGTTTGAGGTTTGAACCACTAATTACTAAACAGTAACAACTGTAGTGACTAGTGATTAAGATTAGGAGCAGTGAGTGACAACTGACAAATAAATTTACAGACATAGAAGTAATGGAAACTAATCTGTGAAGTCAAGTTAAATGTTGAGAGTCATGTCTATCTAAAATCAACTACACATTAGTTGTACTTTGTAGTAAGTAGTTCCAACTTCCAAGATACAAACGATATTTGGATAGGATCGAACTAATACGATTCGAGCAGTCGCAATCTACTATTCCGTACAGTTAAGCTGTTTAAATATCGAATAATTACTCCATAAATGTTTAGCCATGAGTCTGCAAATTCAATAAAAATAATAATATTTTAATGATTTTTGCTATTTGCATATACACTAAATGAAGCGTCTAAATATTGAACATTTGTCCAAATTAAACTTAGACCCACATTCTTATTCGTATTTCAATTGTCTTGAGCGCTGACAAATATTTACTACTAAACTAGATTTAAGTTTGATTTACGTTTTAGAATACGGGCCTTAATCCTAAAATTAATTAGGGTAAGTTAACCACAAAAAACTAAATTTCTTTAAATAAAAAAAATATTAATATTAACATTTGTTCGTTAAATTCTCATAATTTGATCAATCCATTGCGGTCCAAAAAGTTAAAATTAGATTATAAAAAAATTCGTAAGTCCAAAAAGTCACCAAAGCCTAATTGGGTAGAAACTTGAAGTCTGCTGTTACTGTCAAATGTTTTTTTTCTCTTTATGGACTGTCAAATGTTAATCGCCAAACGTGATTGTGTCAAGAATGGTTTACTTATGGAGAATTTGGCGCCAAATGAATTTACTGTAATTTCTGTTACGTATTGACAGATTTAGTCTTTGGACATATTCCTGTTTGTTTACTTTAGAAGTTTCCTTCTTAAACTTCTTTAGGATGAAAAATAATTTATAAACGTTAAAGATAAAGTATAAAAAATTTGTTAAATAGAAATGGTACAAAATACGGGTAGGTTTAGAAGCGATAAAAATGAGACACAAAAGAAAGAAGTTGGATCTTCTTCAGGTCCCAGGTAAGAAAAGAACATTTTTTCTAAAATTGTTTATAAATCGAATACTAAGATGAAATAATATTTCTAGGGAAGAATCATCTGAGTCACGTATTCGTAACGCATTAGACAATGATAGAATTGATTCTAAATATGGATTCGACAGAGTACGAGATACTAAAGAACGCACCGGTTACCTTATTAACATGCACACGGTTTGAGTTGTTTTTTATTAAAAAAAATTACAGTGTCCTGATAATAGATGTTAAATTATTTGTTAGTAAAATTGAAGACATTCCTCTAGATTGGCCTGTTATTTGGAAAATAATGTTTGAAACTATGAAATTTTGATAACAAATTAAATTATTACTTACCTTATCAAGGTTATCTATGCAGCTATACCAATAAAATTTTGTTATACCATTACTGTAGGCTGAAATACTTGATGAAGACAAGAGATTGGTGGCTGCTGTGGATTATTACTTTATAGAAATGGATGGTTCAAGATTCAAAATATCACTTATGTTTCAACCCTACTTTCTAATTATGGCACGAAAGGAATGTGAGCAAGAAGTCATTCAGTATTTATCTAAAAAGTTTGCTGGCACAATACACAAAATTGATGTTATAGAAAAGGAAGATTTGGATTTGGTTAGCATTATTTACCACTATTGTTATAATTTGTGCTGTTCCTTTGTTTAAAATTTTATAAAGATTATTATTATTGGTGTCTCTTCTCCATCTGATATGGTTGTAGAGAATTGAGTATCTACTACAGTATATTTGGTTGCCTATGACACTGAAGTATATATAGTTATTTAATAGTATTATCGTAGTTTAGATCAATACTAATACTTGAAACAATAGCTGTATATAATATATACATTAAAAAATAATTACAGCTAAATCATCTGTCTGGTATAAAACAGCGTTTTATAAAGCTCTCCTTCATGTCTCAAAATGAGATGATGAAAGTGAGACGAGAAATTTTAACAGCAGTAAATAAAAACAAAGAACGTGAGAAAAAAGATGCAATATATGCTGAAATGTTGACAAATGCTCTAACAAGTGCTGCGGCTATTGAACATGCTAAGAAAACTACAGATCATATGGAAAATATTCTTGATATCAGGTAAAAGTGATTTAATCTCTCAAGTTGTATGTCATCTACAATTTAAATAAAAAGTTCTCTTAATCAAACTTCATTAACTTCATAGCTAATTAATATCTGTAATTTAATATATAAAAAAAGTCTTGAAGAATTTTAAAAAGCCTTATTAATTCCAATGCCCAAAGAAAATAGACTAATTATCTCTTCAAAATCCACTATATTGTAACTGTCTCTTAGTTTATTTCTGTTTTAATTATTAGTAATGTTGCTGATAGATGTAAAATTGTGTGTGAATTTTATTGAATTGGCTACATTCTTATTTTATTAAATTTCACAGAGAACATGATGTGCCATACCATGTCCGAGTGTCAATTGACATGCAAATATTTTGTGGTACATGGTATACTGTCAAGCCCAGAGGAATTGAGACTCCCATATTTACAAAAAGAGACGACATCCTCGAAAGACCAGATCCGATAGTACTAGCATTTGATATAGAGACCACCAAACTGCCACTGAAATTCCCTGATTCACAGACTGATCAAATTATGATGATTTCCTATATGATTGATGGACAGGGGTATTTAATTACTAATAGGGAAATTATATCAACAGATGTAGAGGATTTTGAATACACACCTAAACCTGAATTTGAAGGGTAAGAGTAAAAATACATACTTTTTTATTTAAATATATATATATATAGTTCTGTAGATATTAAAAAAAAATGAAAATATAGAACTTTTTCTGTACATATTTTTTAAACATGATGCTGTTTATTACTTATTATTTTATTTCTATTTGAGGAAACAGCATTTAACTTACTTAACATATTTCGTCTGGGTTGTCATAAACAAGTATATTCTGTTTTGCTTATGCATAAGGAGACCAATAAATTTTGTATTAAAAAAATATTTTTTTTAGGCAATTTATAATTTTTAATGAAGCAAATGAATTGGGGCTAATACAAAAGTTTTTTGACCACATCATGGATGTTAAGCCTCATATTTTTGTGACATACAATGGTAAGATTGTTTTACTCCCGGGTATGTTTTTATTTTAATTAAAAAATTTTTTTTTTGCAATACTTATAATTTTCTCGGGGTATTTGTTGTGTTTCTCCGAGGGAGTCGGTACGGAATAAGTTTAAGGAATTAAATATTATGACACTATCTGGTCAATATATTCTTGAAGCCTTGTTGTATGTCCAAAAAAATATAAACGATTTTAAAACAAATGGTGACTTTCACCAGTATAATACGCGAAATAGAACTAATTTGAGTGTACGACCAACCAGGCTCCAAAAGATAAACCACTCCTTATATGGAAATTGTATTCGTTTTTACAACAAACTCCCAAGCGAAATTAGAGTATTATCACTAAATAAATTCAAAGCCCTCGTTAAACGAAAATTAATCAACAAAGCCTTTTATAAATTTGAGGACTACTTAAATGATCCTAATCCTTGGGATTGAATTGCTCCAGTTCAAACAATTTGTATGACAATACTTGGCGATTAAAAAGAGTGGCGGAAAGTTTCTTGCCAGTTCTTCTTACCCGCTCTACGCCCTTGACTTGCGAACTGGTAGTAAATGTAAATTTATGATTAATTTAACTTGACGATTCAAAAGTGTACTTGGTTACCCACTTGAATAAAGATATTTTGAGTTTGAGTTTGAGTTTTGATATGCATTAAGAAACAATAATTATTAACAAAAAAAAATTGCTAAAAAGCATTCGAAACGTGGACTTTATTTATTATTATTTATCGGCTCTTTTTTATAGAATTGCATTTGTTTCAGTATTATTAGAAATTAATAAACAAAATATATGATTCTTTAGAAAGTACTAGACTATTTTAAAAACATTCGTAATAGAAATGTATGCTTTATTGTTGAATAGGTGACTTTTTCGATTGGCCATTTGTGGAGGCCCGAGCTGCAATCCTTGGTCTTGATATGAAGCAAGAGATTGGTTTTAGCAAAGTTACGGCCAGAGATGGCACATATGCCTGCAGACCTGCTATGCATATGGATTGTTTGTGGTATGTCTTTATATTTGAATTATCAAGCAAACTTAAGCGATTTTTTAATTTTATAATACTTTTAAATTTCTTTTTGTATAATTTATATTAATTTTCGTTTTGAAATGGAAGTTTACGATCTTCTTTACTGAACTAAATTATTTAATTAGTGGGTTTAGGCTTACTATTGTGATACTTATACTGAGCAGTGTTGGCCTAGTGGCTTCAGCGTGCGACTCTCATCCCTGAGGTCTTAGGTTCGATCCCCGGCTGTGCACCAATGGACTTTCTTTCTAAGTGCGCATTTAACAGTTGCTCGAACGGTGAAGGAAAACATCGTGAGAAAAAAAAATCAACTTGTCTTAGACCCAAAAAGTCGACGGCGTGTGGCAGGCACTGGAGGCTGATCACCTACTTGCCTATTTAGAAAAAATTATCATGAAACACATTCAGAAATCTGTGGCCAAGACCTAGAGAGGTTGTAGCGCCACTGATTTTTTTTATTGTGATACTTAGTCACAATTAGTAATAAAAATACTTTTAATTTCTTGTTCTAATTTTTTTTTTACAAATTATAGATTATTACGCTTAAATTTTTAAGAAAATCCCACTCAAAACATAGTCGAAT